ACGGGAAAGCAATGTTTGATCTGTCTCTGGATTTAGTTTCGCGTCGAGTGAACTTATCTCTCGAAACACAACCTCGAGTCTAACATTCATCTTTCCGCCTTTTCCTTGTTACCTTTTCACCGTTCTTATTCATTCGATCTCTTCGCGAACTTGCCCGTCGAACGGCCGTTTAATTTCCCTCGGTTTTTTATTCAAGCCGCGTCATTTCGAAGACAATCGAGTTCGAAATTTAATAACTGTCCAAGAGTATCTCGACCGTTTCCGTGCACGACGATATTGAACTGGGGAGAGACGAGGTTCGCTTCCTTTTCTCCTTGCAATAGCAACGATCTACTTGCCATTCGATCGTAAAAAAATAAAATAAAAAACTACCGCTAACCCTCGAACGATGGTGGATGGGTCAATCGTGACCCAGACCCACGAAACGTGCACAGAATTTTACGATTCTGTCGATTCGACGCGTGATTCGAAATTTCTCTCTGTGACAATAGGATGCTCGTTTTAAAATGAAAATATAGCAGGGGATAGAGCTTATTGATTCGATCGTAAATGGAACAGCAGGAGTTCGGCTCGTTATCACGTTCGTATTGGATTTGTTCTAGAGCACGTTCATCGATCCGAAGATAATGCGAATAATAAATCAAATAGAATGATATAGAAAGAAACTAATATAGAAACGTGACTATACTTCGGATAATTTGAATTATTAATTCAATCCGACAAGACACCGATTGATATATCTGTACACACAACAGAACTGTATCTCCTTTGTTAGCTAACATAATTATGAGCTAGAAATGGTACACGTAGCGGTCCTCCGAACAGAATATAAAGGATGCTCCTTAGAGGAGAAGGAAACTCGTAACAACGCAGTTAGAAAGCCTGTCTCAGGCTGGTAGAATGTGAAAAGCTTATTATGTTTGAGCAAGGTGTGGATCCTCTCCATAAGAGGTTTAATTGAAACCAACCCACCTTCGGGACAGGCAACCTTTAAGGTCTCCTTATAGCCAGTTACATGGACAATCGAGTTATTCCTGGCACCTGAATTGTTGACACTCTGCTCCACCCCCGTATCGAATGATCGAGCCTGTGTGCTTCGTATAATACGTGTAAACAGGTGGTGAGTTAGCTTTGAGCAGGTTTCGTAGCCGCAGGTGAATGAAAGCTTTCTTCCCTCCTTTGTTTTCGATTTTCAAAACTGATTACCCACCTACTCGCGCGGAATTCGTTTGAAAAAATAAAAGACAACGGTTCGTGGATATCGGATGGAAAAATAAACCGTGCGCCCGCATATTTTTGCGTACCCAGTCTGTTTTATTTTTCGCGTACATCAAAACGCGTATAAAATGAAAAACGTTGCAGGTGGGGGATTCAAATTTCTATGAACTTTTGTTAATTATTCCTCTGTCATTGTGTTTAGAGAGATTCCAGCTTCACGTGGATTTAACGCTTTGATAAGATTAATTATTTCAACTTTTTCACCGTTCATTCGAAATGTTCGCAATATCAAAGGCTCGCATTAATGAATTCATTAACGTCGGGACAAAGATACATTCGGTTCAGCAAATATATCCGGATAGAATGAATAAAATTATAAAATTCTCTTTGCAACAACACTTTGATCATCTTTTAATATTCGAATTATTATATTACTGTTTCACGTATAATAATGAACGTCGAAATTACAAGGAGGGTGACATTTGAAAATATCAAGTCTACACGATCCAACAATGGTATCCTTTTTCCTTCTTTGACCCATATAATCGTCAACCTTATCGGGGTTATGACGACCTCTCGATGATGTCATCGGACCGCTGACGTCACCAACACTCCCTTACGTGACCATTGAGAACGACCTCGTTTCTATCTCCCTTCAAAGCCACCCCCCGTTCCTCGTTCCACCACCCTTCGCGGATCCCCCCACTGTCTGTCTCTTCCCAAAGCTTAATGGCCGTGTCCTGTCTCATTCATGCGGATATTCCTTCGACCAACGAACGTGACCCAGTTTCCGGGACATTCGTACCGTCGTATCAGGGATAAGCCGGGATACACTCGATCCGCGACTGACGAGAAGGATTCTATTATTTCGTTTAAGTTCGATGAAAGAGTACGTTTCTCTTTCTAGAATTTCTCTGTTCTTTAAATTTCTCCAGACACCTTTCTTTAGATGCCTTCTCCTATTTTCTTGTTTTCTTGAGAGGATCGCGGTGGAAGCTTCGGTAAGATAAACGAATAGTTCGCTTGAAAGGGTTAAATGCTTATCAATGGATAAAAGGGTCCGAGGAGAATTTTATATCTTCGGAATGACCTTTTCAAGGTACATCGATCGCGTCTACGAATTCGAGTTGGTTACTGGCTAATAAAACTGAAATTGCTTCTTTCATGGTAATCCTTCGCTTGAACCCTTTCGTTACGACGTAGCTAGCTGGCAATATACCATTGTTAAATGGCTACTTGGTGTCATAAGCGTGCATTTATAGCTCGGACAGTGTCTGGCAATAAACAGTCTATAGTCTACTTTAGTATATGGAAACAATAGTCGGACGTGGTATATAAACAGCCGTTACGTTGCAAATGACGCGTAGTAGTGATAGGGTTAAAATGAACCCGTTTGGTTATCGGTCCGCTGACGATCAAGTATCTGCACCCTTTCGCTTTGTGGCCATTCTAGCTTTATCGTCCGTGGCGCTGGGGTTCCACAGGAGCGAAGAAAAAAGAATGAAAAAAAAAAAAAAAGGGTAAAAGGCAACGCCCTCGTCCTTGGTGCAGGAACATCGATAAACGTCTTTCTCAAACGAGTCCCTCGTCAAATAAAACACGAAACTGGGTTGGTCATTAGAGACTTTCAGTTAGCTTGTTTCCTCATTAACTTTTGCGCTTGATTCGAAGAAAGCTGAGGTCAATCAGGTTTTCTATCCTAAATACCATGAGATTTTAAATGCAGCAGTGGTTCGTTACTCGAGGCTATATAATTTCCTCTTCTCTTGATCCCGTATTGTAATTAATAATAATAGGAATATCCTTATAAACGAGGATATTATCATTTGTATAGATAATAAACTTGTTTTAGAATAATTAATTATTTGTAACGATTCAAAGGAGTTATTCAAAGGGTTTCGCTAAACACTGACTAAATCAGCCCAGCATGTTTAATTGATATTCATGAACGACAACTAATGAATGCTAATTAATTTCGCGGGAATTTGCTTGAAGGCGCCTCTCATTATCGATTATGTTAAATATCCACGTGCGTGCGCGCAAAGCGAAACGTTATTAGTGGAAACCCAATTAATTAACAGCAAGGAGTAACTCGGTAATAAAGCGTCTACGCTTATAATATACCCAAAAAATATTCGAAACAAATATTCCACTTGAAAAGAGGATTAACTTCTTAAAATCAATTTGTTATAAGTATTCAGTACCGAAAGGGGAAATTGTTTTTAAATTAAAATAGTTTCGTTCGTTCGGTAACTGTATCGCAATGTTACAAGTTTCTCGAGTAATATTACAATGTTCCAGGCTTTTGATCAACAGGTATGCCAGCAGAGGGAAATATCGAGCCAATTAGTGCAATTACTTCGTTAACCAGGTGCCGGAGCACCTGAACCCTGAAATTTCATTTCAACATCGCGGAGCATCATCGGCGTTCAAAATCTTTAATCGAATCCTTCGTCAAATGCAATTTCAAAGAGATAATCTCTTTAATATTCCTAATCTTTCGATCGAAAATTTCTCGTACGGTGAAGCGGAAACGGACAGATCAAACAGCCGTTTCGTTCGTAAACGATGTTCCATCTTTGTTATGGGCGAGGCTTACGCGTTAACGAGATTTAGATCACCGCATAATCCGTACACAATAGCCGTTGATCTGATGTGGTCTGGCTAGTCCGAGCAAACTGTTCAGCATTGCTGATTACACGATGGCCATTGTTATTATCGAGTTAATACGCGTTCGTCTCGCGTTTTGGAAAGCAATGGATTAGGTTGATTAACAAGGGATATGCAATGTAATTCCAAAAATTTTAGAACTTTGTAAAAATATAATTCAAGTAAATTATTCCTTTTTTTTTACAATGAACAGAGTTGGGGGATGAAACCACCCCCTTACAAATTTGTGATTCTATTCTAAATATCAAAAATTTGGAAGATTTTAACACTAGATTGCCGGAGCGAGTCAATTTGACTCATTTACGATTTTATTGCTACATATATAGAAAAACTTAAATAATTTTTTCTAAAACATATGTTGGGTTTTAATAGAATTATGAAATGTATACAAATTCCTTCCCCTCCCAGTCCTTAGTTCCAAAAATCCATATCTGCTATACTTATTTTGACGGATCTATTTGTCCGGCAATCTAGTGTTAAAAATATCTGAAATAGTCCTTATGATTCAGAAACTTCCAGAGCGTAGAAGTCTGAGATTATCGTAATTAGGTCCCAAGAGTCCAGTATCGTCGACAGCAGGTTCAATAGGTCAGCATTATCGATATCGTTTCCCATGGGTCCGGAATAATCCGCGAAGAGTTCGTAATTACCGATATCCAGTCCCTGGAGTCATTAATATTAAACTCAAAGGATGTATCATACCAATTTCGATGGATTAGAATTTGAAAATTGAAAAATTGGAATTAGGAATGTATCGATATTGTAATAACAATTTCGACACGTTTTGCTATTTGTTTCACCTCGTCCTATCAACAAGGGCTAAATATAAATTAGAACGTAATAAGCTTCAGGAACAGATCCCAGGGAGAACGATTAAATTAAATTAAGTACCATCGATCCGGTTGCCCAATAAACGGCTCGCTGTTTCCAAATAGGTTACCATAAATAATCAACTTACGTCGTATTTACCGATGGCTACGCTTCGTTGTTGATCATCCGCTCGAATTTTCATGGAAGTTGCAGCTGGAACAACATGATTATTACGAATTGAAACCCTGTTACGACGACAGCGTTGCGTTCGTGCAACTGATGAATTATATATTTCGTTCCAGGATATCGATTACGAAGGATTTCGGAAATTTCTGGACACCTATCTCGAGGTTGCAGCCCCTGACGAACTTTCGCGACACCTTTTTCTCTCGTTCGTCAAAAGGGTGCCACGTGGAGTCGATGGAAAGGCTTTTAAGGTACTTTTTCTTTTCATTTTTTAAACGAAACTTAGGAAAAAATTTAACAAAATGAAATGTTTATTTTAGGAGATGGCTGTGTTATCGTCGACCACCGCCTGTGCCGCGATTACATCTCATACAACATCCAGCAGCAACGTGAACAGCACTGGTCTACCCGGAGGAACATCGTCAGAAAGCCACGGTGGTTCTTCCTTAGCCGATAAGATTCATGGTCTCACAGAGAAGCTCCAAGCTTTGGGACACCATAGAACGGAAAGCGAAGCATCCAGCAAACCTCGTACAGGTATACCACCTTGGATCGTTTGCAAGTCATTATCATTCATCCCTTGAACTCCGACCTTTCCTTTTGTTAACGCGTTCGCCACTCCATTAGCCGTATGAATTTTTTTAATTTCACCAATGTGAAGCCATACGTGCCAGCTTAATCCTTGAAACGTGGAGGAGGGAGGGCTTCATTTAGAACGCCCTTCGGCGATAAATTTAGGTCTTTGATAAAGGTATTTACAGTGTAAACGCAATATCCATGCACGTGAACATGCAGAATCATCTTTTCACGAGCACTGGATTTACAGCGATATTATGCGATATTAACTTCCACCGGTGGTGAAAAGGGGTTAATGCGACCGAAATGGTCGCAGCTGCGTACACTGTGTGTTTCGATTCAGATGGAACCGTATACATTATTTTTATTTCAATTAAATTAACAAACAAATGTTCGGAAGGATATCACTGACAGAGCAACGTTCTTAAATCTGTTCGCCGATAACGAATCTCTAAAAGCCTAGATTTCGATGTTTCGATACAGGGAAAAATCGATCGACCATACAAAATGGGTCAGCGGGGAATGATTACTGGTTTCGTTCGGTGATATTATCTCGCCACGAATCGTCGAAGGTGTCAATTTTTTATCCTCGCGATTGCACTGTCCATCAAAGAGTCCCATTGTTCTCTACCGATGGATAGCGAATGGTAATCGAAACTGCGGCTTCGAAAAAAAAAAGCACAGAACAGCGGTTCGTTGAAATAAGTTGGCGATTGCCAAAACCGGGGTTAGTATATCGTGCCATTTATTTGACCAATATAAACCAATATAAATACGGTTCTTCCTCCGCATGGAAGGTAACACTATCCGCGCTATCAGTTTCCATAGTACGTTTAAATCGCCCCTCGGTTAACCAAGCTTGGATTTTCTTTGACTATCCCACGAAATCCAAAGGTGTCGATTTACCGTCGACTCGTGTATCTGATTGATCCTGATCGCGGACAAAAGCGGTCGCAAACAAGATGGACCCTCCTCAGGCGTCCATTAGGAACGTTGCTTTCTGTCAGTAAATCGAGAATCGGATAACCGATAAATCAGAATGCTCCTCCGTCTTTCGTTCGGTCATTCGATCGGTCACTTGGCAATATCCTCTTGTTTCATCGGTCTTCAAGGAAGCGTTCATCCCATACTGACGATACAGCACACATCGTACAGCTGCCACGACGTGCTGGAGAAGAAGAGCACGGACAGCAGCCCCAGCCACAGCCAAATGTCACGGAATTCGTCCAGGAAGTCGAACAATTCGCTGCTCGTCAACAACGGGAAATTGGAAGGTAGGTTGAGTTCTCGATATTAACGACGCGTCTACCAATCTGTGTGCTCTTCAGGGGATCCTTCGACGGATATTCTAGTATGTATATAGTAGATATCGTGGATGGTACATAAGTATCGAGTGCCATCGATATCGATTCAGATATTGCCAATACTCAGAGTGGAATCGGCTAAGGTAGTTACTAGACAGACTGAAATATTTTTCCTTTTAACGGAAAGCTAGGATGAAATTTAATATTTATTTTTATTGTTAGCTTAATCCATTAGAGAATATCCAATTCGAAATCGCTTACGTCAGAGATTTTTCGATTAAGATCCGAGTAGGTCAGTTGAAAAACTTTTCTAATATTCCAGATGATATTCTCCTAAACATCACGTGTTTAACGCGAATTCTCGCTGCCTGCAGCTAGCCTCGCGTCTGGAGGAAGTATAAATTGTTTTTACCCGTAGGAACATAATGATAGATGACGTGGAATGATGTCGATAAACATCCGGGCTTAGGTAAAGCGAATAATACCAGGACAATAGGCTATCTCTAGCAAACGACAAAGCGTCGCGGGATGATCGTAACATAACTCTCCGTATGATAGTCGTAGAATTCTTTACGACGAGACGCGACATATAGATCGGCAAACAAATCGATGCCATAAAACGGGCGGACCAACATCGTAAAACCCGGTGAAACGTGTACGACTTAATGGACGCGTCTACGGTGGCTTGATGATGTCTTAATCGATTTTTTCCTACGTCATCGAATAATGGTACAAAAACTTCTGACGCATGTCCCACCGTATGGTACTTGGCAAAAAATTATTTCCTTTGTAAACGTCACTTTTTTTCCTGCGTTTTAGGAGGAAACCATTCCTCTGCGTTACACCGTTTAATCTTGAGAATCTTGACCAAGATATTAGATCGTAGCCATCGATTGAGGGAAAAATTTATTAATATACAGCACTTTTAATTGAAAAATACTCGACTAACAAAAAAGAAAGAAAAAGGAAAATATTAGGTGTACAAATTAATTAGGTGCCTTCTTAATTAATATTTTCAATTTGAATATCTTCTCGCGGTTTTGAACATTTGAAAAGTGACAAGACGACATAATAACAATAAAGATTATTTCAATAATTGGAATTACTATAGCTCTTTAATAATAAATCATTAATTAAAATAAAAAAAGGCATCGAATTAATTTGTACACCTAATAGATACACTGCACCGGCTTTAAAATGGATCGAAACTTTTTCAAAGAGGATAATACTCCTCGAATCCCCTTGCGTGAGGCTGCAAGCTAGAAAAAAGAATGGACGATAAATTTCTCGATAGCCGTGTTCGCCGCGATATTACCGCGCCAGTTTCGAAGTAGAATTTCAATTCAGCCGCGAGGATCTCTCCGGGTAATTTCCATACTGATGGAATCGTCGCAGGTCCAGCGAATTTGTGTATCGTTAAACCGAGCCTGAAAATACTGCCACGTCGTTGGCCGAGATGCCGAGGAACGAGGCGGGACGAAGTCTGCGACACTGGGATACCCTTTGCCGGTTAGAAAAATTTATGCGAGCTACGAGAATGGCTGGGAATCTTCTTTTCCAGAGGAATAGCATTACTCTCGATACGATAAGGGCTTCGTTCCTACCTCCGCCGGTTTTTACGATGATGCATTATCCACGGGACCACGTGCGGCTACGTGGTCGTAAACGCGGTTGAATTATAACGCTTCGGACCGGAAACGTGCAGCACCGATCGGAAACATACGAGCCAGTACGGTCCGTCGAGTTTTACGTGTAACGTTCGCAAATGCTTCTCTAAAGCTTGATAAATAAGGGAAGATATCTGAAATATTGCCCACGCGAGGCGACAGATAGCTGCAATAAAGATCAACCTTTAATGCTTTGATTACATTCAAATGTTTAGAAGTCTTTGACGAGGTATCTCGATGAGATAGACTAAACCTCTGTCACTTTCCCAATCCAGGAAGTCTATCCATTCGAAAATTGACGAGTTGATATTTGCTAAATGTCACGACACCTTGAAGCAACCTGGGCAAATTTGGATCGGCTATTTACAAAATTCTGAAGGCTGGCCTATCGTTGGTGACGAAATCGTGAAACTTCAAAGACCTGAAAGATGATTTTCTAAAATAAGATGAACGTCAGACGATGTCTTCGTTTACCCTGGCCCTCCCGAAACGTCGTCATCGTTTGATTGTCCCGCTGTTTCCCCGACGAGTTTGCGTGTTGGTTCGATACCCGAAATAACGCGATCCGGTATCATCCGGTATAAATAACGTCTCGGATAGAGTACATCGCGACTCTTCTTGCTTAAAGCTCTCAGTATCTCTCTAGTCACGCGAAAAGCAACAAGTGCCGTCCTCGTGTACTAGAGAATAACAATCGCCGATCGAGGCATCGACTGTCGATCGAAATCCATCGAACAATCATCGGTCTTTCATTTTACTATCTTCCTGTTCTCCGAGACCGTCGATTATTGGCATCGCCTCTTAAAAATGGTACTCAAGAATCGTGGAATTTGTCCACCGAACGTATCTGGTGCGCTGCTGAAAGAAGGTGAGAGATAGGTGCAGGTGTTTATGATATAGCGGAAATTTCTCTGAATCAGTGGACATTTTTATATGCGCACGAATATGCTTCGCAATTCAAAGAAATGCAAAGTTTTTCATGTTGATCTACCGGTTTAATCAGTTAACTGCGCTCTTGTACTATAAAATATTACCATTGACTATAAAAACTCGAAATTTCAATAAGATGAAATAAAAATGTCATTTGGTGACATTTTTCATTTATATTACCAATAAAACTGCTATGTATTTTGTACAAAAAAGTTTGATTATTTTCTTTGATATATCGGATATTCCCCATACAGTGTATTAATTATTTTCCTCAACGCATCTGGTATTCTCTGAATTGTTTCGTATACTTTGATTTCTTAAAATTATTTTTCTTTCTTTAATTTTTCTTGTTTATAAATTTTATTACTTTTTGACAATTTTTCAGTTTTTAAAAATAATAATCTTTTCAACAATAAAAATGTAACCCTCCCTCCTTTTGCTTTACTTTGTTCGTACAATTTATAATAGGAGCATTTGCCCTGTGATCGACGCATACCGCGAGCAGTTTTTAAAACTAAATTCTACAGTTAACTGGTTAAATGCAAATTGAATCATCAACGGAAACAGTGAAATTTTATTGGTAAATTTGGAAACTCTCGAGCCAGTGTGTTTGCAATGGATAATTTATTAAATGTCATCAACACTCGCGTCAGCAACACTCGCCACGACTGGCCAATATTTGCCGTACAAATAACAGAATCAACGAAATCCCTTGATAGAGTTAATTAAAACCACTCTTGGGAATATAATTCTTTTCAAAGTGGTGTACTCTCGGTTAGTAATAAGGGATGATTCTACAGAGAGGAATAGAAACTTGCGCGAAACATATCGTGGAATAATTCAACATATTTCGTTTATTCGTAACACGCGATCGTCGGCGAAGCAATCAATCGTGTCATCCGGTGAGCATCGATGGTTTCAATTGAATTAATTGTTCTCAGTGATCCTGTTGCTTGATGCCACCGCGAAATAAATTGCTCTCGGCTTTTGAATAAAAGTACGCTGCCCGATGATCGATCGGATTCGTTTTCACGGTTCTTGCTCGTCGGAAAAACAATTTATCCGAGCTTACCGTGTTCCAATTATTTTTTAATCAGCTTTTCACTTACATATACCTAATTTACCGTGAAACGAAATAAAATACATCGAACGGTATCGTTTTCACTCATCTCCCACGCGGTTCGCCTGTGACATATCAAATAGAAAATGAAACGATATCACAAAGGAAAATAACGATCCCCTGCCAGTTTCCGGAAGCACCGAAACAAGATTTTGCGGCTCGTTTGGACAGACCGTGAAATAAATCGTGACAACGCCGTCGAGAAATCACGGAACAGACAAAATGGACCGCTGGAGAGTAATAGAATACTCGGTGAATTTGTTTCGGCATTGTTGCTCGTACTAAAGATAAATCGTTCTCCTTCAACGATTGATCGGCCGGCTTTATTTCCCCCGTGACCAGTCGTTTTATCCTTCTTTCCCTCTTTCTTTTTTTCTCTCCTTACCTCATCGGATGTTACGTGTCCGGAGAATCGTAAAATGGCACTGGAGAATATCGACTACGATGGTCGCGGAGTCACGTTTTCTTACCAGCGAAAATTCAACTGCATCTCCTTTAATTATCGCGTATTACTAATTGTTTGTTTCTCTATGCTTCAGTTGGTCTAACACGAAGGTATCAAGTGTCGGAACGAATGCTTTCAGCTAGAAACTCGCTAGTGGAACAAATGTTTGTTACAAGTTGGAGCGTCCAGCTGATTTGCTTACGAATCGTACAAAATTACGATCCACACATCAGACGTCTGCTTACAAATATCGTTCTAAGAATAATCGTCGTCTATCAAATGACGGTGCACGTGCCGGAACACCCGATCGTTATAATTAGAGTATTACTCGTGTAGGTGCATCGATAGTTGGCTAGTAAATCGTTAGAGAAGCAACAGGTACCCTTGTAGAGCCTCTTAAACGCGATTGACGAAAGCTCGTTTTGTTGTAATTCTAAAAATAATATCTCAAACTTTCCCCTCTTTCTCTCGAGAAACAACTTTTCTCTCCGAGGTGTTGATCGAGAAATTTATGATCAAATCTCCGCCGATATGGAGTTCCTGCAATAATAATAACGTAGACTGGTATTGGCTCGGAGCAACAAGTACCCCTGACGGGTATCTTGTAAAATAAAATAGAAAATTTCGAACGTTCTCCTTTAAACGGGGATCTTTGAAAATTTTATTACAGATCATTTATCTTCAATTTACAGAAATGAGACATTTGGTTAGAAAGCAGAGCACGATAGACGTTCATTCGGTTAAAGTCAGCCTCAAAGATATCGTGTGCTATCTTTCCCTGCTGGAGGCTGGTAGGCCGGAAGACAAACTTGAATGTGAGTAATTAATAATTGCAACGTGTCAGAATTTCAATCTGTCTTTCCAATTTGACTACTCGACGTTTGAACGGTGATTGCGGACGACGAACGAATAATCCTGATTGCAGCATTTAGATTCGCGTGTCCACCGTGATTCTCGACAATGCCTTTCTCAAGCTGTTCTAGCAAGTCTGTTGCAACTTGTTGCACGCCAATTTCGACCCGCATTAATTCATTTCCCTTCCTTTCTTTCCAGTCATGTTCCGGTTGTACGATACGGATGGGAACGGTGTTCTTGATACCAACGTGAGTAAAAAAGAGCATCTCTTTTCACACTCCGCCCTTCTTGTTTTAATCACTTCGCCGCTCCTCGTCAATGGGAGAAATCGAGGAAGGTGGAATTGAAAGCTAGATTAAATGTAACTCGAGGAACCGTACGCTTGATTGAGAATCAGCGAAAGAGTAGCAGGAAGTCTGGAAACAATGAAATCGCTGGTCTCGATTAGAACTTTAATCCATGAAATTAGCAAATGATTTTGCAATATTTGCATTCGATGAAATTGGTAAATTAAATTCAAATAGGAGTAGCAACAGGGCGCGAAAGTGTGTCAGCGAAACGAGATAGATCGATTCGAATACCTTATCTATCGTATCCCCGCATTTAATATCATTATCACGTGTCCCTAGGAGATGGACTGCATTGTCAATCAGATGATGAATGTCGCTGAATATCTCGGATGGGACGTCTCGGAATTGAAACCGGTGAGTTGGAATATCAACGATTTCTCCTTGCATCTACATTATTCGACTACGAATTCGACGCTTTATCATCCCGTTAGGTAGTATTATTTTTATGTAACATTGAAAATTGAAAGAAATTTTAAGTATCTTTTTCGGGAGAAAGATGTACACGATATCATCGCGAGTCTCTTTGCTTACACAACCAAAGAGATAGAGAAATTGATGAACGATATATTTATAGATACTGCAAGACATGATGATAGAAATAGACTACGACGCGGATGGCACGGTATCTTTGGAGGAGTGGAAAAGGGGTGGTCTGACGACGATACCGTTGCTGGTACTTTTGGGTCTGGATTCTCACGTAAAGGAGGACGGGAACCATCTCTGGAGGCTGAAACACTTTAGCAAACCCGCCTACTGCAATCTCTGTTTGAATATGTTAGTCGGTCTCGGCAAGAAAGGTCTTTGTTGTGTTTGTAAGTATCGTCGAGCTCCTTGATATCGCAGTCTCTTCGTTGCTTCCTCTATCTATCTATACAAATACACATTTTACATAGGATTAATTCCCTTATGTTATTTCATCGTTGAGATTCTGCAGTGGTAGAACAAGAATTTTAATCGTAGAATATTCTCTTCGATGTTTATCGAGCAAAACGGTACTTTTAATTCATCCCTAAACGAACAAACGATTCTTTTCCTGATCTATTTTAACGACGATGCAAAGTAAACGATGATTATTTTTAATTACAGTTTGTAAGTATACGGTCCACGAAAGGTGCGTTCAAAGGGCGCCAGCCTCTTGTATAGCCACCTACGTGAAGAGCAAGAAAACGTCACAGACGATGGTGCATCATTGGGTCGAAGGCAATTGCCATGGGAAATGTTCTAAATGTAGAAAGACTATCAAGAGTTACAACGGTATCACTGGTTTGCATTGCAGATGGTGTCAATTGACTGTAAGTTATCTATGATCAATCGTGATTATCGTTACTACGTGACAATCCTGTTTTAAATCATATGATTGTACAGTTGCACAACAGATGCGTGTCACAAGTAAGAGCAGAGTGCACGCTAGGTGAACACGCGGTCCATATCCTTCCACCAACAGCAATTTGTCCAGTCGTCCTGGACAGGCAAAGATCATTATCCAGGGATAGCAAAAGAGGGAGCAAACATGGGCAAGAATCATCCACCGTTAGCTCTGTAAGAAAAATGAGCTCAGAATGGCATTAACCGAAATAGCAATTTTATTTTCAAAAATTATATTTTTCTATCAACAGAGCGGATTTTTAACATCTGTCAGCGCTACCAGCCAACAACCGGCGATGTCCTTTCAAATCACACCACCACTTGACACGGTACCACTCCTAGTGTTCATCAATCCAAAATCCGGAGGAAGGCAAGGGGAACGCATGTTAAGGAAGTTCCAATACATCTTGAACCCACGTCAGGTTCATAATTTAGCCGTGGGTGGACCCATGCAGGGTCTGCAGATGTTCAAGGACGTGGAGAACTTCAAGGTGATCTGTTGCGGTGGCGATGGTACCGTCGGCTGGGTTCTGGAAACAATGGGTACGCTTAACGATTCGTGGAGGGTAGATTTCGATAAATCAATTTATAAAAGAACGTTTTATTGAACTATAGATCGCGTTCAGTTCGAACATCAACCTGCTGTCGGTGTCATACCACTGGGTACTGGCAACGATCTAGCGAGATGTTTGCGATGGGGCGGTGGTTACGAGGGTGAAGCTATCCACAAAGTTCTAAAAGTAAATAAATTTAAGTAGAAGCATTAATGTTAAATGTACATATACGATATTGTGTCACGAAATGATTTACAGAAAATAGAGAAAGCAACAACGGTGATGATGGATCGCTGGCAGATAGAAGTGCTGGATCAGAAGGACGAGAAGAAACCGAACCAAGACAGTATACCGTACAATATTATAAATAATTACTTCTCTGTGGGCGTGGACGCAGCGATTTGCGTGAAATTCCATATGGAAAGGGAGAAGAATCCTGAGAAATTTAATAGCAGGATGAAGAACAAACTTTGGTACTTCGAGTACGCGACCACGGAACAATTTGCTGCCAGCTGTAAAAATCTTCATGAAGATCTCGAAATCATTGTACGTCAAGATCAAAACTATCGGTGTATATTCTCTTAATTATATCAATCGGTATTTCCTTACAGTGCGACGGTACTCCATTAGACTTAGCTCACGGCCCGTCTCTTCAAGGAGTCGCGTTACTGAACATTCCTTTCACTCACGGAGGCTCGAATCTCTGGGGTGAACATCACACGAGGCATCGCCTTGGCAAACGAAAGAAACGACCGGACAAAGAGCTCAGCACCAGTAGTTTTAACTCTGTCGATCTCACGGCTGCGATACAAGGTACTCACCCGAATGATTTCAAACCCGATAAGAAGAAACGTGAAGTGATCGATATATTTACAGATATCGGGGACAATCTCATAGAGGTAATTGGTTTAGAGAACTGTTTGCACATGGGTCAAGTGAAAACAGGACTTCGTCATTCTGGTAGAAGACTGGCTCAATGCAGCAGCGTCACCATCACTACCGGCAAACGTTTTCCAATGCAAATCGATGGTGAACCATGGATGCAAGGACCGTGCACTGTACGTCGCTCGTATCTCGAGTAGAATATTATTAAAAATACTAATTTATACAGTTCTCTGTTTCAGATTCATATAACGCATAAAAATCAAGTACCAATGTTGATGGCACCTCCGCCAGAAAAGGGTCGTGGCTTCTTCCGTTTCTTAAAGAGGTGAACTCGAATACACTTTAAAATCGGAACCGAGGGAAATAAGTAACCTTGGTTTCTCCTATCCAAACATAGTCCCGTATGTTTTACTTTATCTTGATTAAAGACGGAAACGGAAGCGTATCATCAGTTCGGTCGTACTTGAGCTTGGGTAGCTTGGGTGCTCGTTCGAGCGCAATGGGCGAGCTTCAACGTAACTTAGGTATTCTTGTGTACAGTATTTTTTGAGAATAATAATAATAATAATAATAATAATAATGATAAAAAAAAGCATCGTTCGTCTTAGAGTTAGGATCAGCGGTAGGCTCGTCGGTCTTCGTGCTTTCGCGTAGCTCGATGCGGGGATTAAAATTAATGGATCGTTTTGTATAATGCTGAAATAGCGCCCGTGACGAAGTTTCTTTGTCGTTTCTCGAAATCCGTGGCTTGAGTCTACCGCTTTAAATACGCAAGTACAAGCCTGTATCGAAGTCGAGCGTATAATTACACCGACACGACGGATTGTACGGTATCATGCAAAAGAGAATAATTTCTTAGGTAATTTTATCTTCTATTTAAATGTAATAATAACTTCTCTATTTATTTTTCTTTTCTTCGTACAACACTTATAGCGATATCGCAAGAGTTTCGTTTCCTCGGTAAGAACGGCAGGATAACTCGAGGATAAACGGATCATTCTGATGAAAACTAATTTTTATATTGATTAAGGAACGCGTATCTCTGTTGTATGTTACTTTATTATTATGTCTTTGATATAGCCGTTGATCTGTGTATCCTTGACTAGTCTTGCAAATCATTTACTTTTGTAAAAAGAAACGAACGGCGCACGAAACAATTCAGATCGATCCTCTTTTTTGCACGACTCCGTCCAACATCAAAGATCTTCTACTTTCCTCTCTTAACGTTAGGATTTTTGTACGAAAGCTTAGTCGTAACCGCTTAGATGTAAATCACGTACGATTGGTTTATTTATTTATTTATTTATTTATTTATTTATTTACTTATTTATTTATTTATTTATTTATTTATTCTATGGCTCTACTAAGCCAGAGCAATATACGTTGTGAGCATATCAGTAGAGATACAGCGTTGCTATAAAAATAGTACGCTGTAAGGTTTAGTTGTTGATTTGTCTTTCGTATGAATCGCAAAATCAGAAGTGACGAAAATTATGCGTACGCTTTCCATTCGATTCCAGATTTATTAAATTTCTGTTCTGTTATTTATTGTTCCCTTTCACACGTTGGCCACTCGTACCATCACTACAATTAACAAATTCACGCTTTTGCGATCGTGAATTATTAATAGAAGGCAGATCTCGTATGTCATGTATTGTATTGATAGAAAAGTAGAAATCAACTCGTAGTAGGTATTGTAAAGTTTAATGGAAATCAATTCAGCCAACGTGTCAAGCACGATCAGTATTGCGGTACCGAATTTACAGAATTTTTCGTAGAATTCTTCTCTCACTGCATTCAGCGCGCATTTCAAAGTTAGCCGCTATAAACGCTTACTACAATTTTCCATATTTTTCTTTCATCTGTTCTTTGTTACAGAAAACGAAAACAATAGAATGAGCATTTTTCAAATTTTCCGTCCGACGTTAGAATTAAACGATCATAGAATGCAATTACGTATTATGTATAAGTTGATTCGTTTTCCTTTCAAATAGCGTTTATTTCACAATTTTCCGAAATGTCAATTCGATGGAGCTCGTAACGAATGGTAAATGTATCTTGATAAATCTTTGTAGCAATATCGAGCGGCATGCTTCTGAAAAGATGATTCTTTTATCATCCCGTCGCAGATGTGTCTGTTTCACCCCCATGCTTTTGTATGAACAATGTGTAACAAAGAAGTACGATTCTGAGCAACATCCCGCAGGGACCATCACACAGTTGAAAATCCATGTAACAATATAAAATGATCATAAATCTTATCTTCTAGCAACGATGACCATTTAGCTTTGTGTAATGTTTCAATTCAGCCAGCGATGTAACATTTTCTGTATAAAGGGCGTACAATTATCTTTCAACGCGTTGACAAAATAGAGAGTATCAAAGTTTATTGTTAGAAACGCTTCAATTTACTATTTCGAATTCTTTCCTTTTTTTTTTTTAAATTAAACAGTCAACGTGTTAATTACCTTTCCGATTCGTTTGTTCGAAATAAATGCAATATATCTCGCCCAAAACAAAAGAATAAATAATATCCGTGATAGAGAGAGAGAGCGTTCTAAATGCAAGCATTCACGAGTCAATATTTTCAAGCATGTATTTAGATCGTTTTACCACGTAGGAATTGATAATAACGATTTCGTAAAAATTCTCGTTTCCCTTTACAAAAATATACGCATACTTCCCTTTAGCGATTATACGATCGACTATATATGATACATATAGTTGCTCTCGTTAGACGAATCGAAATATTACGCTTATGTATAATGAATACAACCCGTGTTAAGGTCTTAATCGTTAAGTCGTTATCCATTAGCGTAAAAATCGGACGAGGTAGCATGACGGAGAACATTTAATTGAACATGGTCGTGCTCCCTTCGTCCGGAATCTGTGAATACTATCGGCACAATAATTACAAATATTGTTTTTCTATTGGATTGGCGCAGTGTCTCAGTGTGCTTGTCATTGTATAACGTTATGGTATAAAGAAAAGACCCAACCAAAAAAAAGGAATAGAAAAATGAAAAGGTGCACGATAATGTGAGAAACCGTAAGGAAATTTTGAACCCTTCATTCAAAGAACAACTTCTGTTCGAATTTTTAATCAATGTACGCGCGATATACAGGGCAGTGCCATAACGAGGGTGAGGTGAAAAGGTGCCACTGGTTGAGAGTTGCACGTGGTTTTTATTTTACTTGACCATTCTATTCTATATGAATCAACACCGACTGTCACTGGCCGTTTTTATAGATTATTTATTCATACTTTGACAAATTCATTATTGTATATACAGGCAACTCATTAAAATTTTTATTTTTTTTTTGTCATTATTGGGTTACGGGGAGGCGCAAGTTAGACACTTGCCACAAGCGCTTCATACCCTCGTTATGGCACTAATACAGGGTAATCTGTTTTGACGATTTTGACCAGATGCACTTTGATATGTTAACATCTTTTTCCCATAGATTTACCAATATTCAAGTGTTTTTTTTTTGTGCATGTCCATTTAAGCGTTAAAACAGCTCACCCTGTATAGAAAATGAACACGTATCAAGATCGACAATAGTGCTCGTCAATTATTCCTTTCTTTTTCTTACGAAGCGCACTTAATTCCGTAACAGATAGAAGAAAAGCAACAAGTTGACGAAAGAACGTTGTTATTTTTAATGATGAAATAAAAATGTCTTGGCGATCGATGGTAACGGATATTCCTCGTGCAAGATTAAAACGTAACAGAAGGTGAAACTATAATTTCTGCTCGATTGCATTTCCGTGACCTTTCATCCTCTCGACAGACGCCTTTTTATTTGCATTTCTAGATTTCTTCCAACGGAAGTCTCTATTGAAATAGGGGACCATTTCTTTGCCATTTTTTTTTTTAGTTTAATTCTCTGTTCGTTCCTTTTGCAAATTTTCATCGCCCTAAAATAAATTAACATAGCATCGTAATGATTTCGAACACGAATTGTGGATTGTAGTCGTTAAGACGTTTCAATGATGTTCGTATTGGATGAATTTACTGCCACTTTTAACTGGGTCTTGCGTACGTTTGAGCACTACTGCCATTTTCCAAAAGATATCCACGTATAGGAAGAAGAAAAGCCTGTCTATTATAGTGTATTATACGAAATAAAGTGTACATTACGATATTCGATCTCTTCCAAGTTTCCATTTAATCTATGCGGAAGACGTCCATTAAATTACCATATTACGCGCCCGCTTTGGACATTCGCCGAGTAAATAAAATAAGAAAACAGTCATTTTAATTAAGTGTACAATGTCCACAATGAACGTTTTAGTTTAACAGTCTCTCGTCGGTGCATAAAAGTACCGTAAAATGGCACTTATGGTATATCAGTTTAAACCTTAACGAAGATAATTATTTAGGCGCTTCATTAATATTCTTAATAAAAAGTGACTGAAAGCCAATTACAGTAAACAATGACTATAATTAGGAATTTTCAGTCTTTTTCATGAATATTTTAAACATTTGCGATTGTAAATTGAAGAATTTGTTTGTAGTTTATTTGTTTTTCAAGATTTTACTTATTTAATGTTTTAAATTTGTAAATCATCGCTCTTTTACAATTAATCGGTACCTTTGTTTTTAATTTTAGATTGTAATTAAGTGTTGTAATAATTTCATTTGTGTTAAAATCAAAAGTTTTTAAAAAAAGGAAGATAATATCGTTACCGGTCGAGAAGATCGTGCGAAGCGCCTCATAGCGTGAAACATATAAAGTATCGCCGGTATACTTCCGGTTCGTTTTTCTGACAAGTGGCTGATGGCTGCCTGACATTTCTCTTTTCATAATTTCAGTGAATTATGTCCGTGAAGCACGTTATTCACTCTTCTAAATGAAACGATAATACATCCGTCATTCATTAAAATAGACAGCGCGTCATAAAAACGCATACACAATCCGGCAAATATATGTACAATAGGTAAGATCGACAAAATATCATTTTATCAGGCGTGCCACCGGCTAAGGTTAGAATAATCCGAATTCCGGTACGCTTATCGTACAAAATTCCATTAACTTTGGCATTTTTTTAGGTTTCGCAGCAGCTATCGGCAAAATGATCAAAACGGGAGAGGATAACCTAAGGCATCTTCACTATCAGCAAACAGTGTAAGCACTCATTAAAAAACTTACCTGTTTTGCAACTGTACATTGCAAAAATTTTCATTGATAATTTTGATATATTTTTGCGTGTTGTTTTTCTTTCACGTAAATTATTGTAAACGATATGAAAATAAAAATTTGCAGCTATGGATCCTCCTACACCTCTTTGCAATTTTTTTAATATTTTAGAAATAATAGTTATTTCATTGTATTTTATATTACTTCCTCTTAAGTGAGAAATTTATGTAAGATTTTATTAATCATTTTATACTTATAGAGAGTTTAATGGACAAGAGGATCAACATTCAGTAGAATTATATAGCAAATATGTTACCATTATTCCCTCACCCGGGGGACACAACCATGGTAGTTCAAAGGTGAAGCTAAAAAATATTGTTGATTTTACATGGGAACATAATTTCTATGCAGGACAGTTATTGGCTGTTCATATGTCTGGAAAGTATTTAGCTTATGGAATAAAAGGTATCTAAATTGAATTAGAATTATAAATATTTTATGATTTCTAAATTTACTACCTTGAAATTATTTATGTAGTTAGTAATGGAGGAGGTATGGTAAGAGTTGTATACAAGGAATTGGAACAAAGAGCACTATTGAGAGGAATGAGAGCAGCAATACAAGACTTGGCTTTTGCACATATTTCAAATGCCATTTTAGCATGTGTTGACTATCTGGGAAATCTTTTTATACATACCATTGAATCAACACCATCTGAACTTTTGTGCAGTTTATTGTTGCAAGTAGATGCAGAAGATATAACTGGTACCAGTCATCGTGTGATATGGTGTCCATATATTCCTGAAGATGTACCATCTGATGGAGATGATGTTTCAAAACTTTTAATTCTAACCCGTGGTTCCAAAGTAGAGTTGTGGTCAGTTAATACCGTTACATCCAGATTCAGAGCAATAGAGGTGAATGGTGTACCTTACTTACAGATTATAAAATCCATATAAAATGAACAAAATATCAAACTATTTGAATGATAGGCAACTGATCCAGCTGTAAAGGAAAATGGAGGCATGCTGGAAATTGATCAACATTCTGATACAATCATTGAAGCAACTTTAAGTCCAGATGGCACAGCTTTAGCCACAGCTAGTTTTGATGGAGAGGTGAAGTTCTTTCAAGTTTACTTACATACCAATTCTCATGGTAATCAATCGCAACCCCAATGTTTGCATCAATGGAGGCCGCACGATGGACGACCTATCTCCTGTTTATTTTTCCTAGATGACCATAAAACGTACCAACCTGAGTAAGAAACCTTACAAAAAAAATACTATTGAATCCCTTTTACCGTCAAAGTAAATTAATCATAATTTTTTATTTTTGTTTTATAGTGTTCAGTTTTGGCGGTTTGCTGTAACTGGATGTGACAATAATACAGAATTAAAAATCTGGTCTTGTGAATTATGGTCTTGTTTGCAAACCATCAAATTTGCTCCGACACCTTCTACTGGCAAACTACCAATATTGAAAGCAGGCTTAGATCTTAGTGCTGGTTACCTTCTTTTATCAGATATATACAATAAAGTTCTCTACATATTAAGTCTTACAAAAGATAGCGGAGAAGCATTAGCATCTGTAAGTACAATATCAGAGTTCCTTCTTCCGTACCCGATATTGAGTTTTGGAATTGTCGACGCTGGTTTGCGTAAAATACGTCCTACCGGTGAATCGTTGGAAGATTTATGTCCCGGCGAGGAAGAGATCGAGGAACAACTTGTGATCCGAATGTACCTAGTCCAACCAAAGTCATTACAAGAGTGTCATATTGCTTTTAAACCTGCCTCACAAGTGAGTGGTAACTGCCTCATGGACACGCTGACTCACGCTGATTCATTGGACTATGGCGAAGAATTACCAGATATGGTAGCCGTTAATCACAATGGAATTTCAGGAGAAAATTGTGAAGAAGATCGTTCGCTATCAGCTACGATTGAAGCGGCAACAAATCATACTGCTGGTTTGAATCTAATGACACCCGATGCGTTTAGTTCACCCGCTAAAAAAGAGAACAATGAATTAGATTCACGTCCTAACAGTCCTGACTTTGGCAAAGTGTTATCGGTTAGTCCGTCTCTTGCGCAAGCAGTGCAAGCTCTAAATGCAACAGATCCTCCATTAGCTACAAGCGAATTAGAAGAACAAGCCCCTGCTAGCAGTGGTAGTAGCCCGTCCAGGGAAGTAAGAGAAATCCTATCGCTTACAAAACCCGACGAAGAACCGGAAACTGAAAGTAAACCGGAAGCTACCAATACCGCTGATGAAGATTGGCCTAATCTTCCAATGGTACTGTTAAAAGACGTAAGTAGGCATACGATGCAAGAGACTGATGGATTTGCGAACGAAGAGGAGAAGAGGAAGAAATTAAAAGACGAATCAAAATCGACAACGCATACCGAAAGAGATGCTGAAAATAATTGGCAGACAACAAATGACTTGAATGCGCTCGAACTGATAAATAAATTAGAATCTATTTTGGAAACGATTCAAGATCAGCGACAAGAACTGAGAGAATTACGCGCTGAAGTAACTAGACTGAGGCAAGAAACACCAATTTCGACACGAGTTGAATCTGCTTTAGCAAGAGCTTCTCAACAGCAGAATGCAACGTTAGAACAAACGTTATATGGTCAAATGGCTCGGCAACACGAGTTCCTTAATACGCTAGAAACAACGATTAAAGATAAAATTGAAACCACCTTACCGCGGGTCATCGAAAATACGGTAGAACCATTGAAACATCAACTGAGATTAGATGCAGATAGAATGGACGAACTTTTGAAAGAAAATTTGACAGAACTAATAAATAGTGCTCAGGTAAAAGATACGCTCGCTTTGACAGCTGCGAATGCAGCAAAACCAGCGTTAGATACAGCGTTTAAAGAAGCTTTTACGAATGTTTTTTTACCTGGCATGGAAAAAGCTTGTCAAACGATGTTTAAACAAGTTCAAGATGCCTTTATCAGGGGCACTCGCGAATGTAAGATAGACCTTGTAAATAAAATCTCAACATGCGATTTTATATAAAACATCCCTTTTTTCGTTTTATAGATCTTCAAAATGTTGAGGTAATTGCAAATAAACAATACCAACAACGAAATGAAAAGCAAAGCGAAGCATTATCTGCATTAGTTCGCGAAGAGTTACAAACGGAATTGAACAGAGGTTTAAATGCTTTACATGACGGAACGATACGTACCATTCGTGATGCTATTAGAGATAATTTAAATCAACAACTGACTGAAATTTCGAATGCACGGTAAGTGCATATAAATAAAATTGATAAAATTGATAATAAGTAAGATTAATTTGATTTATAGTTCACGTGCTACAACACCTGCTATACCAGTACCTGCAGTTGCCGATGCTCAGGCTCGAGTTATGTCTCTGCTTCAAAGAGGACAGTTAAATGCTGCCTTTCAACAAGCCTTAAGTGCTAGTGACTTAGGTTTGGTAGTGCTAGTTTGTGAAAGAACGGAACCCGCAAGAGTATTTTCTTGTCCTGTAGGACAAGGCCAGGGTTCAAGGTGTATTTTACCGCAACCTGTAATTCTTTCACTTGTACAGCAATTATCAGCAGATTTAGGACATCGTACAGAGCTTAAGCATAGGTAATTAAGAACTCTCTAAAAATGTATAACTATATTTAACAATCTGTTTCGTTGTTCAATTTTTCAACAGGTGGCTTGAAGAGGCAATATTAAATTTAGATCCCACTGATCCGGTAACACGAGAGCATATGGGTACTGTATTAATAACTTTACAAAATCAATTAACCGCTTTTATAGCGGCTAATCCAAATCATAGTTCTATTCGACGTATGAAAATGTTAACTATGGCTGCACGCGCACTTTTAAACCAACATCCTTGATGTCAAATACGTATGGAATAGAAAGAACACATTGATTAAATAACGTCAGATTTTATATTCGTTTTGTTTAAAAGATAATTTAGTTTCAAGAAAATATCGACCCTGTCTATATGTTAAGACTGGCAGTAATTCTCATATATGAAAATAGTGCTTATTTATCATTAACAGTTTTACTTTATTTATCGAAATTCACTCTCATACCTTGATATTATTATATTTTGATATTTCTCTTTTTCTTTTTTAAGTTGAATTCATACAACATTCTTACATACAAAACAAATATTACATGGAATTTTCATGTGTAAATTAGTGTTTAAAGTACACTTTCTTCATTCTTCTAAATGCTGACTTTGTATTAAAGAATCTATTAATGGTGCATTTTATGACATATTGTATGATACACATTAAACTTTTCATACGCATGAAGATGGAGTAGTACTAAAATTTTAATTAGAGCTTCCAATCTTAATTTGTAAGCTTTAATGACTCCTTTAAGAGAGATATCTCTCCTAAATTTTGTGTTTCAGTACCGTGAGTATATTTTGAAGTATTTCTCTCCAATGTTATTTTATTTTACCTCTAGCTGAAACATAGTTTCACTTATCCTGGTATATCTTTAACTGTAATGTAATAAAGCAAGATACTCTATATTTCTTACTATGAAAAAATAAATACTTTAAAATTAATAATAAGTTGTATGTCAAATTTTATAATGTGCATAGTACTAAGTTCCAAGTTTTTTATGTACCTAACTTATATGTATAGTACTATGCCTGAACATATTTTGATTAAGATTTATCCTTTGTTTAAGTATTACTTTATGTCGTATGATACATGCATATTTACAAAAAGGATGTAAATAATACGAAGTTTACATGCACTTATGTTCATTTTATGTTTCGATATACAGAAAGTTTTAAAGTTCCTAATTCCAAATTTACGACGTGTTCATTATATGACTAGATGTTGTAGTGATAATGTAATATATTTAAAGAACATTGTATGTCTCCCTTAGGAAGTGATTCCATTTACTTATTTTTCGTACTTTGTTAAATAAATATAATTGATTCTATTTTAAATAATGAGTATTTTCATAATGTAAAGAAATATGAAAGATAAAATATTTCAAAATATGGTAATTTGAATAAGTATACACGTTTTTTCGTAGTAAACATCGTATAAAAATTTTGTAAACAATTTTATAATGAACATTTCGTAAATATAAAAGCATTAACACATTTTCTGATATTTAGGGATAAGCTTATATAAGTATACCATAATACAATTACTTTAATTTTACGAATTGAGAACAGACAATTGTATTATAAATAAAAATAAGATTTATTTGCATAAATTTCAATATTTGGTTTATATACAAAGATTTTTAAAACATATATGTTAATTATGATAACATATATGTTTTTCAATTTGCTTATTTTTTTATTTCAGCTACTAATACTTCTTTAATATGTGGTGCTATTTTCTTTTTCTTTCTTTTCTGAACTTTATTAGATTTTTTTGCTGTAATGTTTTTCACAGTCTCTGTCTGTGGTTTCTTTTTCTTCTTTAAACAACTAAGTGGATTTGGCCCACCTTTCCTCTTTTTCTTCTTTAATCTTATTTCTGTTTGTTCTGTCATACCAGCTGCTTCTTTTAATGTTTTCATATTTTGTTTCTCCCACGCAGTCATTCCTAACTCTTTATGACTATTTTCTGCATATTCACGATTTGCTTGTGAAGGTGCTTCTAAAGTTGGTGCTTTACCATGTAGATATAGTATGGGAACACCTGGAACTTTTCTTAAAATATCTTGGAGTTCTCTATCTTGAGTAGCTACAATGTACCTATAATACATTAAAGTAATATAAATTATATCCTTCTGGTATTTACTTGTACTTAAATAATGAGTGCTTCCATACCTAGATTCATTATTTCTTTTAACCATTGTTTGTAAACATTTTATACCAGTTATTGGATTTTTTTCATGTCCACATTTATGTATTGGATATTGTTTCACTATCTGCATAGCACCGCTAACTGCCTTTGAAAAGGAGCCTAGCTTCTCTGTTTCCAAAATGATACATGGTGTAGTTAATAGTTTCATTTCAGATTGAAAATACTTTGATAACTGGTCTTGTATGTTAAATTTATTCTAAAAAAAGGGTACAAAAAGGTATCAATGCAACAAATAACTCTTTCGTACATTCCATCATTAATTACTCATATTATATATTTTAATTAAAATAGCTTAAACAAACCTCCAGAGCAGCAAACGCAAATGTCCCATCAATAAGAACTTGAAACGGTGGTCTAAACTTGAAATTGTTAATGAAAAAGCCTAAATTTCTTCTTGCTTTCTTTTGCCGAGCTGTTTTCATATTCCTTTTGTTCTATACTACAGGAAATTTAAAATCATTTGAAAAGTTTTGTTACGCTTTGCGCAGCGAAAGGATAACCTTTATATGTATACCGCAGTTCACCAGAGTCCATAACTGCGAAAAGACCAATTTTCGGTCTTCGCGCTTCTCCAGTACGCATCTTCGCCCTGATTGGCGATACTTCCAAACGAAGTGCAAAGCGATTAGCAGAGAGCTCGCTGCGTTCCCCCACCATCTTCCAACCTGCACGTCGCAGTTATGGACTCTGGTGAACTGCGGTATATATTCGTAATTAAAATTGTTGGAATATTAAATATCTTTATAGGTATTAGTTACTACTTAAGTTTTACATATTGTATGAAAAACATACTACTTTGACTTTACATTATTTGCTAATAAAAACTAATTTTATGTTTACAAATAATTAAAACTTATCTAGTAATTCAGGGATAACGAAAAACGTTCTAGAGAAAAGGTATGATTCTTGTCTTTAGATTTTCACGATGACCGACGAGCGGCAACTATTTGTTTATATTTTGTATATTGCAAATAAGATTGTATAAAGTATAAAAATTTAAAAGAAAAAATTCGTGACGAAAACAGTATGTTGAATGTGACTGGTTGAAGTTTCATTCAAATCTTAGTTTAACACACCGATGGAAATATACATATATCCTTTAGCGGTTATTCAAACTCATTGTCGTTTTTATTAATTGTTGACAAAACATGAATAATATGTACCTGTTATTCATATCTTAAATAATTGTTGAAATTATGTGTTTTTAATGATTTTGGTCATTTGACATCTTTCTTATGGTGGGATCTTTGAAATCTTCCGAATATAACCAAGGTGTAATTTCAAAAAGATGAAACGTTTAAAAAGTGAATTGATTAATGCTACAATTGAATCATATTTGAAACGACGTCATTATCAGGCAGGTTACGTCCTTATTTTTATTCAACACATTTCATTGTAATTAAAATAAAATATATAAATATGACATAACCTTTATTTAACTTTTAAATATTATTTACAGACTAGCGACGTTTTCTGCAGAGGCAATCAGGTACATTGCCGAACCAGTGATGAGATGACTTTGAATGCTACTGCTGCTTGTGCTACATCTCAAGATAACTCTATTATTTTCAGTGCCATTAGCATCGATGTTGCTGCTGCAGATCAAGCGTATCAACGGTATATCTACTAATTCTTGTTATATTTCTTTACTGTTACTGTAACATAATGTATATTGTTACTTCCACTAATTTGTTTTTTGGAAATGATGTGTTTTTCCAGATTAAAGATGTGGGTAAATATTATACTCGATGATAAGTTGAAAATGGAATTAAAAGGGCTTTTATACCCTATATTTTGTCACTTGTATCTAGAGATGCTACATGCTGGTAACAGACAAGCAGCAATTCAGTTTTTGAAATCTCATCAAAATGAATTCATTAGTGAAACAGAAAAAGACTTCTTAGAAGAATTATCCAGTGTATTTTCAGTGCAGGATATTGAGTTGAGACCTTTGGTAAATTCATTTAGAACTAGGAAGTACAAAGTGGATATGTCAGATGTTGCTCATTTATGTCTTCAACAATTTCTTTCAAAACACGGACACATTATATTAATGCAGGTAATAAGGAAGAGTTAGCATTGTTACACAAACGCATAAATGTCTTAATTTAGGTTCATAACATAAAATTTTCTTTTGTTCAGATTATAAACACACATGTGACAATAATTAAGAAAATGGAAGTACTTGAAACGGATACAGACGGATGCGATGAAACGAGTTCGCGTTGTGAAACCGGAATTAATGGATATGTAGAGCAACCATCAGGTACTGGAGCCGACCGTGAAATGAGAGAATTGCAAGAAGCAATAAGATTAATACGAAATAATGCGCATCAACCACTACGAATATTTGCAGTGAATAACGCTATTGAAAAGTAATTTGAAAATAAATTATATGTAGTAAAAAATTGGGGAATGATAGGAATTATATGAAACATTTATCTTTACAGTGCAAGTAGTGGTGTAATCCCACCAAGTATGGATAAATTAGCAGTAGGATTTAGTACTACAGAAATTAGATTATGGGGTATAAATGAAACAGTATTAATTAAGCCAAAGTACGAAGAACCTTCCTTTTCGTTTGCTTCCGATAGTCCATTTTTAGATAAATATTATGAAACAACTGACGGAACGTAAGTTTTTATAATCTTGTAAATAACTTTTAAAGATAAATAACAGGTAGAATATAAGATTGTATATTTCAAGGACTGAAGGAGGGGCAGTGATACTTAGAGGACATACCGATATTGTTCACGATTTAAGGTTTATTCCAGAATCAGAAATTTTACTTTCCGTATCTAGTGATAAGGATATGAGGGCATGGAGACTTAACGATTACACATGCGCTGCAATTTATAGGTATATCCATATAAATTTTATCTCAATACTGTTTAATGTAAAACTATTATCATTCAGAAATTTTGTTACAGTGGTCACAATTATCCTATATGGTGCATGGACCTTAGTGTATTCAATCTGTATGTAGCAACAGGTTCTCACGACAGAACTGCGAAATTATGGTCTTTAGATAGAATATTTCCATTGCGTATATTTGCTGGTCACTTTTTAGATATAAATGTATGTATTGTAACAGAAATAAACATATTATGCACTTTTGAACATACAGATACTTAAGGAAGATATTTTACATATTTCTTTGAGATCTTCTAATGATATCTATTTTCTAATTATTTTTTGATTTCATATAGTTTCATAACGTGTTTTCTCATAGTGTGTAAAATTTCATCCAAACGCGAGATATTTGGCAACTGGATCGGCCGATAAGACCGTGAGGTTGTGGGATAAAGACGATGGAAATTTATTAAGGGTATATATTGGGCCACAGTCGACAATTTACAGTTTAGCTTTTAGTCCAGATGGAAAGTATTTGGCAGCTGCTGGTATGATAATTTGCCTTAATGTTCAGTTAACATGAGTAACATAATGATGTAATACTGATTATAGCTTTATTTCTTTAGGCGATGACAAATCTATTTTTGTTTGGGATTTGGCGACTAACGCATTGTTAACTGAGCTTAAAGGCCACGAAGATACAGTTATGAATTTAGATTGGAGTTTTGATGGACAGTATATTGCTAGTGGAAGTCTGGATGGCACTATTCGTTTATGGCCTACGCATGACCACATTAAGACTGTTAATAGGTAATTCTTACATTTATAACTTCGACATGCCATTAATATGGAATTGTATTTAAATGTTATTACTTTGTTTTTCAGTAACTCATCAAATCTAGTACCTGAAACAGAATCACCACAAATATACTCAACCTACTGCTCAAGTATTCTTTCATTACGTTATTATAATAAAAATAATTCGCTCGTTTGTATCGGGACAGTGGATAATTTGTAATATATAAAAAATAAAAGATTAAACGCGATATATTTATAAATCAGATTGTTTATTATAGCATGTTTTGGTAAATAACATTACACTTGGATGAACTATTTAATACTGTAACACCATAACAAAGAAACACTAATTTTCCACTTCTCCTATTGAAACTTTACAGTGTATTACAAAGTTAGGACAGTCTGCCACATACATCAACACGAAGTAATCTGTCTTGCATAATATCCAAGAACGAAGACCAACAGGGACCATAACATTAGCCCCCATGTTTCAAAATTCCTAGGTAATAGTTCGCCCATCTGTATGCTGAAACAGGAAGTTTAACAAGTATTAAAGACCCTTTTGTAACTTTTATATTCACATAGTTGATCAAACTAATTACCATAACGTTAATTGTTCTTCAACAGTTTTGGTCATATCGGATTCTACGAATGAATTCTGTTTATTAATCATTCGATCTTCAGCCTCTACATCAGTAATAATGTTACAATTGATGGTATCGGTGATATCGCTTTGGTCATTTCTTAAAAGATTATTATTCTCTTCCGCAGAATTTCTCCTTGACTCGGTTTGTTCGGAAATGTCTCGTAATTCAGCAACACTGTTTGAACTGCTGCAATTCAGAATAAATTTATTTATTCTTCATTTCATTCTAAGTATATCTTTCGTTATAAAGTCGATTTAAAAAAAATACTACAAACTCTGTTCGATTTAATTTTTCACTCTCCCAGCTTTGCGTTTCAGAGCATAACGATGGTCTTCTTAAGGTCATTCTTCCGGAAACCGAATTGCGTTGCCGTGGACCTTCCTGAATACAAGACGAGTCAAAAATAACGCATTAATATTTAAACCATTCCTTTGAATAAAAGTTTTTGAGAGAAAAAGAATGGATGGATAAAAGATATTGCCTTTGTCATATCTTGCGAAGATAGTGGACGCGAAATTGTTGCAATGCTTGCTCTTCTTCTAGCTATCTGTAAACAAATATAATCAAGAAGAAGTTATTGCTATCTGTATGCATTTCCTGATATATTATGTTAATATTTGAACCATTGTTCTGTTATTAAATGGTACTCCGTTCCTGTATCTTATTTTGGGTAGATCATCACCAACTTCTCCTGAATTTTCTTCTATTACAATATTATTCTTCAACAAGATTCTCCTAAAAAATATTACATATTAACAGGTTTTATTTCATTTTCTTTTTCAGTATTACAACAGAAGACATTGCAAACTTGTACTTATGCAAAATCTTACTTGGTCTCCATAATTTCTGCAGCCAGATTTTCGCATCTGGTGCGCAGTATCTGAAGATACTTATCAGCTATAAAAACTGCTCTAGAGATTCTGTGCTCTTGGTACACTGCCCCAAGTGTCTCAGCAGCACAAGATACCCCATGAGCGCATCGTGCAACTGTGTCTAACCGACGACGGACCTTTTCAACCCTGTCTATCGAGTCCCTATCTGTACATAGTGGCGATAGTTCCTGTGATCAGAAATCAATAATCAATATCGATCAAGTGATTGTTAATAGAAGAAAAATGAATATACATGCCTGTATATTTTCTTGCATCTTCTGTATCTCATCCGTGAAATTTCTTTCGGATTGATCCCGTTGACGAAGCGACAGTGCCATTCTTCGATGCAAGGTGATCCTATCAGTACTAAGCCCTATCGAAAACGCGATATATTTAAGCTGTAATTAAGAAAGATCCACGTTTAAAATTCAAGCTTTGTATGAAAGAAAATAACGTGCTACATTTCCTGTAACTTACTTCAAGTTCGTTTTCCGACAAACTTTCCCTGGAAATAGAATAAGGAATTTTAATAATTGAAATTTTCATTTGATCCTAATTAATGTGTTTACCTGTACAGACTGTCGACGTCTTTCAAGTTGGACAATCCCATTATCCGTAACCTGCCGTCGGTGAAACTTGGAAAAGCCGGAAATTCTTCTTTCTCATCGAACAATTCTTCCCTGATGCATTTGCAGTGTCGTCTTGCACGGTGATACCGTTCGCTGTCGCCCTCGGACAAGGATCTCCTTATAGCGAAGAATCTCTGGCGTCGAAAGGAATGCACGAAATTTGAGGGGATAATTTTTTCTTAAATACACAGTATATCATCGGTATTCGGTCTCTATAAATATCTCATTACGCGATCTAAAAGAAAACGAAAGCAAAATTTTCTCCGATGCCTTCCAATGCTTTATGTCCAATTTCCCGATGGTATATATATATATATATTCTGGACGGTTTCTTCGAGCTTTCAGAGAAAATATTATTTTTCCTATCGGACGGAATAGATCGCCAGATGTAGTCGAAGGCGTGTGGCACGGTAACGATTCAAGGTACGTATAACATTTAGAATGTCTGACAATATTGGAAGGTTTGCATCGCAAACACCAATACATTTATCATTTTCTTTTTTCTTAGATAAGATTAACTTTAGAAGAGGAAACTGTTAATATGCAAGCCCGAGCATCGACTGTCACGGATCAAAGTATGTTCAACGAGCATCAGTGGAATTGAGATTTCATAACTAATCACTGGACTACCACTTGCACAAATCAAGATTAATCTAAAAGAAGAGGATTACGGCCTTGGTATAGAAAATATAAAAATAAAGCTTCCAATCGATCCAATATTTTGTTTGAAAAATTCATTAGTGATTAATGCTATATTGAAATTAAAAAATTGGATTAATTAGAGGTATACAAATTGCTATAACAAAACTGTAACACTTTTCTTTTTGATTTTGATTCATTTTAAGGATAGATATGATGTATTTGAAGGATTACCAACTTGTCGCTTCGCTCGTTTCGTGTCAATCTCTTCAAGATCCTCCGTTTTCTCGGTATTCCGATCATCGATCGAATCCGGTTCCCCTGTGGGTTCACCAATTGAAAAACACGCCGAGGTGTGCGAGAGGATGCTGCTCTTCTTCGATCTCGATCCCTCGTTTTTGTCATCGTTTCGCGTGGAGGCCGCTTGCATGCTGCTTCTTCCTCCGATCGAATCGTCCTCGCTATCCGAACCGTTCGAGCTATCCTCGTGACTCGACATTTCGGCATCGACTGATGTATATTTTCCGAGACGACCAGCACTCGACGCGTTCACAAACGAGCGGGGATATTCCGAATCTTTGATCTTAACCAGATCTGCGAACCATAGGATAGATCTCCAACAAATATACATTTTATTGTATTTTTAGGTTTTTACAAACTCTGTGCTTCGACGAATTTACCGGTGTTGCTCCAGCGAGGCCGGGCTGGATGCGTTTCCGGTGGATTTTCAAGGACAGGATTGATCGCTGAGGAGATTCGCTCATCGTTATCTTGTTTCTTCTTCGATTGGACATCGGTCGAAGGAGGACAATCGGAAGAATCGATCGCGACACTATCAACGGTGCTCTGGTGAGAACAAAATTATTATTAAGAGGAGAAAAAAAGGAAATTATTTTTAACTCTTAACGGTCCAACGATCGTGGCTAATTATAAAACTCTAGGAGAATGATGAATGTGGGCTATTACTTAATAAGTCATCGCTAGGAATGATTATAGAAATTGGAACGAAACTTAGATTTATAGTTTGATATTTCGGGTAAATTCCTTAAATTTGAGAGGACACACGAGGTGATTCATTTATTAAAATGTATCGCACAGAATTTCATCTTTACTAGATGATTCAATTTCTGGAATCATTCCATGAGATTTCTTCTTCATCGTCTACGGAGTACCTTTAAGGAAAATATTTTCGATGCAGCAAACGTTTCAAACGAAAACAATTTGTTTCATTACCATATCAAAGTTCCGAATTTATTATGAAAATAAGGTCTCGACGAAAATATACAGGGTGTTCGACAACAGGTGGGAGATTTTTTAAGGGGTGATTCTAGGGATCAAAATAAGACGAAAATGAAAAATGTCGAAATATTGTTTGCGGCTTTGTATTTCAGTAATTAACGTTTAAAAATTCGAGGGAAAATCGCCTTAAACGTTAATTACTGGAATACAAAGCCGCAAACGCTATTTCTTTATTCTTGATTTTCTTCTTATTTTGATCCCTAGAATCACCCCTTAAAAAACCTCCCACCTGTTGTCGAGCACCCTGTATATAATCAAGATACTTATATCAGGAAGACCGTTAAGAGTTATCAGAAAAAATGAAGTGTCACTTGTACAGCTTACTTTAGATTTGCGATTTCCATTATTATTCAATTTATGTTTCCCGATCGCAGTTTCGGTTATTACATTATAATTATTGACGATCGTGCCTTCCCTGACTTGGGGTAGTTTAAACAACGTCGACGATGCGGATGGCGTAGAAATTTCATTGTTATTCGAACATTTTTCACTAAGTCGATCAGGTGAAGAATTACTCAAACCTTTATCACTGTCCATTAATGAACGACAATTATCGATGAAAGCTTTCTTGTAAGAACTTGTTTGAGTGATTTCATTGTTCTCCGAGTCTTGGCTCCTCTCGATCCGAACGGAGGGGCTGCTGGATGTTCGCCGAAATTCGATCGTTTCTTTTTCTTTATCCTGATCGATCGGTGCGATCAAATCGAACGATCGATAAAATACCGAGAGTTTTCGTTTAGGAATTTTCGCTAGATCGTTACCATTAGAAGGGTAATTAGTCACTTTCAAATAAGCTGATGGCTTCTTCTCACTACCCGCTGCCTTTGTAGACTCATCCATTTGAGAATTCTCCTCCGGTGGTGGTTATTCAAATTCTGGTAATAAAGAAATTTCTTCTCTTCAATTTTTATCTATCGCAATTGTCAAACGATTAGAATTAGGAGATGTTAGACTCGAACGCGCGAATTGGACTTGGACTAATCCTTAATTAGAACGTCTTTGACGCGAAACGACCGGATGAAGGATTATAATTCTGTTTCACGATCGTCATTCGAATCCGATTTACGAGCTGTGCAAGTTCACGATTACACCCACGCGAAAGCTGTAACACGGTTAACGTTTTTTGCCGTTAAAGAAGATTATTACGTAACCCGTATCAATGCCAACGACATAATGTACCGACCCGTTTCAAATGAACCAGAACGTTTTAATTAATCGATGGTAGACAAGTTTTTCCTCGACTAGATAAACAATCTGCATACATTACCGAGAGCCGTTAATTAGAACTACCAGCAATGTACCCAATTTAGCGCGACGATCATATCATTGAAGCAATAAATTGCCCTGTCCTTGCTTCGGATAGTAAACGTTAACGTAACATTAAAACATCCAACACACGTCTCGGAAGTTCTACGCGTTAATTCGTTAAGACGGTAACGAACCATCCGATGGGTCTTAATTACAACGTCAAACATGCATTTGCTTCTATAAACAATGGTAATTTCTAAGCGAGATTTCTTCGCAGTTCTTCTAACTCTGGCTGGACAGATTTTCTTGGAATCTTCTATGTAAAACAACGACTTCCTTCGCTAAAACTGATATTCAAATTTGAATATTCTCAAAGAAGGATTTTCAAGGAAAGTTTTACATCGATTCCATGGTCTACTTTTGACCGTCACGTTAAAATAGAAATCTCATCCAATTATCAGTAAGGATGATTAAATATTTCTAAGTTTTCGCGGCTGTGAAGTTCGCGTGCTTGCCATTTAACTTGCTTACCGACACACTGGAAATACATTAACCCTTTAGCGCGATACCTTACATTATTGTTATAGCAAAAGTGTTATTCCATATTCTCATTCGCTTGTTAATGATTTCATTCCATTAACGCGTTGACCGTCACAGTAGAAAGGGATACGTGTAGTCAGACACATTTCTATTTAATCTCTCAGTACTCTACTTTGCGTACTCTACTTAGTAGCACGCATCGCAGTCTATGCAATTTCAACGACGTACAGAATTCTCTTTCTGAAATTACTGTATCTCTATTAAACAATGCTCTGAATAAAATCCAATACACTATATTTCGGCAACTCGATCAAGGCCTACGATCGTGTTACTTTCACTTCAACCTTTCCTAACAGCAAAACGAGGTATTCTTTTTTTTTCTAAAAATCTAATCACTCGAGAAATCGAACGTTTCCGATAGATTGTATTTCGATGGAAAGAAAATCAATTATTCTTACCTATCATCCTTTTCGCAATGACGGTCTCGCGTACTCTTAAGCGCATCGTTATCCTTATCAATGGAGTTGGAGGTGCGGTAATCAATCGCGTTTCGCACGTTCGATTTCGATTATTATTTTCGATTCTGAAGGAAATTGCACGGACAGCAAAGAAGCTGTAAAATGAGAAAGAAGCAACGGAATACGACTGGCACGAACGCCGCGGGCAGACTGAATGCGAACGCGTGTAAAACTGCTCTCTTTCTCGCTCTCGTTCTCGTACCTCTCTCTTCCTCGTTTTTTAACCGATCTCTGTCTGTTCTTCTTTCCTTTATTTATTTATTTTTTTCTTTATCTTTGTTTTCCTTCTGTTTCGCGATTCCTGCGAGTTTCAACCGCGAGTGAAATATTTTTGCCGAAACGAAATGTACTCGGGATGTATACGCGTATGCATATGTTAAGCGCACGCTTAGAGATTCACCGGGAATCGTAAAACGTTAGCCGTTCCGGAAAGTAAAAGGATCGGTTGAAAAATAATAAATTGGCAGGAATTTTCTCGTTCTTGATACGAGTCGTATGATTTTCAATACATCTCGAGGGAACTTAGTTATTTTTATTCGGTTGCATCTTAAGGGAGATATTTAGGCCAATGTCGTCTACCGATGAAGCCTGGAATTCTATTTTTATGGGGAAACCCTGAGATGAATTATCGTAAAATTTGGCGAGTTTAACGACCAATGTTTTTCTTCTCGATATAAATTCAAGCCATTAAAAAACAATGAAATATTTTTAAAGATCGAGTAGGTGGCCAAGTAAACAGGATTCTATGGAAAAATCATTTTTATAAAATACAAAAGAAACTTCGAACAGGAAGGAAATATTGGTAAAATCTTTTTACAGACTTGCTTTTTGTTACAGAAATAAATACTTATCGTTCACGGTCATCCGACGATGACCCGACTTCCATTCTGTTCGATGGCTTTCCATTTTTTTCCTTTTTCAAACAGATTTAACAAAATATACAGCACCGAATTTTTTCATCATTCTCATAAAACATCTAAAATCTATAATGATTTGTATAATTAGATAAGCGAGGCTCTTGAACTTCAATTGAAAATGCTTATTATACTATACTTTGTTCAATATTGATTCATCGATCGCATCGAATACTGTTGAAACGTCGATCGAATGCCTATGAAATAATAATATTTAGTTTAATGATTACGTCAACGGCTATTATAAGAGCCTTGTAATTTTCTCTAACATAACATTATGTAAGAATTTCATTCAGACAGAGATTAACCGCTGTCTAATTTGACGTTGATTCTCTGTCAATTATCTTAATTAATAGTAGAGCAGGAGTCAGGATGGAATTAATGTCAATTACTAATTACTATCATTCTTTTGTGCATACAAAATTCATCGCGATTCTGATTCGAACATACACGTGCCTAAGATATTAAATATAAAATTCATTCAATATTATTTAAAATTTACATAAAATTGACTATATCTCAATCTAAACTATACTTACATCAATTTTCAGATTGATTTCACATTTCTTACAAAATTGAGAATATAACGCATCAAAGGGTTAATAAGATAGTATGCAGAATATAGATACCGGACGGTACCATTTTACGTGGAGTTAATATTTTTTCCCCTTTTGCTTTTGTCTTCTCAACAAAGAGATTATTTCTCAAACTAAACTATACTTATATCAATTTTCAAATTGATTTCACATTTCTTACAAAATTGAGAATATAACGCATCAAAGGGTTAATAAGATAGTATGCAGAATATAGATACCGGACGGTACCATTTTACGTGGAGTTAATATTTTTTTCCCTTTTGCTTTTGTCTCGTCTTCTCAACAAAAAGATTATTTCTCAAACTAAACTATACTTATATCAATTTTCAAATTGATTTCATATTTCTTATAAGATTGAGAATATAACGCGTCAAAGAGTTAATAAGATAGTATGCAGAGTATAGATACCGGACGGTACCATCTTTCGTCGAGTAATATTTTTTTTCCCTTTTGCTTTTGTCTCGTCTTCTCAACAGAGAGATTATAAGCTACGAGAGTGAATCTTTCTACAGTTCTTTCCCTTCTATCTGATTGGTCGCATCATTCTAGCTTGTTGACCACCAGTTTAGTCTTGAACTGCACGCCACGCGGATTGCTTTATACCGCCCGCCTGTTTTCCTTACTCTGTTCGCCTCAAATTCGTCGTCACTTTGAGATGTGCAACGGTCTTTTATCATTCATCCTCGTCAAATTCTCCATCGTTCTCATAGTGTCCGCGATGGAGGAAGACCTGTACGGTAAATAACTTGCTCTTCGTAGAATAATCAATCCCCATCGAGATTCTGGACCCTCCAGTTTTATCCGAATCGACGATGGAAACGTTGCCCGCACATTTTTCCAACTTTTATTCGGGGACCTTGTTTTCGCGAGACGACACGCGGAATTACGATTGTTTTGCGTGTGTCGCGTTTCATCCGCGAGTAACATCTCCTTACTGCGAATTCGTTATTCCGCGAGCAGGATAAAATACGTATAATATACGTGAGTGACGTCATACGTTTATCATAGCGATGAATTTCAGTTTCTTCCACGAACAATCTTGTTCGCAGAAAACGAGGCTCCGATTTGATTTTCTTTTTCACCCTCCTCTTTTGGTGCAAACACCGTTTGTTGAAGTGTAACGCGTCTCTTTCTTATTGTTCCTGCAGAAGGCAGCCAGTGCACGTTGGAAAATGGTAACCCAGGTGTGTGCAAAAGATTGCCCGATTGTTCGGCCAGAATGGCAGAAGTGGAGCTAGGGAGGAGGACCTCGGATTCATCGGGGAGATGCGGTTTCGAGGATTTCACAGAGATCGTTTGTTGCCCCGTAAATATCACCGATAAAATAGCCCGTCGTCCAGCCGACGTTGGTACGTCATTTTTTTCTGTATAAATCAAAGATGCGTCGTTCGATCGTTGATTGCATCTCTGAATCATTATCTCTGCATAATCAATATCCCAAAGGCGGATCTACTCGAAGGATATATTTCTTTCTTATTCGAAGTTGATTACGGAAGTTTCGTATCCTCCGGCTATTTTTAAAGGAGCCGAAGATTAAAACGCTTGTAACGTGAAAGTTTACAGTTATTTATGACATAATTGTCTTGCCGTGTTAAAAAAGAATCACGCGCGTTCGAGAAATTATGATTGTACGTGTGTAAACAGCTGATTGGAGTCTGGCGATCGTCGTTATTAGCTGATCGTAAGGAAATTTATTTTAAACTCTTTCGCAGATCCTTTTTTTGTAATTTTAATACGAGGTATGGAAAACGTTCTTATTATTTTTAGGATAATTTCATATCATAACAATACATAATATTTTAATAAATTTAAATAAAATCAAAGCAGGAAATATTTTTTGATAATGTATGATAATGTCATGATAAAAACTGCTCAGATTTGCATGAGCGAATTTAAAGTCCAAATGGTTGACCTTTCTTTTGGTATGTAGAACGTTTAAATATAAGGCACGCCTACGTTTTAATAATAAAAAAATACATGTCCTTTCGAGTTGTTTTCCTGACGATCGTTTAAAAGCTATCAATCATGTCGATGCATATCCTTCAAGTAGACTCGCGTCATGTTTATTTATCAAAGGAGATCTGCGAGTTTATTTTATTGCTTTCTGCATCGATGCAACTTTCAGCCTGCCAACAATACGACATTAATATAACGATAGACAACAAGAAGCCAGACGATTTGTCTTTTCATATATTTGGAGGTATCCAAGCCCAGTCTGGCGAGTTTCCATATATGGTAGCTCTTGGATACGAGAACGATGATCTGGAAGAAGATCCGTCACCCATCAAATATAGTTGCGGAGGTAGTTTAATATCCTCTCAACACGTGCTTACAGCTGCACATTGCGTTAACAATGTGAACGAAAAAGTACCTGTCGAAGTAGGTTTCATTATGATACATTTACTTTACTGTAATTTTTCCAGTGGTCCACCTATCAAGGATCAATTTTCATAAATAAATTAACACAAGCATATTATTCCAGATACGACTGGGAAACGAAGACATAAAAAGCTCAGCTTCAAACGTGCAACGTATCCCCATCAGTGATATAATATCCCATCCAGAATACAAACGCAGTATGAATTATAACGACGTGGCTATTTTGAAGTTGAAGACCAGGGTACAACTTTCGAATACGGTTAAACCTATCTGTCTCGAAACCAGATCCTTAAATTCCATGAGTATAACTTCGAGGACACCTTTGGTGGTGATCGGATGGGGAGCTACAAGTTTCCATACCGAGAATTCTGTTAAACTGATGAGAACTCCTAGTCTAAGGTATCGTGGTTAAAAATTTTAATAATATTTTTAATACGCTACATCTTCTTTTGTTTTTATGTTACAGCCTCGTGGACAGAGAAGAATGCGCCGAACAGTATACAGGATTCCTGAAATTACCTCGTGGCATTGACGAGAATTTGATCTGCGCTATGGATCCTAATAGTACCAGAAGAGCGGACGCTTGTCAAGGTGACAGCGGAGGGCCTTTATTAATGTTAACCGAGACAGGGGACAGTGTGATAGGAATCACTGCTTTTGGACAAAGTTGTGGTAGTTCAGTTCCAGGTGTTTATACTGCGATACACTCTTACCTGGATTGGATCGAAGAGCACGTATGGTTGAGCAGCGAACCGAAATCTGTTACCAAAACACAGATTACTTATATCGCTGTATGAGCGACGAATACTGACGTGAAAATGATTTCATTCGTTTCAATATAATACTCGATATAGTCTCGTTAGATTTCAATTGTCTGGTAAGGATGGAGAGAAAACGAGATGGCAGTAAACATTAACAAAACCCTTTTTTATTTATTCACATTCTGTACAAATGTATTTTACATAATGTCGATAATATCTATCGTGCCAAATTAAATATCGGGCGGCAATGTGATTTTTTTTTGTTTTTAGAACAGGATACAATTAATAGGAGCGTGGACTGTGTTAATTTGTTAACTTTTAATTGAAGCATTCTTAATTAACAGAAATAATAAAAAGCGTGAGTGTTCAGAGTTAACTGATTTTATAATACTTTCTGCTTTTATATTGAAAATAAACATTTTATGTTTGAAACTTATAAATGGTACAAGGGTCTTTTAGATGTACCGTTTGAATTATAATATTCATTTCTTTTTAAGACGCCCGAGCGCGAAGAGGTAAACCAGCACCAAAATTGAAAAGCAATTTCAAGCGATTTAAGTTTATAGTGTAACTTTGCCACTTTTTTCCTCGTCAAAACAACGAGAATAACCATAGACCATTGTACACATACAGGGCGATCGGCTACTGATGGGCATTCTTTGAAAGGGTTGTAACTGGGGTGATTTTGAACAACTTTTTCTTTTACCAAAAAGTTATTCAGAATCACCCCAGCTATCATCCTCTCAATGGATGCCCATCTGTAATCGAACACCTTGTATACATACGTTTTATATCTCCCACGGAGATAATTAATTAAATCTAAACATCAAAATCCTAAGTTATTTAACGATGTACAACGATTATAATACAGTGTACGTAAATATATGGAATATAATACTGTTACAATCAGGTGCAATTATAAGTACATAAGTATAATTTACAGTTTAACGAAAGAATTCCAAAGAATTTCATTATTCACGTATGTTACACAGTACGTGACCCAAATGAAATTGATCGGTAGTCGTTTCGTCACTTTGTGCGTACAAGCTTAAAAGATTTCGTGCTTATAAATTGAAATTCAAGGTATTATTCTTCCAATAATTAAGTGTTACGTTTCCATCACCCACGTGAACGATCATCTAGTTTATTAATTAACACATTCGCTACCAGTAGCCAATAAAAAATTGGACCTTTTTTTAAAAAATAAAATTACATAACATTAGATTATACTATCTTTTAAATTAGACGATAGACTTTAATTTTAATATGATTTGAAGTATACAAAATAAAATGAAATAGTAGCGAACGTGTTAATTTCTATTTTGGTACATTTAAATTTTGTCCAATATCAATTAATCAAGTCTTTTGAGAAAATTAGATTTCTCAGCATTTACAATTTCATTTAAAATTTCGATTACTTATTCTAATTATTAGTTTTTAAAACGTTTGAAGATTTCAGAGGAAACTTCAGAAGAAACGAAAGATCAATTGATTTTGGACAAACGGCGATAATTGTTCGTTTAAATAGGACACCTTTCAAAAGAGATTCATCTCGACCCCATCGACACAACACACCATATCCTATCATTTCAGCCCCACTTTGTGGCTATCGTGTACAACGAGCGAAGAAGTTCCAACGCCCTGCTATCCGACACCGAAGTCTCATCTTCCTGTAACAAATTGTTCCCTTCGGACGTCTCCGATCTCCTCACAACATTCACTGAATGTTCTGTGGTCGTTCGAAATTTACGACTCTTTCTACTCCTGAATGTAGTCACCGGTGGTTCCGTGGCCACCGAGCTCCTCGGCTGATTGGTTGGCCTAACCGCAGGTAAGCTGAGCTGATTGATCTCAGCCACGATATTCTTCGACTCGTCTGACGCAAACTCGTTCACAGGTAGTTTAAGAAGCGTATTCAACAATTCTTCCTTCTCCTTCTGCATCGTTTTGTTCGTTAGATCAGTACAATGCTGTACCAGCAAGAGGACCAATTGCCTGACCGTTTCATTATTATCAGCCTGCTTCATCACCCTCATCAAGGTATTGGTACTGGTAACATTCAATTTCCCAAACAATTTCTCAGCAATTTCATTCTCTGTACCGTTTGTATTTAACCCGACAGTGGACGGTAAGGCGGAAGTGACGAGGCTCTCCTGAGGCAGGGAATTGGTGGACGTGATGGAAGAAGTTATGGTGGTGGTGATACTGGACCTTGTGGTAATTAAAGGCTTAGGTGTGACCGTATTTTGCGTGAAGGAAGTTGGAAGCAAAGAGAAGGTTGTAGGTGAATCCTTGTCCCTGGATAATCTTTGCGTCAGGGGTAGATCCTCTAAGAATGATTCCTCTGAACTTCCAGATACGTCTTCCTGAAGAGAAGTACCTTCGTAATCCAGCCTCTCTTGACTACCTGTGGAACTATCCGCTGGGATAGTGGTGCCTAAATCAGACTCCAAACCATGATTGATTCTCTGAGGATCGACGAACACCGAGGTCTCCCAAAGTCGAGTGACCGCTGGTGAAGATGTCCAATGATCGTTGTCCAATAATTTCGATTCTTCGTTCACTGATTCAAACGAATCAGTGGAATGATCATTTGCACAGGGTGTCGTCTCAGGAGTGTAGGTGGTCGTTATGGGCTCCGTCACTCTGGCTGTCGTTGGTCTCTCTGTAGTTTGATCGTCCAGTCGATTATAAATATTTCGGAATTTCATGTAACTGGATCTTGAGATAGGAAAGACCGATTTTGGTTCAGATATCAATGACTTATGATGCGAGCTTCTGTAAGGCTGATTAGTCACCACTGCCTGATTAATGCTCGTAGAACGTACAGTGTGTACAGTCATTGGTGTGCTCGAATAACTTTCCGGGTTTATAGAAGTAGATATTCTCTCGTTATCTCTACGAACTGTCTCTGCGTGAGTTTCAAATAACGGAGGAGTTAATTGTTGTTCAGGTTTCTTGCTGGTGGACTTCCTGTTCCAGTTATGGGTAACCATGTGCACAAATACCGATGGCGAAGACGAAGTAGGTGAAACTAGATGATTATCGTTCAGAGGTGTGGTAACGAACGATTGTTTGTTCCCGTATGGTTCAGTGGTGATTGTAACGCTATTATTTTGAAAACCACCGACTCGACTCTGATTTTCATCGGAAGGAACGTAATTGTCCGTCACTGGTGAAACGACATTGTTTTGACTATAGAATATATTCGAGTCAGTAGTATAAAAAGTACTAGGATGATCAGCAGTGAAGGTGCCCTCCGTTGGAGGCGCAGAGGTCTCGAAATACCCATCAGTTGGAGGGTTCGTGCCAGTTTCATAGACGTCTTGAATAAATGTCCTAGGACTAGTGTAATAAGTACTTGGTAACGTGCTGAAGGAATCATAAACATTATCCTGAATCGTAGTAGGTGGTTCAAAGGTAGTCGAATAATCAGTAGTCAATTTTTGCCTGATGTCGTTATCATCAGAGAAATCTAGGACCTCGTCCTGATCAGTGCCAGAGTGAGCAGTAGTCATTCTCCATTGTTCAGTGGTCGAGGGTGGTTCAGTGGGTCTAATCTCAGTGAGCACCCTCTTAAACGAATCTGGGTCCACCAGGTAAGCTGACAAAGCATGAGTGAAGACCTGTGCCAGTTCTCTAAGCCTGGTGCTATTCGACTTTCGAAGCTCATCCAAGGATCCTCCACTTTGCTGCAATTCTAAATCATCATTGTAATCCTCCCCATAAACGCTAGCATTATCCAAACGGTCTTCAGTCGTTTGATTATCATTGTCCAATGAATCGTTTAATTTAAACAATTCAACGTAAGAACTGATGGTGTTTGGGGTCAGTAGTCCTGCTGGTACTTTCACAGTTCCATTACTCTTTTTCGAGATCACAGACTTCTCTATCTCCTCGTCGAAAACAATAGACGGATCGGTAGTTTCGTTGGATTCGAAATTCTCAGCGGCTGTAGAGAAATACAGAGCCAAAGAGTGCAGCGTCGAAGGAGCTGGAGGGGAAGACACATTGGAGGTCCTCTCATCGACTCTCAACGTTTCTGACAAACTTGGCACTTTCTGTTCCAGATTCTTCAAGGAATTCAACATACTCAACGCGTGCTCCCTCTCGGAGAAACGTGGACTTGGTTTGACCTTGCTCAGGGTGGTCGGAGCAGGATACTTCAGCTTTGGTACCAGGGTCTTAGCCGAGGTGTATGCGGGCACTGTAGGAGTGTACGGAGTGGGCTTCAACGTGGTAGCATTACTGGTAACATAGTTCCTGGTGAACGGTACATATGGGCCCAAAGTGGACATCACTTTACCCTGTTTGTAAGTAAAGCTTCTATCATAAGGACTCAGGTCCCTTTCGGTAACTGCGTTTGCCTGATAAACCGTAGTTCTGTAAGGTTTCTCCGTGGTTGTGCTGATGAAATTCTGCCGGTACTCTGGCGAAACCGTGGAGGGATTCTTACTGGTGAGTTTCGAATCCCCTTCCAATTTATTATACTGATTGTCTATGGTGTTTCTTGTTACAGGAGACTCGGTGCTGCGTTCGAAGTTGCTACCGCGAACCGAGGCTGTGGGTGAAGTTGCAAATGGACTGCTAGTGAATCTTTGGTAAGAAGAACTCGGAGTCGCCGTATTCTGTCGGTAAGTGTCTGTGGTTATGTACGAACGAGTCGTCGATGGGGTCGTCCCTGTATTAATGTTCTCATTAGTCGCTCTACTGTTATCGTAATAACTGACGAAGGTGCTGCGACTCGCAGTGGTGCCCTGGCTCGATCGATAATCGTAATTACTATTAGCCAGGAAAAATGGCTCTGTGGTTGATTGAGTGTCGGAGAACGTGGATGGACTTGTTGCCACGGTTGTTTCCGTGGTGATGTCATCGTTGCACGGGGGTGGAGTACTCGTTACATATTGAGTCGTTTCATAAGGAACAGACGTGGTAACAAAAGATTGAAAATCATTCCTCTGCGTCGGATAATGATCATTCTCTTGCCTCCAGGTCGTCGTAGATTCGTAATTTCTTGTGCTAGAATCACGGTTCGAGTATACTTGATAGTAATACTGATGGGAATTGCCGGTGTTTTCGTTGAACCGATTTCCACGATTACCAACGAACGCCGCACTTTCTGCGACCTGTTGAGATTCTTTTGCCGGGGTTGTGTTTCCGGCACGGAACGTAGTCGATTCGGTGTAAGCTGGTGTAACCCTCTGCGAAACTGTAGGAGCAGAATTAACTCTGGTAGAACTCTTGAATTTCAATCTCTTCAGTGCTCCCTTCTCGTCGCGCTGGTTATTCGAGTTTCTACTAGTAACGTGATAATTTTGCGCTTTCTTAGGGGTGTTATAATAGTCCTGGCTCGTCGTCGGGTGTCTATTAACATTCCCCTCTTCGGTGTTCCTCGTGAATTGATTGAATTGTTGTCTTTGACTCGACTGGAATCCATTGGGACCGTAAAACTGATTACCTTCTCGTGGAACGTTGGATTCTTGACTGAAATCGTTGCCGGAATCAAAGTGTCGGGATGATTTAATTCTCTCTCTATTAGACTGCACTTGATTTTCTTTCGGTGGTTGCTCGTACGTTTTCACTCTTCCATTCTGTCTACCATCGTAACTGAGATTCTGAACGTCGTAGTAATCCTGCTGTCCACCGTTCTCTATCGATTGTTGATAATCCAATTTCGATTTTCGCGATTCGGCTCGTCTTCGTTCCTCTTCTAACTCCTCGCTGCTCTGCTCGTAAAGCTCCGCAGATTTACTGCAATCCACCTTGAACCACCAATCGCAAATCAACTGCGACTGTTGAAAGATGGTACCGTTCGGACAGAGAAATGATATCTTGCGGCCATTGTCGCAGATGTGGAATACCTGAAAGGAAACACGATAATCCTGATTGAAAAATTTCCTAGATTTTCTCGCGATAGAACATCCTCGTTCATCGAGGCGACCAATTATCTTATTGCGCAACGAGATACGTTGTCGCGACGTTGAATCTCGCGATTTCATTCAAGCAGTTACGTTGCATCGAGATACGTATCGAGCAATTAATCGCTTACTTGACAATTTGTCTCCAAGTCCGCGTAGTAACCACCTTTCAGTCCGCGACAGCTGAACGATGTGACGGGAATTGTCGTGAGAGCTGGAAAGTCGACTCCAGGCTGGCCTGTTACGCCTAAGGGAAAAGACGTTCCTGTTACGTTACTTCTCGTCTTAAAATCTTCTCGACGCTTCAATTTTTTGCGATCGCACAATGATTTTCTGGTAATAATATACGTGTAGAATGATAGTTCGAAAGCAAAATAATAGAGGTACTGTAATTTTCGTGCAAATTGAATTGGAAAAAAAATATCTTTTCGACGATCGAACGAGATCAATTTTTTAATCTATTACTGGATCAGTTGTCACACCTATGTAAAGGAAAAAAAGATACATATAGAATGCATGCGCTTTATTTTAGAGATAGGAAGCTGAAAGAGAAAGCGGCTAATGTAGTACTTGTACGATATTATTAATAATACCCGCTCCTTTGAGCCATTCCTTGAGAAGATCCGCATTGCCGAAGAAGACTGGGAAAGAAAGGCGAAAGAAAGTATTTTAGAAAGACAGAAGAGGGTTAAATAGTTAATTTCGGCGGTTAGTAAATCAGCTTTGGAACCTTGATAAATTTGGTACTCGCCATTCTTCTCCGATGCTAGTCTTTTAACAATCTTCTTCAACGATTCCTCGTTTTCTAATGATGTTTCTATGCTCCCCACATCCAATTCTGATAGGAACTTCGGCAGACTTGCTTTTCTATTGCTATTTTCTGACTAGAAAAGGAAAGCAACTGGTGAACAAAAGTTTCTCTATCATATCTATTCGATCACTTTTCTAAATGATAGAAAATTAATTACTATTAATTAGTTACTCTACAAAGTAGTAGTAAAAATAAAAGATAGATAATACTAAACATTTCTATCATCTTTTAGTGGAAATTAGTAGTCGTAATAGTCACCTCTGTTTCACAGTTGCTAGGCATAAAAGTAACCATTGAACCTGAAAAATTCAATAGCACGTAAACATCCAATTCTGAGAATAATTTTACGTTTTCTCGTTTAATTATTAGACTGATTTCTTTCTTTAACGTTTGATGACTAGCACATATGAATTGAAAGAAACAAATTCTTTGAATAATATCTATGTTAAAGAATGAGAACACTGTGTCTTCAAGATTCTATTAAATCATTTTCTAATACTTACATAAAAATATGATTAATTCAAGGTAAACCATTCTCGACGTATCCCTGTGCATGATTCTATAACAAACATAAATTATACAACATTAATTACGGAATTAAATATAAATTAAATATAGAAGGCCCCCCTCGAATGAAACCGAAATGTTTATAAATTTACCCAGCTCTCCATTAATATCACATAAATAAATCATCCGGATATGGATTGTGGGACGTCCACGTAATGATAAAAAAAGAAGAAGAAATAAAACTATTTATCTGTAATCTCGTTGTCCTTTCATGACGATCTAAACGCAAAGTGCCGTTTCCCACGTTTATCATCCGTATAAACGATACCAATAAACATCACCGACGAATGATCTATCGGGGGTTTAACGAAGAAAACGTTAGATCGCGATAAAGCAGCATCAGGATTCACTGCTGGAAACGTAACCGGTGATTACCCGTGAAATCGATTATCCTAATCAAATCCCTTGACCGTGGTAATGGGGTTTCCATTACCGGCTAAAGCTAACTAGCAGAAACCATCGTGTACTCTATCAGAGGCCAGTGTCCCTGGCTCGTTGACATTCAATCGGACATCGTGGCTTGGCTCGTTGTCGGAAGAACAAATGCCGTTCCATCAGTCCTCGTTTGATGACGTAACCCTGAAGAACGGTAGAGAATAATCTTGTTCATTCTCACGGTTCAACGATTCACCGGACTTTCAAAATGATTACGGTAGTCATTAAGTTTGCCGGTTGGCATTTGATGCGACTCGCAATTTATGGTTAATCCTTTGGACAGACCGTGATGAGTATTATAATGACGTTACTTTCACTCTATCCCGTCTCAATTGCTCCTTTTCCTCGATATCATTACGACAAAATTTCTTTGTCCCTCGATATTTATCTTCAAATATCCTCGTTCCCTCTCGTTGATTGATTTTTCCTGTTCAACGATCGGGCACTGTCTACGACCGTGACAAAAATCACCGACGATTTAATGAATTTTCATTTCCACGAACAGAGAGGCAGAGACAATTGTTCTCGCGGATAACGAACGCCTTTTATCCGACGCAGCCGGCTGACAAATCTCCGATTGTTCCGGGGGAGGGTTGAATCCCCTTTCCGCGAGGATTTTTATGATTTCCCGCGAACAACCAGCCGCGGTTTTTGCGGCGATTCGAATAAAGATGATCGATCGAATTAACAGAGATTCGAGGTTTATTCGTAACCGCTTGTTTTAAGCGGATTTTCGATTTAATCCGAATGCTATCGAGTAGTACGTTATTCATATAAAATTAAATGTTGCAATTTCATCTATAAATAAAAATCTTCCTTAGGATCTACGAAGGCTTTCCATAGCGAAGAGATTCAGTTGATTATGGATCGAGTCCACGGTCTCGCAACGATTACGTTCCCTCCAATGTAATCTCTAATTACCATAATTTCACGAAACTTCAACGAGATCCACGTATAGAGATTCAGTTGTTTCGACGCGATGGGACATTAAGAAGGTAGGGGTATTTCGAATTTCCAGTAATCGGTCCCGAAGGCTTGCAACTTCGGAGAAGGGAAGCAGCTTCGTTGTACCGGGCCTAGGCGGATAGGCGATGTTGAAACAATAGCCGGCAGATAGTGAAACAAAACTTGCCGTCTTAACGAGCGCGTACTCGCATACGTACCGCCTTCCTCTTTTGTAATGCTAATTCAAAGGAGGCAATTATTTCAGGAGTAACCGGTAACCTTCTAGTTTCTCGAACGACACCGAACAAGCCAAGTATCGTCCTTAGTTACCGAAGGATACACGGGAAAGTCGGCCGAGAATCTGTCGGTTAATCGTGAAAATTGAACAACCGACGGAAAGGAACGCTCATGAACCGACGAAAGCTAATTACATCAGCTCGACTAATTATTCTTTGATGATCCTTGCCAGATTTCCCTTCTCGTTATGTGTCAAAGATACTTTCATTAAACCGTTCGATCTTTCTTTTTTTCATTTCATAAAAGTGTAAATAAAAATATACTTCATTTCGAATAATAATAATAATTTTAATGCTATTTAAAATTATCATCCTTCTTTTGCTTTCTAATTACTCGCAGCACTGGTCACTGATCAAAATCTAACAAAATAGCATGGAGCATCGCGTTCGATTAACAATCCAATGAATCGTGTTGCTTGATATTATCGCGAATCCAAGCTGCGTGCTACGAGAAATAGATCACTTTTCCCGATGAAATTCAATCGAGAAAGTAGAACCGACAAGTTCGTGCATCGCTTACAAGGATGGAACTGTCTGGTTAAACGAGAATAGTTTGAAAGCAATGATAAATGCAAATCATTCTATACGTTTTCTATGATCCAGTCTGTCTGTAGTATCCCTTCTATACCTATTAATCTTGTATTAGAAAAAAACTTGTATCACAGTTAACTGTCTTAACCACGTCAGTCGGAGAGGTTGTGCTCGATTATCTTATCAAGATGTTGAAATCATTTAATGACTGTCTTGCAACGAACTTGCACGATGGATTACCGGTTCGAATTTAGAGTCAACATTTCTATCGGTTGCTCAATCATTAGATTAAGATTTGTGACGGTTTGTCAAATATTATTGCGAAATGGGGGAATTCTTCTATTTATCTTCAATTGCTACGTTACTGTAACTGAGCAATTATATAAATCATCTTTTAAATTGTTAATAATTTATGACAGTGGCGCAACTGTAATTGTCCTATGGGAAAGAGGGATGGAAAAATTGTCTTCATTTATCTTTAATAGAAGATCAACTGATACCCCTATTTAAGAAAATGAGTTTGCAATGTCTAAGTTGATTATTATTAATCTTCCAACGATGTAGAAGTTTCTGTTGGATCCATTGTTCTGAATCATTTGTGAAATTGAAACAAACAAGATCTTCTCTTCCTATCATTCGTTCGGCTTCGTCGAGGCGAATAATTGCGAAGTTAATTATGTGAATCAGCCGTGACATTTTTCGAAGCACTTTGTTATAGTGTAAAACGAGAAGTTCCCCTTTCTATTTATCATTGTAGCAAAGGAAATTTAATCTTTAACCTTTTTCTTATTTTTAGGAAGAACCATCTAAGAAACTCAGTTTCTCAGGTGAAAAGTATACAAACTTTGGTCGCCAAATGTATAATGTCCCCTATCTTTATAAAATTTCAAACATTCTATGCTGTGCTTTAAGTTATTACGAACTTCGTTAAAGAAACATCGTGTTTTTTGAAGATTTTCCCATGTGTGCGTACCATCTTACGTAAAGCATTGTATTCATTCTGGGAGAGTTCTATAGTAACTGGTTGTTCCCTTCGTGACTGACTTTTGGTGCTATAATCCTTTCGCACTAAATTATTTTCCTTCGTGATTTCTTCTTCCTTTCATCTCGATAAATCTTGATTCTTCCGGTGATGCGAAAGAATTGTGCACACTTGTGATGGTACAGAGAACGTTGATTAATTATTATACATAAGAGAGAAAAAGCTTCTAATATTATTAGAGAAAAATTTTAATTATTTTTCAATATTTAATTTTATGATTTATGACTGTTGAACGTCAGTTCTGTTTCTTGTCAGAAATAAAAGACGCAAGAACCCCAAGAGGCAATTCGGTTTTTCAATTGAGGAAATGTTGAACGTCGGATCGTAATAGAGCAGCACCTTATGAAACATCCTGTTCACGAATATATATGTCGTACACATACGTGGAAGACTTTCGGTCGCTGCGACGGTGACGGGAAGCCAGACTCAACGCGGCGGGAGAGAAGCGGAAGTGCATAAGACTCCTACCGCGTTTCGGTATCGCGGCTATCGTGTCCTATGATGACCCTAAGCCGACGAGAATCCGCCCGCGTTTAACGATCTCAACTGTAGAAGAAAGGTCATTTGGGGCCACTCACCGACGCCTTTACCATCGGTGAAGATCGTCAGATATCTCAGAACGGAATCTGATTGCCGTCCTCGTGGCAAGAGATCTTAGAAAGCGGCGAACCGACTAGCAACCGATATTGAGTCATGTCGAGACGAATTGCGAGCCTTCCGCAAGACGATCCCCATCAAAAGATGCGTTTCTCTTGCAATCCATCGGTATTTAAATTAAATAGAAAAACTAGCCGACCAACAATATCCATCAGGTAGGAATATTTCTGACACCGCCCCTGTATAATTTCAGACGAAAATTATCCATTCGAAAAAATGATAAATGTCGAAACATTCAACGCCACTGTGATTATCCTTGATGAGAGGAAAAAGAGACTTGTCATTTTCCTAATGATAAACAATTGACGGTTTAAGATTGCTTTTACCGCGGTAATCAAGGAGCATTCGAGCCGACCACTTTCCCGGGATATTAATAACCACTTTTAGCTGAAATACATTAGGAGTTGTATTAAGATTAAAGACACCCGGTATTGTATTTAAGAAATATCTCTTCAAAAATGATCATTTTTAATATGAATTTTAGACGGTGACGAATATTTTCATAAAAATGAAAAGAACCGAAAGTTGTCAAGATGAAACTAGAATTTAATGGACTCATCGAGTTGCGTGTCATCATCGCTGGAGACGGAAGCGAAACGAGCGACTTGTAGGATTTATTGAACGGCCGTTGATCCGGAAGACGAGGCCACTTTCGCCGGGAGAACAGCGAACCTGTACGTACGTCGGCTTACCTACGACCTCACAGGACACTTGCCTTCTCTTCGCACATGCGATTGTATATACACTTCCACGACCTCTCTTTCATAGCAGAGAAACGTTGATTGTCCTCTCGTTTTCTCGCGTGATACCGGCGAAGAAGCTATGACATAAGTGAAATTACAAACACACGTGCTGCTCCCGGTACTTTCTGAACAGCCTGTTGAGATGCTATCGCACCAGCTGCCGCGATTATCCATTACGGACGTAATCATAAAATAATGAGGATGATTCTTCTTAGGATCCTTATGAAATATTATATTCACTGGAAGAAAAAAAAATACGTTGCGGGACTAATTAGACTCGGAGGACTAGTGGATCATTGTGTCAAAACCCATGAGGGTGGTCTTAATTGTTACCCTTGGTCACATGTTTTATGGAATTAGCGAATATTGCGTTATTCGTGGAGACATAAGAAGATAGAAATAATTTTATTATAGATGAATCTTTGAAAATTTCAAGGTCAATTCCACCCCCTTTCTTTTGAAATAAAATTCTATTTTTTCAATTAGGATCTCAACATTTGAAACGGCACAAAATGAAAAAGAGAATTTTAAGTATAATATCTTTGAAATATTAATTTTTCATTTATCTCAGAAGTTACAGAAAAATTATTATAAAGTAGAAGGGTGGTTTGTCTTCTCTGGATGGTTACCAGAAAGAAAATAATCTCTCGTTTTCCCAACGAGCATGATATTTTCTACGTAATACACGGTAACAATTCTGCTCATTTCTCAGGAACGTAAAATGTTACGTCTTCGAATGCTAATTCATCCTATCTTCGTCGAGTACAGTAATACATCTTACGTTATTAATCTGTAACCACGGCTTTCACCTTAGCGAACCAGCTCGAATAATCTAACGTAGAAAGAAAGAAAGAAAGAAAGAAAAAATGAATTTAGTTTGGCGGCGTGGAAACCGGAACTCGGAAGCGTGTTTTGTGGATTTTATAGGTTCTGGCGTGCGTGACGTTGAAGAGGCACACTATGGAGAAGTGTGTTTCTTCTATCGTGAGATACAACGCAATGTCGACCATGGGAACTACCTTTTCTTTATGTTTAATTAATCACAGTCATAATTATATTGTTCCGACGATGTTATATTGTTTTAGCGTTTAAAACCGTTGTTTACGTCACCACTGGTGGTGTCACGAAAATAGGTCAACAATTAAACAAAAAATGAACTTAAATTACTAAATCTTTGACACGTTCGCTACTTTATTGGACGATGCTTTTTTCTATAGAAATTCATTATACAAAAATTATAGCTTCCGAATGATTGGAAATACGAGAAACTCATTATTCTGTTAATTTTCGATCAATTCCTCGAGCATTTACGTACGAATAGGTCTGCTGTAATGAGAGGAAATCGTACTGCATGCTTCGAAGTCGATATTGCCCTAATTATAAATCGGAACTTCCGGTGGACACGATCTTCCGCTTTAATAAATCCCTTTTCGGTGTTTCGAAGGAAGTAATTTTCATCCACTCTATACTTTGAAATAATGCCAATGAATTAATTTGAATCAGAAAAAAGGAAACAAGGGTTGGTTAATGGATTTGAAAACTGATTTACTCTGATATCGTATATTCTTATAATTCAACGATACATTTTTTAAATTTTCCTACGCGTTTGATGTTATTAATATCAATGATGTTTGGAAATTCCAAAAAAATAAGATTCTTTGTGCGTTTCGTGATTGAGGAACATGCCGCATTCGTCACCGCTACGTACTTACTCATTATCTTATCAATTTCATCATGTACAACATTCTCACGATATATACACGTAAGATTCGTAGTATAAATATCAATCTAATGAATCAAAGTTCAATGAAACCGGAATTAATAACAAACGATAAAAAAAGAGTCGATAGATTCAACGAAACAATGATTCATTCATAAATTATAAAGAAAAAGAAAATTGAATCATTCTTTTCGTATAATCAGTAAGAATATTTAAATCCACTACGATTGTACTTATCAATTATTATCACCGTCCAAATCATATATCACCTCGGCTTACTAACATCAACGTAAATAACGCGCGAAACTGCCGATACAAATTAAAATCCTTATCCTAGATTACTTAAAAAGTAAAAAAAGAAAAGATATTTAAGTGATAACCAGTCGAGTTATTGCTTACACGGTATTACTTATCGCTAATTCTTAATATCTCCTTAAATCCCCCGCTGTCATATGTACACAGATAATAGAAACGACAACGATAGGAATCAATCAATGATCGATCGAATCGAAAAAACTTATACGTACGTAAGTGGGTCGAATTATCCGAATAATCTCCTCTGTCAAGAATCACTTATGTTCGTATTCCTTTTTCTATTCTTTCTTTTTTTTTTTTTTTTTTTTTTTATAAAAACGGACCAAGAATACGACAAACGGTACACATCACCCGTAACGCCGAAGTTCTTTTATTCTCTACCGTGTTCACTGACCGGGGATATACCAGGGAGCCGGTAAACAACAACAATATACACCGGTGCATTCGCGGATGACGATGGTGAAGAGAGAAGGGTCGCGTCGCGAACGAAACGTAGGACGATACTGAGGTACCGTCCGTTAGGCATGCAAACCTCATACCGCGCAAGGATCTCGATCCCTCGCTTCTTTGTCCATCGACTGTCACGGTTTAGCTATCTCTATTCCTCTCTTCCATTCACCTTTCCAACTGTATTAAACGATCTCTGTTACTCTCACAGATCGTTCACTACCTCGCTTCCTCGTTAAGAGTTGATCCTCCCTCTGGTGTTAACCCGTTCCTCTTCGTCCCCTAACCCCTGTTACCCGCTTGCATTGCCCTCTGTCAGGATACGCCGGGCGAACCTAGCGCAGGCGCTATACGAGCTGCTTACCTTTTACCATCCTCAGACCCCATCTACACCCACCCATTCTCACCTTCCTCTCTTCCTCTCTGCTTCCTATTTCTGTCCTCCTCTACGTCGTTCCCTTGTAACCCTCGCGCTACCTGGTCATCTTCTTCCTATGTGACCCGATGCTATCTGCAATGCTTTCTCTTCTCTTCAGTACCGAGACACCATTTTTTTTTTCTTTTTTTTTTTTCAACCGTCCCAAGATGGTGTGGGTACTCGTCGAGTATAATCTTCCTTTTTAATTTGCTGTCTTTAAGTTTCTTCATCTTCGTTTTTACTCCTCGAGACACCTCTTTTTTTCCTGCTTGATCTTTTCGCGTCAGAGGTAAACGAGACACTTTCTTATTACACTTCCCTTTTAATTACCCTTCTAACCTGGACGCTCTCCCGAGTTTTCTAATTACTCCGCGCGGATGAAACGAATTTCCTGTTTGACTTCTTGTCAAATGTTTTCTATAATTTTGTGGGAAGAATGAAAAAAATAAAGAATAAATAATAGAAATTGATTCGTTCCTTAACGCGTTCGCCGGCGCAGTAGAAATGACCGTGTTTAGAACGACACGTGATAATATAAGTAGATCGAGTGCCGCAGGAGAAGCGGACGCTTGTAGTCAGGCATAATTAATTTTTTAATTAAAATCTTGTCTAGTATAATAGGAACGTTGTCCAAAATTTTTTCTATTATATTGGAACCGCTGGTTATTGGAGACACCCTAATTTTAGGGGCTACTGAGGAACACGACGGCGTACGTTTTTTACACGAATCTTTTCAATCTTCTACAGTATTCCCAAAGAGTGAGGAAATCGGGGGAGATTGCGCGTGTTCCTTGCGAAACGGAGCATAATGTTATTCAAGCATTCGGCTCGAACATTCTAAAAAAAAAAGAAATAAAAATAAATTTCGAATCGAATAAACCGTATCTAAAAATTCGCCAAAAGACAATCGGTGCGCATGCTGTAAGTTAAATTGTATCTTCGCACGTTTCATGAAATCACGGTCGCATACGAAAGGAAAGAGAGAGAGATAAGATACATGTTTAAATAACTCGATACTCTTTTCTTCTTTTTTTTTTTTTCTTGTGTACATCGTTTCATATGTTTATGAGAACGTATTGTAATTCCATCCACTTATGATTTATACAAGAGAAACTGTGTACAAACGAATAATTTTATTCATGTCCTTGTTATAAACTCTGCATTGTGGGAACGAAATTTGTACTGGAATTTCGTAAGATGCACTGTACTCGGTGGGTGAAGGATTTCCAAGCCGAAAAATCGTTCTTAATATCTTCACGTGATCACCGTTTGCAATTCTTTTTTTAAATATTTTATGAGTTTTATTAAATCGCTGAAAATCGTTGAAGTGTATAGTATATGTATATATCCATCCAAACGTATACAAGAGTAATAAATAGGAAATAGTCGACGAACGATATGTCATATAAAAATATTAAGAACATTTCTTCCTATTATTTTGATTCAGAAATCACTCGTTCCCCTGATATATAACACATCTTACGGAACACTGCAGATCTATCACTTATTATTCAACATTCATTGTTTGACTGGCCCATCATCGCGGGAATTATCTTCAAATCAATGACATATTCATAGAAACGACGTAGAAAATAAATTACCATCTATGTTTCGATTTTCTTTTCCAGTATCTTTGTCGGTAGGTACGAGAGCCTTCAACGTGAATACTATGTGGTCGCGTTAATTTCACAATGATACTACTTTGCGTGTAAGTATTGTCGGGATAAACAGCGGTTTCCATAGCGATACTTCAAATGCATATTCTCAGGAGCAATCGACAGGTTTCGAAACATTGAAATTTCATCGAAATGCGTATTGATATCATATCAGTATATCGTTTGTATGTCATGCACGCAATTACGTCAGGCAAGGCAGTGGTTAGCATGTATTGTTGGGCCATTTCACATTAAGTCAATCAATTGTATCAAAAGAATTCATATGATTCCTTATATTTCAATGAAACATTCTTAAACTAATTTTCCATGAGAAATGTAATACTTTGATATATGTATTCCAAGTAACATAAGGAAACGCGTTAAGAATTAAAATCTTCAACATTCAACTATTTTTGAAAAGAACTAAAGAATGGTGTTTAACGTTAAATGACCCTTACGTATCTTTCCCTACCTATAATGTATTCCTGTATTCTTTCTGTTTATTTGTTTAAATTAAAACATATTACACGATCTAGCTCCCTGTTGCATAAACATTTATTATTCACGTCCACTGTTGACAACAGTATCGTTCCTTCTTACGAGTAGCACGTTACAACGACATTAATTTTATCTAATGACTTTAACGTAATTCGGAAAGATCGCGGATAATAAACTACGGAATCTACAGAGTCTACCTTAAATAGTTTAAATGATCCGTTTATCGATCGAATCACTCGGTCTATAGTACAATATTACAAGCATTGTTCTCCAGTTGTTGATGTTGTCGCCGGTTGTATATCGCTACAATGGATCCTTCAGATCCGTCCGAGATCTAGCGACATCGTTTAAGGGTATCTTATGGTATACGCGAAGTAAAATCAATCGATGAACAATGTTGTTCGGGCACGTACGTTTCTTTCGTTGATTCAGAAACGTTGGTTATCGGGAATCCCCCGTTGTGTAGTTCCAAACACGCAACGCCACCGTGTTCTAATCACGTTACACGGCTTTTATCAGACTTTCTTAAATGTTAGTAATGCTTACTTTTTGTTTTTCTATTCGCTGTTAAATCAACGTGGTTTCGTCTGAAATCATATTCACCAGCTCTGAATTGCGTGTGAAAGAAAGATCAAGAAGAGATATATTTACTATGTTGATTCATCGGCTACCCAACAAAGTTGTTCAAGAACTCTTTGAATAAGAAGAGGAGCAATAAACTCGGTTGAGAAATCACGTACAACGTTGCAGTGTAATACTTTCTTAAGTACCCGATGAAACTGTTAATATGGTTGACGTTAAGAATACAAGAATGTATGATATTAAAATGAAACTCTGGACAAACAGGACAAGGGAGCTACATTACTAACCTCTTCATCGGAGGCTTGAGTAAGAGCAGCTATTGCCTGTTGTACTTGAGGAGCAGTAGATCCAGCCGCAGGATGTGGCGCAGCTTGTTTACCAAGCTTCACAGTATCTTGAGTTGCTTGCGATGATTCAGTCCTCCTAAGATAAGCAGCTTCCTTTTTAGGCGGTACTACTGGTTTATTTGGTGGCACTGGAGGAGGAACACCGCGAGATATCGGTGGCTTTTTCGATGGCAGCATACCAGATGCTTGAACCGCCGAACCAGAGCCAACATTAAAACCAAGCTTTCCTGCAGTTTGCGTTGACGGTATAAGTTTTACCGTGCCTCCAGGATTTACAGGAGCAGGTACAACCACACGTTTCTCTACAGCCTGAGGAATGAATAGACAGGAGAACCGATTTAACCATCAGGCTATCCCTTTTCAAACATCACACCGCCATGGGTACGTGTAGATATTGTTTGCTGCATTTAAAATACAATAAGGTAAAGGAAAGTATTATACCAAATCACCAGTCTAAAGCAAAGAAACAACGAATGTGTTTAAAATGAGAATCAAAGCTTATTATTTTCGTCTGACGATGTTTGGTGTGTTGATTTCATTTTTGGTAACAGCGATATTATGAGAACTTGTATTTTGATAGCAATGTAGCAGGAGAAATCATTGAAATAAAAAAGTAGGATAAATTTTTGTTGATGAACTAGAAAGACCAATAATAGAAAACTTAACTAAAAGAATTGTAATTTTCTACTCTAATGGATTGTATAGAAGTTCTACTATCTTTGTTAGAATAGTACATCACACAGCTTGGAAAAATAACAGATAAACAACCAAACCATGTAAAGTTAGCAGCGGTAGCAAATATAAAGGTTGCAATTAGGAGGGCAAGCAGGGAAAATTTGTAAATAAGGCTCAAAAGTGAGTGGCATACAATTTTTAATTAAGGAAATAATCAATGTACATACTAAATAGTAATCTTATGTACAAAATAAGAATAGCGTAATACAATTTAGGTTTAAAATTTGATGGTGTACTAACTTATATAAAATAATACAGTGTAGTATAATCAGTATATTACAAATAATGAAAATTGTGTGTGTATAATCAAAACTAAAAGGATGAGATTTTGTATTTGAATAAATGATGACATAAAACATATAACTGTACACCATGAAATAAATTTTACTATATGCATTAGCACCCAGTATATAATATATAATATTTATATATTCTAAAACATCATAGTAATTAAAAGATATATGTAAAATTGAAAATACATACATCTAAAAAATGGGTGCATGTTGCATATATTTATAATTTATTTTTATTTAAAAAACTTTTAATATTACCTCATGCATTTTACATTTTATCTGTATAGTTTGTATAAAAATATAGAACGTATTTTATGATTATAACGTACTATCATTTTGAAATATATACATCGATTTTTTTCTTTTTAACTCAGCGATTATACTTATTGCATTTGACGTATTATTACAATAAGTATAATCGGTAACATACCCACGTATTAAAATAAAGAAGAAACCAGTTTTACCCCAAAGCAGTTTTTCTTTGTTACAATGATCTATTAAACATAGTAAGAAAAGTTAAAAAAGCACAGTAATTGTGCTTACTAAAAAGAGATAATGCAGTATATTTATATTTATTATTATCATGCAATAAAAATATTCTATATAGCATTCAACATTTAATAAAATGTAAGACTAGAAAATCATATGTGATTATGGCGTGTATGTAAAGTATCGAACATTACTGTTTCATTTAATAAACTTTTTTTTCAATCAGTTTTTAAAACACTTATCGTAATAATAAATAATATGCGGCATGCTTAAAGTACCATTTGTATGATTATTTCAATTGGTATGTTTAAGCATAATGAAAATCCTACATAATTCACTGCTTTATTGGTTTGTTATGGAAATAAAATTGATTGCCAATTATAAAAATAGTATCAATATATTGATATATACTGAACAGTATATTTATATACTGGTTTAGTATTTTTCAAAGTTATATCCAAAATAAGTTCTACGAATTTTTATATAGTACAATTATTAAAAATATATCTGTATACGTTGTTCATCTGTATACATTTATTATCAAATTATTTGTAAAACCCTTTCTAAAGTGCGTGTATAAATTTGGTGCATAAGAAATGATAATATATTAAAAAGTTAACATAAAATATCGAAATAATACATACAAGAAATTTTAATATTATTAAAGCTATATTATGAAAAAGAAATCTTTACAATAAATGTATGCATAAATACGTAATGTATAATATACCTAGATTAAAGTAGAATGAGGAGGAAAATGAGGATAATTTACCTGGGTTTCAGAAGTTGCACTTTCTCCACTAGAAGACGTAATATTGGACGTGTACGAGACCCCGCGTAATGCCTGTCCAGGAGTTACTGACCTAGCAATCCCAGTAGCTATAATAGAAGTATTATATGTTACACACTTCATTTTTTTTTCAATTAAAAAACTAAAATAATTTATTTTACATAAAAATAGATAATCTAACTTAAGTATATTAATCAGTATTTTAAAACACAATATATATTATTAATTCCAAATGAAGAGTAAGTAATTTTTATTTCTTATAGTAATATAAATAAAATCATTAAATTTGTATTATTATAAATCAGTATTAATCAATACTGACGTTTAGTATTACAACATGCTTATGAGTAAGAACTACATTTACCATTTAGTTTTCATTTAATTGTCAAAATGTAATTTGTTAATTCATCCGCTGTCATGCGACATGAATATTCTCTTAGAGAAGATATATCCGAAATATTTTAATTGTTTAAATCGTATTTCAACTTTAGAGTAGGACGTGCTGTTCTTACTTGGACCGCTGACAGGAACACTAGATACCGTGGCAGTGGGTTGAACGACTTTACTACTAACCATTGGTGTCTCAGTGCCCAGTACTGTGCTTCTAACTGCATACAAAATATAATCAATTATATTATATTAAAACAATGTTATCAATGATTTGCTATTGGTGCTTAGCAAAGTAAATATCATTTGTTTTATAAAATATTATATTTGTTTTATACACATAACATACTTGTCTGTGGAGCACTAGCGGGCCTAACCGTAGGCATAGCAATTAAGTTAGCTGGTTTTGCTGGAGGTGGTGGTGGAATTGTACCCACACCCCTTGGAGAACCTCGTGTTTGAGACTCTTTCCACATGTCCATTTCACTTTTAAGTTTATCTAATTCTAACTCGAGATCTTTAACCCTTTTTTCCTCTTTTGCTAAAGCTTGCCTATATTGCTGCCTCTCCATATCAAATTGTGCAAGTTGTTTCTCTAATTCTGCCTCCATTTGCAACGACTTCTTACTTTCCTCTTCCAGTCCTTCAGCCATAGAATCGACTCTTATTTTTTCTTCGCTTAATATCTGCGCCAAATCTTCCGACCTCTTTCTTTCTTCTATATATTTCATAATTATTTTTTTACGTTCGGCCAATAGAAGAAGTACTATTTGCTTCTGCCGTGTTTTTTCTTCCTCCAAAGTATCGCTTGCTTTCTTTATTTCTAATTCCAGTCTTTTTTTTTCTTGTTTCTCTAATTCTAATTCTTTTTTCAAACGTGTTCTCTCCTTTTCCAGCCCGTACGTTATGTCATCACCCTGCGCGGTGTCGTGTTCGTGTTTTCGTTTTTCTTCCTCCAGTTCTTTAATAACCTGAAGGAGAATTGGTAACGATTTAGAAAACATTCAAATATTTGCTTGATTAATTAAAATCAGTACGTACTGCTCTATGTCTAAGCTCAGCTTCTTTGAGAATTTTGGTCATTTTAGATTGCATACGTCTTTGTTGGGTTACAAGCGCCTCTAAAGTAGCAACCTGTTTATCTATTTGATTTGGTTCGTGTTCGCTTACACCACCTACTAATACTACATCACGAGCAAGTGCAGCATGTGGATCTAAAGTTCCACTCAAATATTTAGTACTTAACAGGTGTTTCAATTTCTCTGACTATAAAACAAACATAAAGGTACATTTCATTTGAATAACATTCTATGTTATTTGCATTTCTACGTTATTCTTGATTAATTACATTAATTAAGAAAGACAAATTACCTTTAATACTGCTATTACAATATCTCTTGCCTGTAATTCTCCTTCAAGATGTCCTAATAATATTAATAAATCAGTTTTGCTTAGTTCCATTTTTGGATTGCGCTGTAAATAAAGTTTACAATTACTGTCAGTAAATATTTAGTTTAATATATAATGTAATTAATAAACAAAATAAAAAAATCTTAAATAAGTCTGTATGACAACATACTTTTAATGTATTGGAAGAGTTCTTGTCAATTGCCTCTACATTGTTAGATTGCAGAATTTGTTGATGTTGCTGTTGCTGCATCAACGACGGCGACGGCGACGGTGATGGTGATGGTGATAACGATGGCGATGAATGTTGATAAGGTTGAGAGGATGGTGTTGAATCCAATGACTGCATCTTCGTGGTGCAGACCGACATGGTCGTCGATGATCCGGATGATCCATTTGCCGGTGAAACAGTTGAACTTACATTCGTGTCATTTTGACTCTGTGATGCCATTTTTGAAAAAACGAATTACCGAGCAGATCTTCACCCCCGAAGAAGACGTGTTTATTTTTTGGAATAGTACTGAGAAGTACTTGAGAAATGTATTCTTCGGTTAAACCATTTCAGTCTTCGGTATTAATACTTTCATCCGAACAAGGAGGGCTTCGGCCCGAAAAACCAATTTCGGGACACGCCACATTGTTCCTGAACTCTTCCTTTTTCTTTTTCAACTTATTTCAATTATGCCGAACAAATTAATCCGGCATTTAATTTTATCCTCGATTATTGACAAATCAAGTACAATGCGTAGTTCACAGATAGGAATCTATCTTGTGAAAGGTGCTCCGAGATCATTCATTATCGATTATTTCTTATCGAATGTTACGATTCAGGATTCGACTTCGATTTCGACTTCGACTTCGATTTCGATTTCAAACAGCGGTAAATTTCAAATTTTGTTTAAATATATATTCGTAGTATCAGAATGTTTTTCTGAAAAGAAGCTGTTATAGTTGTAATGTTTCTTTATGATATATGATTATATTGTATTTCTACTGACAAATTTAGACCTATTTTAAAAATAATATTAAATGATTAATATTTTCTTTTTCTTATGAAAAATTGTGACGACAATAAACAACATAAAATTGCATTGTTTGTAGCAATCAGGTATTTCTTAATTATTTAAAAGGCTTAAAGAAAACTGAACGATGTTTTAGAAACTATTTTTATTTCCTAATCATACATGTTCCTATTTTTTGCTTTTGTAAATACGAGATAATATTTTCGACAAGTTAGAAATCTTATCAGTTTTATCGATATTACTTAATACACTGATGAAAATTTCGGGAATCGATGAAACTTTTCGTTATCATTTTTCTTTCCCAACATGTCAAAGCTCGAAGCAGAAGCTTTAAATATACCTTCGTTTATTCACTTTCAAAATTATAACGATCCTTTCTTTGAACCTGAAGATGAAAATACGACGCAAAATAAGTAAGAGAATTTCATTTTTTATTAACGTCTATTTTCTTTTATTTTTGTGAATATTATAAGTGATTATTTAACTTTATGACAATTATTTAATTTTAGTTCTCCAGAAGAACCCCTTCCATGGGATGCATTTAATTGTATCCCATTTAAAAAGAAGAGCAAATCAATGCACACTAAGAAATTTTTAGATAATTTAATACGCATTATTAAAATACTTATATATGGCATCCTTTTCTGCACTGTCTTTTGTAGTGCTTTAATTGCTAAATTTATAGTTCTTTTTGCTGTGTCACAACTTCAAGAGGAAAAATCTACAAAGTTTTGTGATTATTATAGAAGTAATGTATAAATAACATTCATATAAAAGAATATGTCATTGTATAATTTCTATAAGAAATGTATAATATTTTATATTTTAGGAAATGAGGAAGACTTAATGGTACAGATCTCTATAAGAGGCAGGGTAATTTGGACATGGCATATCATTTTTATGTTTCTTATACCAGAATGTTTTACTATGATGTATGCAATTTGGTATTATCTCTTTAAGAAAAAAGTAAAGATGCCCAAAAAACAAAATATGGCACTTCTTTTCTTTCTGGAAACAATTCATTCAGGTGGCTTAGCAGTTTTAATTTTTTACTGTCTTCCACAAATTAATTCCATTGATGCTGCTGCAATTTCCAACTGTATTTTCTTCATTCCTGCTTTATTAAGTAAGTGAATTTATTAACAAATTAGATTATAAAAAAAAATATTTTCATTATGTTTCTCTTTTACAGATTTATTTTCTCAAAGTCAGAGGTATCCAAGTACAAGTAAAATGTTTATATTAGTATTAGCATTTAATATTTTAGCATTACTTGCCCAAGGTTGTGGACTATTTTTACAGTCATTTTTAAATTATAAGCTGTATGAACCTTTGATTTGGATTCTTCCTACAGCTCTTGTGTTATCTTCTTGTCGGTGGTGGGGCAATTATATATCTCACTACACTTGTGGTAATAATAAATTTTTGAATAATTATAAATATATAATTACTTTTAAGTTATATAGTATCAATAATCTATTTTGTACATAGTTTTCTTATAATATACTCAATATTTTAGGTTTCATTGCGATGTTAGCAACAACAAAAGTGGATTTGAAAAATAATTATCATATATTACAAGGATATATAGCATTCTGGCGGAGCTTAATTTTTATTTTAAGTGCTGCTGTGATTTCAACTTTTAAGAATATTGAAATTCAGGAATTTTTTATATGGGAAAGAGAGTATGGAATTTCACTAATTCCCACTTCAAATACCTTTCATATTAATAACAACACTGAAGCAGCTTATTTAACTGCATATACTTCTGCTCCTTTAAGTGCCTTTTTGTTGCAAACTTTCTGTGGTTTTCTCACATATGAAGCAGGTAAAACAGAAATGTATACATTGCCAAAATGAAAATTACAAATTTCAATTTTAATTCTTATTATATTAAATATTGTTTATATTATTACAGCAAAATTTGCATACAAAACTCAAATGCATAAGTTTGGCTTTGCTTTCCCAATCAGCTTAGTTACCCCAGGAACTATACTTTTAATAATGGTGCTCTGTATTGTGAGAGAAAGGGATACATGTGTTTTCCATAAGTTTATACCAGATTATCTATTTTTAAAATCGCCTAAATATGATAATATCACGGAATTTCTGTTTAATTGGCGTGTTTGGTGTTGGATATCATGGTGGTTATCACAAATTTGGATCACAATACAACTCTGGCTAGGCGAAAATGAAAAACTTGCTGCTGCAGATAAGATCTTTTATAATCGAACTTATGATTCACTTATGATTGACCAATTTATAGGATTAAATAAGAGGAGACATGAAAGTTATGGTATTATTAAAGAAAAAGTATTATCAAACTCCAATGAAGAATTTGAGGTTTTATATTCTTTTTACCATGAGAATTTTTTTATTTTTGTTTGTTTTTACTAATGTTAATTTTAAAATAAGAATTTTTTCAGATTGGTAGCTCTAAAGACAATACAAATAATAAACAAAATGCTTGTATTACTCAAATTTATGCTTGTGCAACTATGTGGCATGAAGACAAGGACGAAATGAATGAATTGATTGGAAGTATCTTAAGACTGGACAGAGATCAATGTGCTATGAAAGTTACACAAAAATATTATAAAATTGCAATCCGAGATTATTACGAACTTGAAAGTAAATAATATTTACAATTAAGTTTTTTAAACTTATTAATGTAAATAGGTATATAATAAAATTGAATATAAATTGTTGTTTCCAGCACATATATTCTTTGATGATGCATTCTGTTGCATGCATGGCTGTTCAGGATCTTGTAATCACAATGAAAATGAAACACAAATAAATCAATATGTAGCCACGTTTGTGGAAACTATACAAGAAAATATAAAAAATCTTGACATGCCTTCTTTACCACCAATTAAATGTCCAACACCTTATGGTGGTCAGCTAATTTGGAAGTTACCTGGAAAAACAGACTTGACTGTACATCTTAAGGATAAGAACAAAATAAGACATAGAAAACGATGGAGCCAGGTATATTTACTGATATTAGTATTAAAACAATTAACAGTACTTTTTATTTCATGTTAATCACTGAATTACTTTAGGTCATGTATATGTATTATCTTCTTGGTTATCGCTTAATGGGTTCATCAATAGATGTTGATACTAAGGAATTAATAGCAGAAAATACTTATATTTTAACACTGGATGGAGACATTGATTTTCATCCAAAAGCTGTTAAATCATTATTAGACTTAATGAACAAAAATAAGGACTTAGGTGCAGTTTGTGGAAGAATACATCCAGTAGGAAAAGGTAATTCTGTAAATGCTTTGACATGTAAAAGATGTAATGTTATTACTAAAGATAATACATGTTATATACAGGTCCTGTTATTTGGTTTCAAAAATTTGAATATGCAATTGGACACTGGCTTCAAAAATCAACAGAACATGTAACAGGTTCTGTTCTCTGTAGTCCAGGTTGCTTTTCTCTTTTTAGAGCAAAAGCTTTAATGCAAAATAATGTCTTAGCAAAATATGCAACTAAATCAACAGAACCCAAACACTATATTCAGTATGATCAAGGAGAAGATAGATGGCTTTGTACATTGCTTCTACAAGCTGGTAGTAAAGTAAGAAAATTTAAATTGCATAAATACGAAATTTTATTCATGATATTTTTATTAATTTAAATTTATAGAAATATTATTTTTTATTAATAATTAGGTAGAATATTGTGCAGCTGGCGAGGCTTATACACATGCTCCAGAATCATTTAATGAATTTTATGTTCAACGTCGACGATGGATTCCATCAACTATGGCTAATACCTTTGATTTATTAAATACTTCAAAGGAAACCAGAAAAGCAAACGATAACATATCATTATTGTATATAGTTTATCAGTGGATTTTAACAGGTAACTAACTTTCATAACTTTGTTTAAATCATTGTTCTTATATTATGTTCAATGATAAAAAAACTACATGTATATCTTCACTCAAATGTTACGTGTTATTATTTTTGTATAGGTAGCACCATTATAGGACCATCTTTTATTTATTTAATGATATCTGGTGCATTTGTTACTTCTTTCCAAATCGATAACTGGTCAAGTTTCTGGTATAATCTGATTCCAATTGTTGTTTTTGTGTTTGTCTGTTTCTTTTTCGATGTACGCATTCAGGTAATTATTCAAATTACTACAATTATAAACATTCAAATAGTTATCAATAAATATTTATCTCTTCGTTCATATTTTTACAGCTTATAGTAGCTGAGGCTATCACTCTTATATATGGTTTAGTAATGATTATTGTAATGGTTGGAATAATGATTCAAATAGCAGCAGATGGATATTTTGCACCTAATACTGTTCTGTTTTTTGTTGTAATCAGTCAGTTTATATTGGCAGCTTTTCTCCATCCAAAAGAAATATCATGTCTACCTAATGCAATCTTTTATTATATTACTGTACCATCAATGTATATGTTACTCATCATTTTTGCTATCTTCAACCTTCATAATATTACGTGGGGTACCAGAGAATCTAAAGTGCAACAGGTAATGTTGTCTTATAGTTTTACTTATGCTTGTTAATTATAATAGTTTTTAACATAATCGAAATATTATAAACTTTTTGTTATAGACGGAGCAACAAAATATGACAAATAAATCACAATCTGAACAGAACAATGAAAATACTGACAATGAATCCAAATTTTCTTTAAGTAAATTATTCAAATGTAACTTTAGTACTTACAAAAATTCAGAAAAAGAAGAGAAATGTTTAACAGCTATTTATAACTCTATAAATGAAATTAACATTCGTTTAAAACAGATAGAAAGGTATTAAGTTACTGCAAAAATATTATTACAATGAAAAAAAAGGCATATACTGTAATCTTTATTTTAATCAAATTTTATGTCTAGCAACTACAAACTTAACAATACAACAGAGGAAATCGTTGAACAAAAAAAAGAGGAAGAAAATAAACCATTTGATGAACAATTAGCAGTTACAGAAAATTCAAATGCAAGCACAGATTCTGAAAGTGAAGTTTTAGAAGAAATACATTTTAATCAGCGTCACGAATATTCAAATTATTTGATAAATCCTCATTGGCTGCAAGATGAACGTTTAAAATATGGGAAAGTAGACTTTCTTCCCACTTTAGAAGAAGAATTTTGGACACTGCTAATTCAGAAGTATTTACATCCTATTGAAAAAGATCCGAAAAAACAAGTATGAGTTTTAAAATATAAATTATTCAAGTTAATAAATTTAACTACCATTTTTTTAAATATTAAATTTTGTTTGTAGAAAGAAATTGCTAAAGGTTTGATACGTATACGTAATCACAGTCTCGTAAAATTTTTTATGATAAATACACTGTTTGTGGTAGCAATTTTTTTATTGCAACTTAATAAAAATACTCTGTATCTTCAATGGCCTTTTGCTATTGAGTACAATATCTCTTATATTGAAAATTACGAAGTAAGTTTTCTCTTATTAATATGAAACATGTTATTAATATTTTTATTTGTTATTTATTATAATAAATTACATGATTTTTTAGGTACATGTAAATAGAAATTATATGCATTTAGAACCAATTGGATGTCTTTTTATTATTGCATTCGTTTTTATATTGTTTGTCCAATTTCTAGCTATGTTGGCACACAGGTTCAATACCTTTTCTCACATACTAGCTAATATGAAGCTATATCTACCATGTTGTAATAAGGTAATGTAACAAACAGAGCTATTATCATTAAGTACTTAATTTACAGTTAACTCTTTTTTTTCTATAAAAATATGTATTATATTAATTTTTAGGAGAAACATTCAAGTGATGATTTAATTATAAATCGACATGCTGATGATATAGTTGAGGGGTTGCAAAGTGCAACAGAAAATGAAATATTTTTTGCAGGTAGAAGAAATACTTTCCAAGGATTAATACACAATGTTCAAAGCCCTCCAAGCATGTCTTCTAATTTTGAAGTACTTTTTCACAAAAAGTTACAAGCAACTGGTATCAAGTTTTATTATTTTATCATATTAAAAACACAAATTATTACACTTTAAACTCAATACGTATTTTATATTGAATATAATATTTCAAGTTTTTCTACAGAACCATCTTCAAACATAACAAAAAGAAGGAAAGTATCTAAGAAGCATAATTCTGAAAAATTAACCGACTATAGTACAAAAAAATCTACAAGGATTACACCTGATAGAAGAAATAATACCATTTCTAACTCTGAGATTGGAAATGAAAACAAGAAAGCTAAAATACATCAATATGATAATGCAGCATTTTTAAATGATGATGATGATAAATAAGTCTAATACACTGATTAATTTTAAGTATTAAACTTAGGTAAATGATGTTGATACTTTAACAATTATTATTTCAATATTAGTTACACTAAGCGAATGAATGGTAAAAATAAATATTTACCTTTGTCAAAGTACAATTATAGTTATATTTATATATATAGTTTTCTTTATTGAAATATGTATGTTTTAAAATATTTTGCAACATATACTGTTTTTAATAAAAAAGATTACTTAAAAAAGAGTATATTAATTGATATACCTTACATAAATTTGGTGCATTTGAAGAGCATCTGTTTCTATTCCTTATCAATAAATACATTGCAAAATTTCTCTAAAGTGGGGGCTCCAGACGCCATTGCACGTGGCCCGAGGAGGGGCCGGCGCCGGGTGTGCCCCTGGTATCGACCACATGCTAGACGCTCGAGATGGTCACCAGTATGCCAGGCGTCGAGGGCTCCGAAGTAATATACAGGGTGTTCGACAACAGGTGGGCAATATTTTAAGCGGTGATTCTAGGGATCAAAATAAGACGAAAATCATGAATAACGAAATAGCGTTTACGGCTTTGTTTCCCAGTTATTAACGTTTAAATATTCGAATAAAAAAGCGCCAGAAACCTGCAATCCGCTCAGCACCGACAATCGAACGTCACGTCGGCAGGGGTCGGTACAGTCATAACCAAGAATCGAAACCGAATACTGCAGTACCGAGAAACAGAATAGCAAGAGGTAAGTATCTATTATTCAACGATTCTTGGTTATGACTGTACCGACCCCTGCTGACGTGACGTTCGGTAGTCTGTGCTGAGCGGATTGCAGGTTTCTGGCGCTTTTTACTCGAATTTTTAAACGTTAATAACTGGAAAACAAAGCCATAAACGCTATTTCGTTATTCTTGATTTTCGTCTTATTTTGATCCCTAGAATCACCCCTTAAAATATTGCCCACCTATTGTCGAACACCCTGTATATATGTACATAAGGTCCCGGAACCAGAAATCTGACACTCCCCCGCCGCCTTGCCCTGGGGGATGCTAGGGGGTCTTATGCAAGATTTCTCCGCGTTAAAAAAAAAGAATATTAGCAGCCACTGATTCGAGTAAAGGTTAATAAACATTGTTACAAAACGTGTAATCCAGATTTCTCGCTTTGCAACATTACTGCGTACCCAGCTGGCTGCGGCACCGTTATCAACCATTCGACCTAGAGCGAAGTGGAATCCCCTCAGTCTTGTAGCGACCGCCGAGGAGTGTGGTTCTACCTGTCAAACATACATAACCTTTATTTTATTTTCTGCGCTCGTTTAGTTTGCTGTATTTGTCTTCCTAACTTATTGAATAACCGCATTAGGAGACTGAACGTGTTGATTTTATTACTCCCTTACATTTCTTTATTCCTTACATCCCAGCATCCCTTAGATTACAGCTCCTTACACATTTCTGCATCTTTTCCATCGCTGTATCCCTTACATTCCTGCATTCTTTACATCCCAACATCCGTTACATCCCTGCTTTCTTCATATCCTTGCATCCCTTACATCTCTGCATTCCTCACATTCCTGCTCTCTTTACATCCCAACATCCCTTACATCTCTGCATCCCTTATATCCTTGTATCACTTATATTCCTGCATTCCACATATCCCAGTACCTCTCTGAAATTGAGATGCAATTTATGCGGCTATAAGGCCTGAGATTTTGTATAAATTTAGTTCCTTTCGCAAAATTTTCGAAAAAATAGCGCCCCCTAGCGGTAAAAATTTGAACTAAAATGTAGATGTCGAACCAGCGCCCTCTGGCGACGAAAAAAAGGAACTAAAGCCTGCAAAATTTCTGGCCCTCTGGCGGCAAGAATTCGAACTAAAATTTCGATGTCGAATCAGCGCCCTCTAGCGACGAAAAAAGGAACTAAAGCTTGCAAAATTTCTGGCCCTCTGGCGGCAAGAATTCGAACTAAAATTTCGATGTCGAATCAGCGCCCCCTGGCGGCGAAAAAGGGAACTAAAGCTTGCAAAATTTCTGGCCCTCTGGCGGCAAGAATTCGAACTAAAATTTCGATGTCGAATCAGCGCCCTCTAGCGACGAAAAAAGGAACTAAAGCTTGCAAAATTTCTGGCCCTCTGGCGGCAAGAATTCGAACTAAAATTTCGATGTCGAATCAGCGCCCCCTGGCGGCGAAAAAGGGAACTAAAGCTTGCAAAATTTCTGGCCCTCTGGCGGCAAGAATTCGAACTAAAATTTCGATGTCGAATCAGCGCCCTCTGGCGACGGAAAAAGGAACTAAATCTTGCACCATTTCTGGCCCTCTGGCGGAAAAAAGGGAAACTAACTTACCTTTACTTACCTTTACTTACCTTTACTCGAACGAGTTTTTATAATATATTATTATATTTATTATAAGGGTTGTAGAAATATAAGGGATAGGGAAATGGATATAATGGATACAGGGATATAAAGGACGCATAGATGTTGGTGATGCAGGGGCGGTAAGGGATGCAGGGATGTAAGGCACAAACTGGTTGGGGATGCAGGAGTGTAAGAGATGCAGAGATGTAAGGGATGAAGAAATATAAAGGATGCAGGGATATAAAAAATTCAGGGATGTAAATCATACGAAGATGTAAGGAGGGCAGTGGTGTGAGGGATGCAGTGCTATAATGATACAAGGATACAAGGGATATGGAGATAGAGTGATTTAGTGGTAGTCCCGGCGAGGCTCATAAAAAGAATGAAGAAATAAATATCTGCCAAGGGAGGCCTTAGTCCATAGAGAGGAGTAGGATAATAAATAGTTAGGGAGCGTGGGTCTTGGTCCATACAGAAGGATAAAATCATTAATAACTGAAAGGGATGGGTCTTGGCCTATAAAGAGGGATAAAATTATATAAATAACTAGAAAAAGTGAAATAAAAGGTGTCAATTAAATAAACTCCGGAAAGAAATTAAAAGACGATTATTGTGCTGGTTGTGTCCTCTACGTACGGACCTAATTTCATCCTGCGGTATCAGGGACTCCATTGTGCCGGTTTCTCTCTGCATGCCGATCTGGTATCATCTTGGGGTGTCTGCTGTTGGCAACAGATAAGCGGATAGAGAATATGAGTAAAAATGAATAAAGAGAAAATGTATATGAATGGAAAAATAAGAGTATAAAAAGAAGTAAAAAAGAAAAATGAGAATTTAAAAAGGCCACTGATGTTCGTTGGGCAATATAGGAGGGGAACCCTCCTGCAGAACGCCATCTTGGGCTTCGCCCAAGTAAAATCTATATGTAATGTAATGTAATGTAATGTAATCTTGGGGTGACATTGTTTAATTAAGGGGGTAGACACGGGTAATGCAGCGAGGTGACATTACCGGTAAAAATGGGCCTATCTAGGAATAATTTATGAACTTTTATGATTGATTCTTGTAGCGACTTTCTAATATAGGCTTTCTAAGAATTTAGTCACTAATTAATTAATTATGAACCCTTATAGGGGCGACGGCTCGAACCTACAAGAATGATCACTCTGAAAATTGCTAATACTTAATTAATTACTTTCAGGAGGCAGATTCTTTAATAATAATGATGGACTTTTTCCTGTACATATAAGCGATGGTCCAAAAATCATCGAAATCGGGGAGGAAGTATTTGTTCTGCAATTTTACAAAAAAAGAATAATAATAACAAAAAAAATAATGATAGTACATCTCGTGACACTCACTCACTAATTTCGCCCCTAAGGGCCGGCGCTTTTGGGGACTTATTTGTCCCCATATTGCCCAATGAACGCTATCGTCCACGTGCATGGGGGATGGGCTGGCAGCACCGCCACCTCCAAACCCCGCGCATTGTTTAAATTTCTCCCTCTTTTCCTATCGATACTTTTACTTCTGTATACTTGTCCATACTTTTAGATCCTATACTCAATCCATACTTTTAGTGTCCGCTCATCTTAATCGGTGTGTGTGTATGTGTGCGTGTGTGCGTGCGTGTATGTGTATATGTATGAGTCTGTGTGACCCCTTTTAGTCGCCTCTTACGACAGGCAGGGGATACCGTGGCCGTATTCTAAACCCCCCGAGCCACAGGGGCAATCTCGTGACACGTGGGTTAAAAATCGCTATCCTAGTCGATAGAATGATGCGTGAATCTGTAGTCACTGGATAATTCTTTGACTGTACCGAGAACCCCAAGGAACTGCCGGGTATGTGTTATATCACTGACGAGATACCGAGTACTGACAGTATCTCGTCGGTGGTTATATGCCCGTAGTAAGGTGAAGGTAAAAGAAGCACGCCTTTACCGGCAGTGGGAATCGTACCGACCTTCGAAACCTGTATTACCATCAGCCCCACATATTGAAATACCCCGTCCTGTTCCATTGTTATTCGAAGACAGACTGATTTGATTACTGACCACTACCGAATTTTCGTTACTAGGTGCTTCCACAGACGAGGGAATAGAATAGATATATCAACTAATGAGGTTTTGTGTCTCACGTTCTGAAATATCGACATAGTTTCAAATTTAATTTTTACCCGCTGTTTTGGTGCGCACTCTACGACCTGAAACAATGATTTTCGGAACTACGTATTTATCATATGATGGTACTTACTTCCTGCGTCATTTTATATGGTCGCTGAAAGATGTCGCTGCATTACAATTTATTGTCTAGCAAAGTAAGAATTTGACGTTATTGTAACATTATTAAACTATTATTACTTGTGCATTATTAGAAAAAGGTATATAGAAGGTAAAACATTTTTTCTTAGACAAGAGGTAAATGCAATTTAAAACATATTATTCATTTCTTACAATTACTCGCTAATGAAAGTAATATTACTAAGGACATTTACATTAAGAATAGCATTACAAGTGTACGTTTGTGTTGCAGTTACATGTATATCGAAAAAGAAATTTTTTCAACGATCGCCTTTGTTTGAGTCATAAGAACTTGATGAGTGAAAATAGTTACCTAATGACGCACCGTGTCGTTTTATCTCGGAGTCATTTCCGTGGGATGCCACAATATCCTTCAATGTTGCCAGTACTGTGGCGCTTCGCTCGTTTTAAACAAAATTGGCATAAAGAACGAAACAATGATATTTTGTACGGTGTTACTTTTTTCGAATTTGTTGTATACATTGGTTCTTTGCGAACACAAAGACGCGGAGATTCTTTGCGCATCTCAACAGACTTGCGGGAATTGTCTACAGACTCCTCGATGTGTTTGGTGCTCTACAACGGTAATCATTATATTTATTATTAATTATTTCTGAGAGAACACATTAATAGATCAATTAAGAAACTACTGATTTACTGTTTGTTCACCCAGGTGTCCAACCAGAATGCCACTGGTTCCCTGGTGCGCTGTGTCAGCAGAGAAAAATTTTTAAAGGAAGGTAATCTCTGGTGTCGAGAAACCGACGTGATAGATGAGACGAGTTCGATGCTCGTACTTGAAAATCGCCCATTATCGTCGACCAAGGGCAAGGTTCCTCTTCAAATTCAGCCTCAAAAAGTCAAATTAAGGCTCAGACGAGGAAAGTACCATCTCACGATTTTCATAAAATTATCTTGACAATTATCTTGTCAACAATCTATTGAACATTATATGGAATTTATAGGCGAAGAGTATCACTTGAGCCTGAGGTATAGTCAAGCAGAGGATTATCCAGTGGACTTGTATTACCTGATGGACTTATCAGCATCCATGGAGTCCTATAGAGATCGATTATCAGAACTAGGATTTCGACTGGCGGAGGCAATGCGGAAACTCACTTCGAACTTTCGTTTAGGATTCGGTAGTTTTGTCGATAAAGTAGTACTGCCGATGACCAGTACACAGCCAGACAAGTACTTTGAAATTTTGATTTACAATTTCAAATAATGTCATTTATTTTTCTATTTAACTTAATGTTTTTACAGGCTAAAATCACCGTGTGTCTTGAGAACCAAAAAACCATGTACACCGCCTTATGGGTACAAGAATCAGATGCCTTTAACCGAGAACGTTGCTCTATTCAAAGTAATTTATTCTTTAGCAGTGATCAAAATTATTATATTCGCCAATGCTGATGTACATATAATATTAATACCGTTCGACGATTTTTCGAGACAGAACCGGGTACAAGAGGCGCCAGTATCCGGCAATCTTGACGCACCAGAGGGTGGTCTGGACGCAATGATGCAGGTGATGGTTTGTACTAAGGAAATCGGTTGGCGACAGAATGCCCGACATCTTATCGTCTTTTCTACGGATGCCGGCTTTCATATCGCCGGGGACGGCAGAGTGCGTAAAAAACAGTAACTTTACTTTCAAAGAATTTCTCTGAAACGGAAACTATTGTGTTTCAGGTAGCGGGAATCATCGAGCCCAACGACTGTCTTTGTCACCTGGACAAGGATGGATTTTATACGTATTCGCTTCTACAAGATTATCCGTCCGTCGCTCAAGTATACAATTGTTTTTATTATTTCATACAATGAGAATGATGGAAATTTTGCACTCACCATTATTTGTTTACGCTTGAAAACAGATTAACAAGGTAGTACGTGAGCACAATATGAACATATTTTTCGCGGTTCCAAGCAAGATGAACGTGACGTATCAGTTATTGAGTAAACGAATCAAAGGTTCTTCTATTGGAATGCTCGAGCATAATTCTCAAAACGTAGTCGCCTTAGTCAGCGGGGAGTACAAGGTATAACGTAGCCAATTTATGAAATCATTAAAATATTGATCATTTATGATTATCGAAACATGCACGATTGTCGATGATCCTTGCAGAAACTGGTGAACTCTATAACGATGACGGACGATGCTCCGAAAATGATCGATGTTAAATACTTTTCTCGATGTTTGGAAGAAAACGGCGAATTGAAGGAACGAAGGGAATGCGGAGGATTACGAGTGGGTAACATCGTCGAATTCGAAGTGGTATTGCGGGTAATTTTATATGTATATCGAAGATTCATAATCGCTTAAGTTTGCCGGGACAAACGGGACCCATAAAATTCAACATCACGAGGGGTATTAAATGCTTTTGTCGAACGTAGGCGGTCGAATGTCCAGCGAATTCCAGCGAGTGGCAGCAAACCATGCAGATAAAACCGAGAGGCATAAACGAGAGTCTGACGATCGACCTGAGCATTATATGCGACTGTGCGTGTGATCGGCCAGGACATCCGGTAAGAATAATCGAATAAGCAGCTTCCCGTTACGATTAACACGTTCCTCGTTACATGGGAGACACAGGACCCATGGTTGCAGTCAGATTTTTCTCACACGTATCGAATGATAACGTAGGGGTACGAGGTTGTTTCGGAAGATTGCAAAGGAAATGGCACTCTGATTTGCGGTCTATGCTCTTGCAACGATGGTTTTTACGGGAAGCAGTGCGAATGCGAGGGAGACGAAGCGGGCGGAGTCGAGAGCGCAGCTGCGATGGCTGATTGCAAACCTGACAACGAGACCAATGAAATTTGTACTGGCCACGGAGACTGCAAGTGCGGCGTGTGCGATTGCGCGAAGCGTCCAAATCCGCAGGAACTTTTCTATGGGAAATACTGCGAGTGTGATAATTTCTCTTGCAAACGAAGCGGAGGATTGGTGAGCGAACATTTGTGAAAAGCTTATTCCGTAAAACTGTGGATGAATAATGCGATGCTATTCTCGTATTTAAGGTTTGCGGCGGGCGGGGCAAGTGCGAGTGCGGTTCTTGCAATTGCCTGCCAGGATGGGGTGGTGAGACGTGCGATTGCAAAGAGACGAACACCACGTGTATACCAGATAATAGCGAAACCGTGGACATTTGCAGTGGACGCGGTGATTGCATCTGTGGTGTATGCCACTGTCACGAAAAGGACAATATTCGATATTCCGGACAGTACTGCGAAGAGTGCCCGGTGAGAAATCTCCTATTTCCATCACGAAACTGAAAATCATTTCAATTATTAATTGTTGATATTAATTGATTTTTCAGACGTGTCCTGGACAACGTTGCGAAGAGTTGAAAAAATGCGTGGAATGCATGGCGTATAATTCTGGGTCTTTTGCTGGAAATGGAAAATGCGATCAATGTTTGCATCAGATTGATATCGTAAGAAACATTTTCGATATTTGCTTCTCTTAGCAAAGATACAATTTTTTGAAGAACCTTTTTAAATTGACGAACAGGTGGAAAAGATCACAGAAGATCCTGTAAAAGATCAAGAGACTGGAGCTCATGTTTGTCGAACGCAAGATGATGCAGGCTGCATGTTTGCATTCAAGTATGAATATTATAGGGGTGGTACTGGAGGCGATATAAAAATATTCAATATTCTTGCCGAGAAAGAGAAAACGTGCCCCAAGCCTCTTAATGTTGTTGGTAATTACATCACAGTAAAAGAAACATACATAATTATATAGCGGTAGATATATTTTAATGTTTATAACCTAGGTGTTGCTATTGGCTTAGTGGCCAGTACTGTAATCATTGGTTTCCTGATACTTGTTGCTTGGAAAATACTGACGACAATTCACGACGCACGAGAATTCGCGAAATTCGAGCAAGAACGAGCTCTTGTGAAGTGGGAGACGGTAAACTGATTATTAAATTTTTATTATTTTCCTTAATTTTGATACATTCACAGCTCTTGTCTGGTATTTAGGGGGACAATCCACTTTATAAGAAGGCTACATCCACTTTCAGAAATCCAACGTTCAACGACAGTGGCAAAGATTAGTTTGAAAATTTTTTATTGTTTAAAACAGGCCTGGGCGATTTGCGCCTGGCGAGCCGCATGCCTCTTCTTTCCCCACTTCGACGCCGTCTATGCTCATGCGGAGCGCGAGAGAAGAGGGGGACTAGGAGTCTATACATGTACGACTCACGGTAAGAGGGTATTAGTAGGGGGGACCAGGGTAGTAGAGGGGATTGCGTGACGACAGCGGGAAAGATGTTGCTCAGGCCTGGTTTAAAAGAATTTTCGCGGGCTTGATTTGAACGTAAGGTGCGCTATCCGACAGGTAGCGCCACGATACGGAACTAACGATAAATCAACGACGACGCCATCTTGGATAATTACTTCGCGAGAAGACGTCTACTCGGCAAAAAGAAATCTTCGTCCGTCTAAGCTTTTGGAAAAGATACATTCTCCGCATTCTTTCCTGCCTTCCTATCTTGTAAGTGAAACTATTTCCTTTTTTCTTTTTCATTTTTCTCCCCAAATATTTCAAATACTTTGGTTATCTTACATCCCGCGTTATCACGTGTAAAAATGGCGCGAATAAAAAGAAGCGTATAGGTATGCTAGTGTTTTCCTGAAAGAATCGTCTACCAGGAAGTAAAATGAACGCGATTAGCAACGAAAAGACGAAGGTCGATACGCGATCTGTCGTAAATCACTTTTTAAATTTGATTGGAGGGATTTCGCGTGGAGATAGGTCCTGGCCTCTCGGTCGATTGTTTCGAATATCCTCTGGCCTCGTACTTTATTGCTTGCTATGCTCGAACAGGGCAGCTTCGTAAGGAGCTCGTAAATTCGTCACCATAGTCGGCTCCTGCTGCAAACCCTGCGGCGATTCGCTATGTTTCCCATCGAAAACCTAAAGCTCTACCCACACTGAATCCGCCCATACGACTTGATTACCGAACCATGGTTACCTCCTCCATTTTGTATTGCAAAGTACATGTAGCATTGTATACAGGGAGTGTTTGGCGAAAAATAAAGAATAATTATTTAATGTATCGATGTATCGATATGTATCGATTCATTTCTAATAACGCGATTAGAACGTTGCTTTAGTCGATTTCGAAACGATATTCTGACAAGGCAATCGTATGCGTTAAGAATAGCTCAGAAAAGCAGTCGGAGGAAGGAGAGAATAGCCGGCGCTCCGCATACTAAATCACTGCCGCACGTCCGTTTCTTTACATTGCACAGATTTTATTGATTATTTTACGGCCGGGAACATTGTAAATCTCTTCATCCTGTATCGGCGTCCCAACTCGTTCTGCCGTCAAACGCTCCCACCGGGTGCCCATAGCGCCAATTACCAGAGTCGGACGGTATTGTTGTTGCTTGCGTTCTGATCTGTCAGCCACGAGTGCCCTCTGTGCAAACTAACGACAACTTTTTACGCGCACCGTACTTTTTGACAAACGGCGTGCTCTCGTGAGTTAGGTTATCCCGCCATAACAGCTGCAAAAGGGACAGACAGGTGAGCAAAAGGAGAGACATTGCTGTTGAATTTTTTTGTTACAAACGTGTAACAAGCAGAGCAAATGATACGTGGAAAGAAACGAAGAAGGATAAGGTTAGGTCTTTGCGTAATTTGATATACGTGTCGAACGGCACACGGCAAGCCTTTCGTCTTGCGGAACAATGTTGTTCGTTTTCGCGGTCGCTAATGGCCGCCGCCGGTGCCTTAATTACAGCCAAATACGGTCCAATCAGCCCTCGGGGGCCGACAATGTCCGATCGTTTCGAACTTTTAAACCGTTCGATATATTATCGAATTCGAACCTTTCGACTATCCTTTTCTTTTCAGCGCATTCATCGTTGTGAACATAGGCGCTATTACGGAGCGTTCGAAAACATGGCGATGCTGGAAATTAAAACTGCGCGCCCCTGAAGTGAAGTACTCTATCTACGAAGACGAAGCCATCGATTATAAAATGGTGCAGGATCTTTATTTGTCACAAAGAATTTCGATCAAGCAGCTATACGAAACAGTAAAGAGACAATAGCATCGCGACAGAAGAGTCTACAAATGATTTTGAAAGATCTATTTAATCGCTGAATAAATTTGAGCGACACCGTTGATGGTGGCGCATCCTGGCTGGAGAATCGGGCTGCTGCACCAGGCTGCACCACCTCTTGGCGTTCGACGCAGACCAAGGCTCGTTAGTGCGTGCCCGTAAATCAAGCCGCAGGGGTGCCAACCCGCTAATATTACCGGGGTTCCTTCAGGATAGGAGGAGCACGTTCACGCCGCCGACGCGCACGGTAAACGTTCGATATATCTCATCGATAATGAGTTTGTTAAATGGATTAATATTCTACTTTCTCTTCTCCTTCCTTCTGCCGTTTAAGGCAATATCCAGGCTGCTCGTATAAAACGCTTTTGGAATTTACGCCGACTCGTTGTTCCCGGGTTCTCCTTTTCTTATATGTGATAATAGCTTTCACGATCGGAGAAGGAAAGATAAAAGAAACCGAAATATATTCACTGAGCGTTAACAAAAATGGATTTTATAAGATGTCTATAATTCTTGTTAAACGGGGTGAATATATTGAAAAATTAAGCGTTTTATAATTAAAAAGAAATTTAACTCTTTGGGAATGGAGCATTTTCAAACTTGCACAGAGAATTATTAATTTAAAGTAAAAGCCTTCAAAGCATATTGTCCTGTTTATAGCTATGTTTTGTATCAAGATTATGGACAGAATTATAAATTACTATTAACAATTATATTTGGGCACACATATGTGTCGATCGTCCGCAAAGAGTTAAAGAGATAAAGTTGAAAGAAAATGGTACATTCGCTTTTGAAAGGCGATTCAAATGGCGGGTTAGTAAAAGAAGATGAAAAAGTTTGAATGTATTATATTTTGTATCGATTATCGGGAATATCGTTCGAATCTCCTGGAATCTAGCGCGCTCCTGGAGGCAGTATAACCCGTATATACAGGCGGATAATTAATGGAGCCGGTAATGAGCTGATTATTATTAATAATATTTAGCCGGGGTTAAGCCGAGGCGACCCCGCCGTGCTGGAGCCCGGCTGCTCGTTAATTGAATCTGCCAATCATCGTAATGAGCGTCAGCGCTGGATCCGCTGTCCGTTCTTCGTTGTTGCTCTTCAGGGCCCACGAGCTTGATGCTCGCCGGTTTCGAAAAACGAAATATGCATCTTGCTCTCTGCAACCCTATCCTAAGAAATGTGAGCAATTTTCTTCGCCGACCGGCTTTCGTGAATTTGATCGATATCGCGAACCCCGTCTAGAACCGGGTCGTAATTGTTGCTATTCGTTTTCATTAATTATACCGTGAACGATTATCAAACCTCGAGTAGCTAACGCGTAGAAAATGATCGAATCGTTCGTACAAGTAGCTGCGAATTGATACCCGTTTATTCTTTTCAACTTTTTCTCTTCTTCTATGGGAACAGTCTGACGTTTCTATGCCGTTTCATTTACCCTTTCAAAACCTTACACTACTCGTTTCAATTGTACTTTCTCATTTTTTTCAGATGGTATTTCTGAAGATGGAATACTTTAGAGTTGAAGTTAAACGAAGGAAGGACGAATATTTGCTCTATCCTAAAGGTAACGACTTCATTAATAGAATTTATTAATTCTCTTAATTATAAAACGGGGTGATTAACTCGCGTGGGAAGTCGTGTGTCATCCAGACGTGGATAACACGGCAGCGAACGTGTTAATCCGTGTCAACAAGAAAACTAAAAGACAAGAAAACACTGCGCGATTGAAGTAGCGACAGAAACTCGTTTCTGTCGACTACAACTCCGCGTATACGAATTAATAGATTAGCGAAGGCCACGTCTCCTCTTAATTCCACCTCATTACAGTGTTCGGTTCGGTTAGCGCAAGGCGGGTCCGCTCGATTATGGAGGATAGCCGAAATCACCGGTGGATCGGAGGATTAGATCAGAATTACCCAGACACGAGATGATCGTCGTACAGAATCATCGGTGGAGCCAGGCGGTAACGTCGTCAGGTATGTACCTTTCATTAATTATTTTCATTCGAATAAGTGGCGACGTTTTTGCCGCATCTTTTCTGCGCGAGATTTCGCATAGATTTCAATTACCACGGAATTAGAAGCGAATCGTGTTTCACGAATGTATCGGGCGGCACGATTCGGCTACCGAATGACGGGAGAAATTAATCAAAATAATCATCTCTTGGGCCCGGGGCGGCCAGCGGGGCCTGTCATTTACTCTCCTGGAACTCTTCTCCAACCTACCTTCTTTGCCGATACCCACTCTATACAGGATGTTTCCAAACACGCGAAAAGTAGTTTGCAAGGGTAGAGAATAATAAAATAAGTAGGAAATTTATTTATGTTGATTCTAGGAGTGTAGGAACTTAACTCTTACATTAATAAATATTTTTAAGTTATTCTTCCGTCGCGAATATCTCAAACATCTTGAATATTCCACGTTATTCGGTAGCCAAGCGAAATCTTCTTCAGCCTCTAGTCGGGAATTTAGAAATCCGTTGGAACCGATGCGTTTTTCTCTTGGAGATTGAATTTTAAATTAAACCAAGGATGATAATTCATTTCGAACGATTTTTTAACTGATTACTCATCGCGTAAGCCAATACGATTAAATTAAATTAAAAACTTGGCACATATTGAATAATTCAGCTCAAATAACATACATTTGACCGAAATTGCAAGTGTCATAATATTTATGGACGGTATTACAAATGACTCGAGTCATTTTCATAATTACCGGTTCATACGCATCAAACGACCGAAATAAAGAAACAAACCGAACGAAGACAGATGTGGTTGAGCCACATGCGGTGATAACAGCGAAACGATACCGCGTTTCTATCGTGACCGCTTCGATTTTCGAGGCAAACATTTTGAAGGAGCGCAATTACCAAGGCCGCCCAAGGGAACACGGCCGCGCTCCTGCTGGGTATTTAAAAGCAATTTCGAGCCGTGTTCCGTAACACTTGTTTATGATATTAATCGTACGGTGATTCCATTAATAAACGCAGAGGAATCGAATCGAGCCGCGACTTCCGTCGTCGATTTAATAAGTAATAATCTATTCGATCGAAACGATTTCGGGCCAATACGAGGGGTGAATAAAACTTTTCCAAGCGAGTTCAATCATTTTTTCCTTAATTAATTAGACTGTCATATCTAATAAAACGATAAAGCGAGTGTGCAAAAATTCGTAGCGCAAGTAGCGTAATGGAAACAGAGGAGGAAAGAATGAAAGAAAGAGAGGTGAAAGATAGGAAGAGAAGGGTGGGATTGGAGGGCACAAAGTAACGCTATAGGACACGCGAATGAGAAACGGGACGGTGTCCGGCGAAGGCAGGAGGTCCGAATGGGCCAATAACTTTGCGAGCTTATGTTTTTGAATATAAAGGGGACGGTGGTAGTTTGCGGGTACGATGTCACTCGAGTATCCCTCGTAGCCACCCTTCCTATTATTCCTCTGTCCTTTTCCGCTGCGGCCTTCCTGATGCACGACTGTCGTTCTTATTCAAATGCACGCCCCTGCAAAGCGAACGCGATGCCTCTTGCAAATTCGTCCAGTGATTCACGATTCGCTGTTTCCTTCACTGCTTGAGACTCGAGCCATTCAAAGATACACGCCTCGTCACACTGAACGTGGCGTTAACGCGGCCACGATTTCCTGTGGCTCGTTTCCAACTCGCGAATTGCGTATTCGGATTTAAGGAAAGATCGTTCAGCTTGAACAGGTATTTTAAGGTGAGAAAGAAAGGGAAAATATAATTTCCATAATCTATCAATTATTTGGTGAAAAATGACTTAGGCGCAACAGTTTGAGCTTCTTCTTGAAACCAATACAAATGCCGTGAAATCGATTAGGATACCAATTACGTTTATTCAAATAAATCATCGATTAAATTCAATTGAGGGACAGGTTTAGTCAGACTCCCAATAGGAGATTATTTCGAAGAACAGTGTGCCGGTACTCGTCCACGGACACACGCGGCACGTTGCCCACGAGCTCCTGTGGCGCTCACCGGGCTTCGACACCCACACGCCGTGTCGCCTCAGCAAACACATAAATAACAACAGTTTCGGAGTATCAGCGTCACCGTTCCCTTAGTATCGGCCATTTTCGACTCTCCGCGAGACATTCCAACGGGTTTAGAACTTTTCCCGAAAAATATCGTTGGGATCGAAGTGAAAATAGAACTACGGTGGATCGTTGAAACGATCCCTTGTTTTTCGACCGGAAACGAGGGCACACCGGTAAATTAGAGGTCGGGAAATGGGAAGAGGAAAGTTTGGCTCGTTAACGAGGGAACGAAGTAAGCGATCAAGCTGGAATTGCTTAAACGCGACGATGATCTTCCTTCGTTTCCCACCTGTTGGCTAACGTGAAATTTCTGAAAGCTTCTGCTCGAATAGAGACGTCACGAATCACACGAACTCCTTCGGGCGACTCCACTGAAATTCACGATTTCCTGATCGCGTTAGCCGAGTGAAAATTCACGTTTGACGTGTTCATTAGGGAACAGCTGGGCGTTCGTGTTAATAATTGCGCTTACCGAGTGAGCGCGAGCGAAACGCGAATTGGTTGTTCAACGATCCGCCCACGCGGATCTCGCGTGGCCGTGAGGCATTCAATTAATCGTGCGTTTCGTTTGTCGAGAATCGCGGTCACAATCGTACACAACAACGGATAGTATGTTGCCGCTGTCACGAAACTGACGTTTCGTATTTGCCGTGTTCAACGAACGACAAGCACCGTAACACGATTGCGATTACGACTCGGTGATCGACCGACGACGAGACACTCTTAAACGCTCTCTCGAGTGCTTAAGAATATCTTTCTCGAACGGTTTTATGTTCCTTTTTATTTATGAGAAAATATCATTGGAATTCCTGTACAACGTCGATGAGACTGATTTGCATTATTAGGAAAATTTGAATTTGTTTTTATAATTAAATAGATTGGATCGTTTCCTTTGTTCTTTCATTCATTTTTCAAATTGGCCATTTTGTAGCATTGCCTTTCTTTATAGCTCGAGCTCCTCTGTGAATGACTTACGATCTTCCCCAATCACGAAGGAATTTTAATCTCCCGGTTGGACGTGGGTCTTAATAACGAGTCTATCTTAATTAAATTAAAATTCTCATCGAGGGGGCCCACCACCGGGGTCCGTTTGTAGGGCGTGTCCGGTCGGTTGGTTCGAGACGAACCGAGTCGAGGAGTTACCGGTAAACTGACCTCCGTGACTAGGGTAAAGGAAAACAGTTGTCGAAAAATCGTTCGAAAATTCTCACAGAGTTCCCTGGTAAATTAATCTATCCTATGCAGGGACTAATCGATGAATTTACTTAGTAGTTTCCACGCCTTTCGCTCGGAAGAGACGGTCGAGGGGCAAACCGTGCAGGACGTCTCGAAACGATGTTCACTGCCCGATGGAGCATCCGCGAGGCATAATATTACCATTCTTTATTCTTTAACGATCGTCAGCCAGTGTGTTTCACGGTCCTGGCTCCGTTCTATCCTCCTTCCTTCTCTCGATGCTGTTTCTCCTTTACGATTCCGTCCCAATTTATTACGAAACCAAGGACTTTTCCCGCAAGTGTAGTCGAACTCGATCGTCCGCCCGTCGTTGCTCTCTCGAACGCGCCCTCATTTCGTATTCATAAAGTGGTAGGTTTCAGAGGGTCTCTTTAATATTCGACGAATACGACGAACGAGGCTTCCACTAGCGCCCTTTCGACGGGGATTCCGAAGAATCCTCCCGCCGGTTAATTACCGTGAAATACGACCGATCGAGAAATTCGGCTAAGCGTGCTGCGTCGTAAATCGAGCAATATAATTCACTTTACCTTAATAACCCGTCTAATAAGAGTTTCATCCTGTCGTTTTTAATGGATACATGTACACGCGTCGGATAATCATTCGGGCCGTGATTAACCCCTGCGAGCCGGTAGACGTTTTATCATTTTTTCCTGGCGCGATAGTAGTATAAAATTCGAATTGTGACACGAGTGCTCGTAGGTTGTATTTTCTTACAGTTATGAAACTTGTATCGCGTAGCTGCTAATCGAAAATCAAACGTCGCGTTAAACGTTTCGCGTGAAGAACGAAAGAGAAGGGTGAGAGAGGCATCAATTACGTTGGAACTCGTTTCGGTCGACTGGTTCGGTTTAAAATTTTCGAAAAATCCTCGTTTCGTAATTGTTTATTGTGATCGAGGGTTCGGGTTGGAACGAACCGCCCCCCCCTTTCCACCCCCCCCGCGGTGCATCGCGAATAGGATCTAAAAGGACAAGAGGAGTGGAACGTGGGTTCCTACCGTTAATATCCGACTTTACGACGCATCCTGGTCGCGCGAGGCGTGCACCTCGCGGGGCACTATACAAGCCCCCGTAATTTGATAATATAGGGTTATGGTGGCGCCAAGCTGGGCTGTTTAAATTCATAACATTGTTTATTCCTATTAGACCGACCTATTCGCTTCGTTCTGCGCGATATTTCATTCGAAACCAACGACCGAGCGCCGCGCGTCGTTGCGACCAGAATCTCGTCGCTGACAAGCTTTCTTCCAAAGACAAGCAAAGACAAGTTTTAAAAAATCGTATTAGAATCATCGTAGTTGATGTGATTGACGCGAAGCACCATAGGGAATTTAAAAAAGAAAAAAAAAGAATAATGTGATTGAGAGGTTAGGCATCGTTTCGAATTCTGTTTACGAGCACTCTGCTCCGTCCCGCCGCGATTCTGTATCCTTGTTGCTCCTGATCGGCTGCCTGTCAGCGAGAACGTGAAATATCGTCCTGCCCAACTGGCATCCAATAATTAGTTTACTCCTCATTACGGTTGGTCCGCATTATTAGGAGGGCCACGGGTTCCCTCCGAGAGGAAGAGCAACGGAGACGGGCACAGTCGAACGGTATAAGGAACGAGGGGAATGGAGAGAGCTCTAATTAACTGAATGTTTAGGGGTTGCTCGACCGGTCGACTCGCGGCCACGCCCGATCGCTTAACCAATTCCGTTCTTACCTGCTTTGTGCACCTTTAAAGATACTTTGTACCAATCTACGTTCGCGTTCGAGCAATGAATTTTCCTTTCTAATTCTTCCTACGTTCAATTTATAAGGAAATTTATTTTTCTTCCGCTCGATCGAATGGTTGGCTAGAGAAAAAGATTGAGAAAGGGGAGAGATCGAAGAGAAAAGAAACGGAGCGAGTAGAGTGAAAGAAGGAAGAGGGTGCTCGCGCGCAAACTTATCTTCGATCTCTGATCTGGGCGAGCGGTTCTGATTGAAGGCCCTCCGAGGGGAGAAGAGAGAGAAGGAAGGTACACGCGTACCAGAGAAAGAGAAGGAGAACGATCCGTAGGAGGTATGATGCGCGGGAGCCATCTCTGTTAATCATCGCGTAATTACCGCTTCAATTATCAGATACCGAGATACCGAGCAGGCTGGATCACGCAGGACCCAAAGAATCTGTTAGCCCCACCTCGCCCGGTTTACACTCGAGCTGCTCATCATTCCGAACGAGCCAACCACGGTTTCGTCGATCTCGATCGTTCCGACCAGTTTGGTAAAATCGTCGCGAGAAAGCGTCGATTACGACTCGATATCAATCGTGAAAGGAATTTTACTCGAGAGTGTTCGTTTATTTTTCCTTTTCGATGGCAATCGCAATGAATTTCTTCTTTCGAAATTCGTTTTCAAGACAAAACGCGGACTACGCGTTTTAGGGTTGAACGGAAGGGCGGGACAATACTTGTCCAGCCGGCTGGTAGGTTGAACAGGGCGTTACCTGGCATTCCTTGGTAAATTAACTTAGCGGGCGGCTGCGGCGCGTCTCCCGCCAAATATTCATTTAAAAAGGTAAATGCAATTTTGCCGTTTTACGTGATTGAGATAATGCCCGTCGATTAACGGGCCATCTTTTCTCCTCTCCCTTCGTGCCGATCTTTCTCCCCTCTATCCCTTTCTGTCTCCCGGTTTCTCGGCGTTCCCCTACGGTGGCAAACGCGTCATTATCAAAATTCAACCGACCGTCCCACGAACCATCATCGTCGAGTAAAAGCATCGCTTCAATTTTCTGCAGGTGTACACCGCCTCGAATCACGTGCTTACCTTACGCTCTTCTGATTCGTCTTAATTCATGGCTCGTAAAAGTGGGTAATACATTGTAAGCTTGTTGAAAATTCTCCAAAAGGATAACCGTATATGTGCTGTTAACTTCTTCCTCGAGTGACCTTGTAATCTTGATCTTGTACGAAGAAACGAGCAAAGAATCGGAACGTAGCAAGGTCGCCGGTTGTTGTTGATCGTCGATCGTTTCGGTGGCTCGACGAGAAGTCGAGATTCCAGAGGGAAAGCTATCCGACGAGTAATTCGCGTAGGTCGTACATCATCCTCGGTGAACGGTTGTCCGCCTATTCGGTCGCTTCGTTTCGGCTTAAATCAAATTTACTAATTAACACCATTTACCAGGATCTATAGCGAAGGCGAGTCGCGGCTGTCCAGCGTCCGTGACTCTCTTTCCAAAGCTTCTTTTTGTTTCCTCTTCAACGTCGGTACGCGTTATTGATGATGCTCGTTAAAGAGCTCTCACGTGCCGGTGGGGCAGTTCTTCTTAGTCCCGATCCCTCACCTTCCCCTCTCTCCTCTCTCCACAATCCTCAGCTGTAACCATTACAGCCAGGGAGACTCGAAGTCAGATTCGAAGTCACGAGGACTCCTGTGTGTATGGCCGTGATCCATCCTCGTGCCACTCTGGGTAGCTGCCGCGAGACATTACTCATCGACAATCAAGATGAATTCACTCTTAAACAATGACGCTTAATTTCAAGAAGCCACCGACGAACAATCACCCGAATTCTCCGGCTGACCTGCCGAACGATGAGTTACATGATTGAACGTACAGCTGAAAACAGTTTGGGAAGAAAAAAAATTGAATTCAAGATAGATAAACGCGATATTTTCAGAAGAAGAGTTCTCCCGGTAGAAAACTCTCGTCATCAGGCTGAAATTCGTGGAAAACTATAACCAATAAGCAAGAAGGAAAAATCTGTCGAATCATCCGCTGGTTACACAGCTGCATTCCTAGCAAGTGGAGAAATCGAGTGTGTCCGGTGGACACGTTCGCCTCTCTCACGTTATTACCCCGTCCATACGTACAGTACGTATACCGCATCGAGGGTAGATTTATGGTGCGTCGCATTATCACGTAAGGTAACGCGACACCGCAATTCCACTTGGCGGCAGTGACGGGCAAACGCGCAAATTACCATCGCGATTGCGGCTAACTCGGCCCTTTACGCTAATAACGACTACACCACGCGGCGAATTGCAAACAAGGACGTGGTACGCGATTTCTGTTCAGCTAGCAATCTTTCCCACCGAGGGCGTAAACCACAACCTGCTGCTGTACCTCTCGCTGGGTCTCGTCTTTGAATATTTATCTGTTTGCTCGCTCGTTCTTGCTACCGAATTTTCTACAGGTAGCTTAGAAAAATCAGCATCGTTTTGAGAAGCACATAGCTGCAGAGTAGTTTTCTCCCTAGGACGCATCAACGAAACGTGTATTTTCTCATAGAGAATACGTAAACCACAAGCAATATCGTGACCACAAGTTTGCATACGATCCGGCTGTTGTTACTTCCTCGCTGAACGGCTAATAACAACAACCGTGCGCCATTGTATACGTGTATCGGGACTCGGTAGTTTCAGTCGTTTATGAAGGAAAGGAGTCATTGCGGATAATCGTGGGCGTTCATTACTTACCGGGCCGCAACTTTAATCGTGTAGACACACCGTGGGGTTACGTATCCACCGATCCAATGCAAATGCCACGAAACTCTCGGCCCGGAATTATATCGTTACTTCTCGCTGCCAGCGTGTTCGTGGTCGCGTGCTTTTTTTTTTTTTTTCTCAAATAAGGAAATAAATTAAGAGGTAATGGGCTTAATAAGGCTCCGGTTGGATAGCATTCCGCGACCGTGCCAGTAACTAATGGCAACGTTGGCGCGTTTTATGCCATGCTTCGAAGATTCTGCCTGTAAACCTCCGAAAACTTTGAGCCCCGTCTTCTTTTTTTTTCCCTCTTCTCCTTGCCCGATTTTCAAACTTGGTGCGTCTTTGTTTCTCGAGATTTTAATTCAACTTTCGTCGAGATCGTTCGGTTTCATCGAGATACACGCGTTTGAAAGTTTTTCAGGATTTTTATGAACGCTCATTTTATATTCTGGTAGTTGGCGAACGTGGACAGCCCGTTTAGTATTTCTGTATTTATGGACGGGAAACTAAAATATCGGACGTATCGAAAAAGGCAGGAGACGAAAGAGAGGAGGAAGAGTAGCCGGGGCGAAATACCAGGTGGATCCGTTGCAGAAGACTGATACCGAATACCTGGGATACAGGAGGCCGTGCAGCGGTGTAAATGCAATCAAGAAGGCCTCAATTAGACCGTCACGCCGTACATCCCTCATCTCCGAGTCTCGCCGTTCCTCCCTCTTCACCCACCGTCGATTTCGTCGACGTCCTCGTCGTTGTCTTCTTCATTTTTCTCATCCCTCCTTCTCCCGTAGATCTTCTGTCCTCCTCTCTTCTAAACCCTCCGAGGAGGTACAATCGTTCGAAAGAAGTTTCGATCGATCCGGCAGGAAATTCCAAAAGAAATATCAATAGAAAGATTATTTATCACTGGTATATTTTAATATCGATCGAAGGTTTAATTTCTCGATTTAAATCTTTCGACACTTAACCGCTAATCTAATTAGAAAATTGAAGAGACGTAATCGTCGGACGATACGGTTATCATCGATTAGTTTAAAATTTCGCGCTGATCTCCGCTGGAAGATGGACGATTTTGTCGTAAACTGTTCGGTTTCCCTATCGTTAGACCCTATTAAAGAAAGTATAAGAGTCCGCGAGGGAGGTCTGCATCGAAGAAGTTTCGAGCGAGCTTGCAGAGAGGCTGAGATTAAGGGGCTGTTTAATCTGCATCCATCGCGATGATAGGTAACGGTGGAGAATCATCGTGGGGGCCTCCACGTTAACCGAGTTAGTTACAGGAAACCCTGCAATTAGGGATTGTTAACTGGATAAAACTTTACGCGTGCTGCGCGTGAGAGGACGCGGTAAAAAAGGAGGATGATTTAAAAGGAGATGAATATAGCGGCTCCCGAGGATTTCTTATTCGACGAACTTGTCCGATAGAAAAATCTGAAACAATTACACCGGTGTCTTCTTTTTCGAAAATTTCCTGTTCCTTTTGCACGACGGTGGTCCTAAAATCCTTCAACAGGTGCAATTTACTTGATTATTTTATTGTTTAGTATCGGCCATTAATTTCCGTGGTGTGTCCATTAGACAAAAACAAATGAAAATTTAATGACCGACACACCGGTCCAGAAAATTATACACACTCTACCGGAGTGAGACTGGATTCATTGACCAATTTCAGTATCTACCGTGCAGGATAAATGGAGCGCGAAATATTAATGTCGGCTTGCAAATTTGTGTCGAACAAATCACTGTTTCGAGAGCAGCATTCTTCACGGAACTCTTCCAGCGGATCTTTTTTTTTTTTTCACCCCGTAGATGGTAGCCGGTTTGGAAGCCGGTTGCTACCGATCGCTAAATTCGTTCCGATGTAGACAGTTATTAGGTGGCTAGAGCCGGTGTAAAACGTCGTCGTAATGATCGGTTACTAACTAACTCGCTTTCTCCGCTATCCAACCGATCGATGTATTATATAAACATCTACGTATGCACACGTAGAACGGTGCACTTAGCCGAAGGTACCCGCAGGCACCGGGCCGATACTGTTTACACCGTAGTAATTTGCTAATGGCCAAGCGGACACGATGAATTCGGGATCGACTGGCTGCGTGGTCTGCATCTAGATCGTGCCAGATCCACAGATCGACGCGTTCATCACCACCCAGACACGCCTATATTCTTCCTCCTCCTCCTCTCCCTCTCTCCTGCTTTCAACCACTCTCTGGTGAAAATTTTCATCGATTACCGTCGATTTTCCAATTATCGCTTTAGCAAATGCCTACGGTGAAATCTTTCTGTCTAACGCCTTCGACAGATTGCTTTAATCTTCGTCCTTTCAGCGCTACAGAACGGTAACAGGGTTTAAAAGAAAGTAATTAAGGAACTTTTTGTTAAATTATAATTAGAAAGTCGCAAAGTTCATCGCTTCTTGCTCTACAGTTAAAAAAAGAAAAAGTGAAAGAATAGAGGAGAATGTTAGTTCTATGGAAAAGTAGTAAGAAGAGGAGGAAACGATGGTTATAGCTTGCAAGTAGATATCGCAGCAGGTAATATTTTCAGGAAATTAGATCGTAACGAGTCGATCGAACGTTACGGTGTGCAGAGAAGGTGTGATTAAAGCGCGTCCATTACGCGTTTAGTTCCAATCGAGTTCGCGATATTACTTAACCCTTTGCGGTGGTGGTGGCGTGTAAGAAGGAACGGTCGCGGTTCGTGAACACTTTAAGACCGCGTCAGTTTTGATCGGCGGATCGTTTTGTCGGTAATCGTTCGATTTATCAACCTCGAGGATCGTTAACACTCCGATGGGGTTGCAGCAAGCGAGTAAGCGAGCCAACCAGGCGTTCAAGACGCCGCTAATTAGCTGACGCGCATTAATGGCCCCGAGACTCCATTAAACTGTAAAATATTTAAATAACTCGTCGACGGGCGTGCCCGACCGCGAATTACTTGTCATAAGTCAAGTCGAGCAAAGACTTGAAACCTCTTGAAAACTCCGCACCACCAGTGTATAATATATGTGCCAGTTAATGGCACACCTTTTTTTTTATTTTTATTTTTTTTTTCCTTCGATTCTTCTTCTTTTCAGGAAGTTGACGAGCCTGTAAATTAATATTTCTACCGTGTATCTCTCGTAATAATCGAAGATAGAAAGGGTTCGTATGATAATGAAAAAGGCCGTTCGTTTTCTTGTTCTCTTTTTTTCGCCCTCTCTCTTTCACTTTCTTGTCATAGTGATTTATTCGTCGCAAAAAAAAAAAAAAATAAAGGGAAAAGGGGATGGAATGAGCGTATAAGTACAATAATGAACGTCGATGGTCGACGAAGTTGCGTTTGCTCCGCTTTTGTTTTCTTCTTTTTTCGAGATCCTTAATTAAAAGTTACAACTTCAACACCTCGACTGTCACTCTTGCGTTATGAGAAACGATGTATCAATAATCTTCGTTAAGTACTGGAAAGAAACGAGTGTCGTTAGAATGATAGATTAGATTTTGATCAGAAATAAAAGTTCCCTAAGGATTGTTGATGAATGACAGTCAAAGCGTTCATTTGCCTCTTACGCTAATCTTCTCGAGATCATAACGTATGCTTCCTTGTAATTGCTGTTGGCGCGATTTCGTGGGAGAAAATTTTCGAAAAACAAAAGGAGAAAAGAAAAATTGCGCCAACGTGTCATGCGGTATGCAACTGACGTAAATGAAACAAATGCAAGACGTTACGCATACGTGGTTAATTATTTACAGGGGTAGCAACTTACGAGCTAAGAACGTGCTTATTACAGTCGTAAAACTTATCGTAATGTCGAACATTCAAGAATTATAATAATTATAAATAGTACTTTCTGTTTTCCTTATCTAAAACGCCTATGATGGCTCGTGTAAAAGTAAAACAAATTACGCGTTGTTTTCGAACGATTATCGAACGGTCTTGACCGCGATGTAAAAAATCCTTTTTTAATTTTATAAAAAACAAATCCTTTTAATTTATCCACACCGAATAACATCGATCGTCGTCGGATAACAATTACTTATGGTCGCGATGCCAAGATTCTCTTCTGGACGGACATCTTTCGATGATGTTTACCTAAAAAATTACTTTAAAATTCGCTATAAACAAATCTTGGTTCCTGAACGCTATCTCGCGAATTATCTCTGAAATCTCGTGAAAATTCAGGAAACGCGTTTCTCACGAATCATAAATTCAGCAAATTCTACGTTTGTAGGAAACGTTTAACGAATCTTCACGTGCACAGTGACTCACATGTTTGGTTCGCATTCTTGTAAATAATTAAAATTCCGCGTCAACAAAGAAGCATCATATTTACTACAACGTTTGTGTAATCACCAATGAAACATAATTATTCTGTACAGGTAAATATCGTTATCGTTCGAACAAATATATGAGTCACTGTAAATTTGAAAAGCATTCCCGCGAATCGTAATCCACCGTGGAGTTCCATCGGTACTGTAAATTATATACAGTATTTTACACGAAAAATAAGCTTCTTATTCTATCTGTTATTTGTCGTTCGAGCGCATGGTCGACGTCGTGTGTATGAGAATAAAGAGGAAGGTTGAAGAAACTCGTTTGTACATGAACAGGTATACGGTTAGGTTCATTTCTAAAACGAACGACGTCGTAAAAGTTGATCCGTTGGCTCGCGATCCACGCTAAAGAGCAATGACAATACCAACGACCATCAGGAAACTCGAACGAACGAAAGTTCTCCGAACGATCGTCCGAATTGTCAACGCAGACGCGAGACGACGAATCCGCCTAGCTCGTTCGTAGGAATCATTTCCGTTGCCTGGATTTTTGTCGAAGGTTATCGGATTGCATGAGAGATAGCGAATCGACGAGACGATGGAAGGTATCTCGAAGTTACGTTCGGTCAACGATTATCGTCTCGAGTATTTAGAGATCGGCCATTATGCAATTCGAAACGATCGACGTTTCTTAAGATTACGATTGAGTAACAAAGGCACGTGCGATCACAGAAACAAGAATACCTATCGTTTCAACCTTCCTTCGCGGTGTACACCTAATTAATGTATACAATATGTCCGCCCACTTGGTAGTAAGTTCTTTGGCTGGTATCTTGCACGATACACGCGAAAGCGCGGACAGGAGAGGTGGCCGGTGTGGGTCTGATCGCGTTCCAAGGAAATGGCGGCAAGAGATGGCGATCGAGGTGAAGAGGTAGACACACACGTAGGGTAGAATCGTAAACAACGATCGGGAGGTTCTAGTTAGGAGGTAATACCCCGATGTCGACGTCGACGTCGACGTCGATGCGTGGGCGCGTTGATATCGATAGCCAGGTCGAGAAACGTAGAATCGACGTCGAGGTACGGTCACGTCGGTTTTGTTAAAATCGTAAGCAGCGATCGCGAGGATCTACGTGGGAGGAAATATTTAAGTATTTGTACGCGCGAACCTCTTCAGCTGATCAGATCGCCGTTCTTGCGAAGCATCTCGAGGTGCAGCTCGTATTCCCTGGCCTTGAGTCGGAGGGAAGCGATGCTGTTGGTCCGCCTGTCGATGTCCGGCAGGCCGACGCTGCCGGTTGGCGAACCTTGCGGCGAACTGGCCGTCGGCGGAGGCGGAGGCGGTGGAACCGGTGGATGCGGCAGATTGATCGCAGGCGCTGGCGGTGGCGGGGGCGGAGGTGGCGGCGAGCCACGCACCAATTTTGGCCTCTGCGCGGCTGATATGTTCGCCAAGAGGCTCTGGAAGGATGCGGCCGACGTGTAAGGCAGAGGCATTCCAGGTGGCAACAAAGGTGGCGGTGCCCGATGATAGGGATGAGCGGTGTAACTACCGGGAAGGACCGGTCCGTGACCCAGAGGTGGGTAACGAAACGCGTCGAACGGTTTCCGTAGGGCGAACGTGCCCAGGTGGGCAAAAGGGTTCGGCAAGGTCGGCGCTACGACCGCCGACGGTGGTGGTGCACCTGAGCCCAAGTATGGATTGTACGGATGCGCCTGCGGCCCGACCTTCTCTTGTTTCCGCCACTTGGCCCGTCGATTCTGAAACCAGACCTGTAACCAAACATTTTTACACTTTTTATTCTCTCCATTTCTTCCTGGATTTCTATATTTACGCGCGCCCTTTCAATCGGAACTTTCTGTGAGAGAAAGGGGGTGGTTTTCTGTTTGAAAGTAGAAGCACGAAACGATGATTTTTCTCGCGAAAGGCGAGAATACTATTTTCAGAATACGGTTCGAGGAAGAAAAAACTTGAGCAGCGATTCAGGAATCGATTTCGAGTCCGTTTTCAGGAACCTATCCGTTCGATTCCGGGGTCGGAAGGTAAATAGTATTTCGTTCGTTGGAAGTTGTTGGCCAACCGTGGAAGTGCGAATTCCGGTTAAAGTGACGTATCCTCCCTTTTTCAGGAAACAAACGTGGTGTATTATTATTGGTTACGTTGAAAGGTAACCAAAGATCACTGCCAGCCAGAGGCAGTTCTGTTCTCCCTTTCTTTCTCCTTCATTTTTCTTCGTCCGCCTACCTGTGAACCTTTGCGTTTCTTCTCGAAAATTTATGAAATATTAGCCATCGTAAAATCGTTAGCCGCTATTCTCTCTTGGCCTACATTTCCCTTTCGAACGAAATTGTAAGCTTCGATGAGATTCCAAAGTAGCTTCTGTAACAGGATGGATACAGGCTCGAGGAAGATTGACCTATATTTTACCGTAAGTGCTTCGAAGAATATCACGGGATTGTTTGTAGAAAGGGTTTCGTTTTAAAGAAAAAAGAAAGGCCGATGTTGCAACGAAAGGCTTCGAGTATCATCGTTCAGACAATTGGTAATCGAAACGAAAGTCGTTCGTGATGCGTCGATCATTCGAGCACATTCCATCGCGGAGCTTCCTCGAAGACTCCAGCTCTAATCAGTTCAACGGAACTTCTCCTCCCTCTTCTACTTCCTTTTTCCCTTCGTTTCTTTAACCGAGTTTTATTCCACGATCTTGCCGTCGCGGTTGTTAAGTCGATTTCGTGTCGTGATACGAATATGAAACCGCCCTAGTCCAAGATTACCTAGTCCAAGCGTTTACCTAGTCGAAAGTCTTCTGGATGGTTCCTCTCGAACGAATTCTTCTTCGCGTATCTCCTCGTGACAGGAAGCGACTAGAACGACTCGATTCGTTCGACAACCGCAAAATTGGACACGCGTTTGATAAAACTTTTTGATAAGCAATTTATTCGCCGGATGTTTGTTTGTCTGTCGTGTGTTACCCTTAACTCGTGCAGCCCAACGTTGGGTCACGGGTATTCAGTAAAGCGTGTTCGCGACTACCCTCTTTGAAGCCCATGAGTGGAATTTGACCAACCCTGCGCCACTAGGGATGTGGATTTATTTTTAGCGCAATTTGCACCCTTTAACACCGCCGGTATAAGCAAAAGCTTGGGAACGACAGATCGGGTTATCAACCCACCAAGGCTCACTTGCGACAATAACAATAGCCTACCCTCTTTGAAAGAGCGCAAGGCTAACCCATTCAGGTTACCTTTTTCGGCCCAGTATCAACGAGTCAAGTGTTGGGTCTTCCGTACCCGAAAACGATGATTGGCAAGCCCATGAATGGGCAGTTTATCCAAGCCCGGCGCCACTTGGAGGGTGGTGGCTGCTGGGGAGTGGATTTATTTCCAGCGCAATTTGCGCCCTTTAACACCGCCGGAATAAGCAAAAGCTTGGGAACTTTTCGACAATACCCTCTTTGAGAATGTTATGCCGTGTATTTCAAGACTCTCGATTACCCTGTTAATTGGACTTTCGTTCCGCGTTACGGGATTCTTGAGTTAGTGGGTAGGAAGTCAAAAGTACCGCCCGGAGATGTAGACACTCCCGACATAATCGAGGATGATGCAGCCCGGTCGTTGCATAGACGAAGGAAGAGGCAAGATTTCGAGATGACTGTGCGGTTCGATGATCGATTCGATCGACTATCCAACAGGAGGAAGGCATTTCGTGACTCGTGAGATCATCGATACGTATACATGCCTGATGAAATCGGTTTCCTTTTGATCGCTTTTCGAATATCTAAGATTTAACCGATAGGTTGATGCACGCAAGTGTAAAGTGATAAAGAAGTTTTCGGTTTGTTTTAACATGGAGAATCTCCATCGGGATACCTTGTATAATTTGTAATATAACCGAGCGTCAAAGCTCCTGTTGCAATTCCGAAATCCCGACGTATGGGAGAGGCGAGAGGATCGAAGGATCGGTCAGACCCACTGCGGAATATGCAAACTCGTTGCTACGCGTACGAGAAGTTAAAGGTGACGGGGTGTGGGGGGTCGGATGGCAGGACCCCCCACGGTGAGCAGGATTGCCCCCAGCAGGGAGCTAAACATCCGACTTGCGGCTTTTAAAACAAAACCCAAACCACGATCCGCCGCCGGAACCTAGTCGTTTCGTGCTTAATCGTGCTGCATTAATTACGCAAACGCCGGGTATCTCTCTTTCTCCGTTTTTCTACATTTCATCAGCACTCACACCGAACGAATCCCTCCCTGTTCAACGATTATATTTCACGATAGGATAGAAATTAATTCGATTTGGTACGTGGATCAAAGTTGTTAGACGAAGTAGTGGCCGTAATCGTGCGTCAAACGATCTCGTATGATTTCTCTGATAATTCGCGTATCTTCTCGAATGCAGGATGATTGAATTGTCACGAAATGGATTTGCGTCTCGTTGAGAAAAGGAACATTTTCTATAAGATTGCGTGAACCTGCGTGTGTTCGTGCGGATTCCAAAAAATGATTAAGTCGGTTGAACGATCGTACCCGTGTCATTCGTTTAAACAGTAATTCTCGTCGCGTGTACGCTCGTATATAACAGCTTTAACGTTCGGATAAATCGTCGATTCGCGATGGATTTGCAAGTATAATGAAAAGTGGCGAGCGAGGTCCTTCGTGGCAAAGAGAAAAAGAGACGGAGACACGCGTAGGATAGAGGCGTTTTACCAACGAGAAAAGAGGAGGTGGCGAAGTAAGAGGCGAACGAGTGGCCAAAGGGAAGGGAAAAAGCGAGTAAATACCGGGAATAAATTAAACTAATTGAGCGAATTAGCCAGCTGTTCGTGCAGCCAACTCTCGACGGACGCGTTTCGTTTCCCGAATAGTCTTTCCTCTTAAGGAGGAGGGATAGTTTAACTCTTTTCGTTAAAACGAATCGTTCTCTTATCGCTTCCCGTAAACAGCCATTAGAATATGTAATTTTCTTTTCTGTATACAATAATAATTTCGATATTGTTCGATTGTGCTAACCTGTATACGTGCTTCCGTAAGACCGATCTTCATGGCAAGTTCCTCTCTGTAAAGAAAAAAGATTCAGACGATTAGGTATACTCAGAAGTCGAAGTACATGATTATCTTATTTTACCATCATTATATCATTGCGAGTATAGGACAAAAATAATTACATATTATTTATTCCTTCAACTTTTCTATTTAAAACACCAGCTCCAATTTGATTCCGAAGGCAACTATTTTAACTGAGCAATAATATTACTGTCTTATTTAGTTAGTCTGACGAGAACGATTAGATTTGCGATGAAAAAAAAAGGTACGGGAACAAGTTGAGTGTGAACGTAAGCGTTAAGAAATCAAGAATTCCAAGCGACAGAAATAATTGCACGTTCATTAACTTAATTAGAACGTTGGTGAGATGTCAATTAATTGCATTACGTCTTTCGACGTAATCGACTTATCAGTATCATTGCTATGCATGAATATTGACGTGACACAGGTGTGCAACAGCGCCGTAACATTTCCATAATTATTCAATTGCTATACGAGCAGATAGTATCTCGTTCCTTCGTGTTTATTAAAAAGTATACAGGTTAAAACCATGTTTCGCCGAGATATTCGAAATATCGTAGATAATTAATATTAAATTTAACGTCAGCACGAAATTATAAGTTATTCTATTCGAATAACGTCCCGAAGGAAGGAGGAACGAATTCCGGAAGCGTTACGTTTCTCGATTTCTGACGTTTTTGCGGCTCGAAAGAAGGATTGACCGATTATTACACATCGACGTTCGAGGTAAAAAGGGATCTCGTCGCTTGGTAAATGGCCCACGGGCTTTCTGATCTCACACGCAAATTACCCAGATGTTCCTCGAAATCGCAAGAAAATCTTGGTGATTACATCGCGCGAGCACAGAAGCTGTTATGCTACTTGTTTCTGCTTCCTCCAATCATCATCGCTTCAATCATCTCGCGTTTAGCTGCGATTCAGAGACTACAGAGTTACAGCGACTGCTTATCTGAAATTACAGAGATTTTTTCCGATTGCATTCGCTTTCGTATCACTTTTGTTTCGACGGTAATGCAAGCGTTGAACCCTTTACGTTTATTAGTCACTTCTCGACTTTGATTTTACTACAGTAGACTCCCCTAAATATTGTTTTCATATAACGCGATTCCTTGTACGACGAGAAAATAATGCTCAGGTGTTTCCTTATGAATTATGAGATCGTTACTTTTTAAATATTTCCAAGACGAGAATGTTTATTGATAATGCAGCTAAATATTCTCAATATTTTCAATACTTAACAGGAGATCTGGTAATATTGTAGATTTGTAAAAAGTGGCTTCTAATGAATCGGTAAATCACAATCTTTTGTTCGATTTCAAATATCCATCGATACACACGAACATATCGTTGAGGTAATTGTGTTCTGATTGATCGAATTTAAGAAACTTTAAGAGGCAATTGTGATTTTGAAAATACAGCTTTTTGCAGGGAATGCAGTCGTTCACTCCGCTTCCGCAAATTACTGAACACCCTGATTTATTGAAAGATTTTCTTTAGAAATATTTAGAAACTTTTCTTTTTCTTTTTTTTCCTTTATATTTTATATTAATTGCAAGAATAATAATTGAATTAAATCGTGCTTTATATATGTCACTTATTTTTTAAAAAACTATTCTGTTTGCTAAAAGTTGGCACAGCAATAATCATTCCAAACATGTTACTTTAGATGTTATTCGCGTTGTACGAAAAAAATGACGTTATACGGGAGTCTACTGTATGTAATTTGCATAAAACAAATTTTCATCGAAATCTAAAGAACGTAATCGCGAAGGAAATAATTCATAAAAGTCGTCGAAGATCGGAGATGAAATCGTCGCGTCGTCTCGACGGGATGTCGAGGAATGCTCGAGATCGGAGCGAGCACCTTGGCCTGGCCGAGTAATAATAATTTAGCCTTTCCCTTTTTCTTCGCCACACTCACGAGCGTCCTTCTGGATTTAATAAGATCACGAAATTTCGCGGTTAGACGGCCGTCCCTAATTACACCCGCCGTTCACTGCCGCGACTTGCTTACCCTCGATTCCCGTATCGTTATTATTACCTCTACCTCCTATTCCCCCCTTGTTCGATGTGTCCTTGCCATGGGAAATGTGCTAGTTGCGTACATTCTGTCTATGCACCTAGCTAGATTAGTTTCTACTATTTCATTTGACGAACATGCGAGCCACCGCGATGAATCTTGTGCAATTTCTTTCATCCTCGCTACGATTTATTGCCGCGTCATTTTTTTCACCGACTCGTCCATCATTGAGCCCAACGAGCTCGCGAGTGACGTCAGGGACATTTGTATCGTAAAAACGTTTGCTTCTTCCCGTGAGAAGATCAGAATATAAAGAGGAGTTCTCCAAGAATGTATTCTTCTTGAAGAATGCTTTATCATTTTGCAAATTAGGCATTCGATTTTCTTTTATCCTAGAGAATATCTATTTTTCTACGGTGTACATCTTTTCTGAGAAAGCCTGTATCAGAAGAGGTAACAGTATTTTACTGACATACTTCAACTGCAGGTTATAAATAGATATGACAGTATATATACAGGTTATTAGTGGATATAGTATTACTCGTTGCAAACGTGTTATTTATTAAATGAAGTTATTCGAAAACGGACAGTGCAACTCGAAAGGGATTTGAATTTAGATGAAGGAATAAGTCGAAATTGTTCGGAGATAAAGTTGTTCCACGGGTCTCGGTTATTCGCTTTCAAGGAAACTGTCTTTAAAGATTTATCTGGATACCATGTGATTTTCTTCTCGACTCTTGTCCTGTTACTTCCTATTGCTTCTACTCGTCAGAGATCGAATCCGCCGATCGTTTTAAAACATCGATTCCATCGTGACGCTTACGCGTCGTTCCTCCTCGTTAATGCCAAGGATCGTGCTTTTCTTGTACAGGTTTTTTTATTTTTCTTTTTTTTTTTCTTTATCAGCTTGCTTGCCAGTACTCGTTACTGGATTTCTTGTTTCGCCTCATTAAGGTTTCATGTTGTTTTTTCTAACGCGTATAACGAATCAATGTTACGAAAAGAAATAAAGTATTAGAAGTAACGATTGCTCGACACGAGGAATATGTATAATCCATATTTTCTCGTTCAATTAAACCGCGCGTACGTAGAACGGTGATCTGTTCGATTGTTTGCGTAAATCCTCTCCGATCGAACGGAGAACAGAATAATAGCGTGTGCGATCAAGGTAAATCGAGAAACAAAGAAGGATAGACAGGGATTATTGTGTGTATACGGTACAATACAGTGTTATGTGACGGTGTAGTAGGAAAGAGAGGCTTGGCGCGCGAGTAATTCGAGTAATTGCCGGACAATTACATTATCTAATTAACCTCGGAGGTCGAACCGAGCCAGTCACCGCGCACCGGCGAGTTCGTGATTGTCCCTTGTGGCGCAACGTTAATTATTATTGTTTACCAAGCTCGGAATCGTCGTCGTGCCGGCTCGAGCAGCTCCTCCGATTCGTGGAAATTTCGAATTGAATTGAATCGATGGAAAATCAACGTTAGGTGGGTCGATTCGAAAGGTTTTTCATTGAATCGCGAAGCGTATCCTTTCGTTTGGTTCGCGACGACGACGCGACGTGCCAGATCCGGGCGAGAGAAGTAAGACGATAGAAAAGCTGGTAGCTACGAGGTAATATCCGTGCATAATGCGTTGCAATCCATCTTGGCACTAACGATCGGGTTGGTCAACGGAACAACCCTTGGAATTTGCCATTAATCTCGGTATAAATCATACGTCTCGCGACTGTGTGTTGGCTAGAACGCGTTGCGTTCGAAACGGCAATTACCGCTGGAATGACACGGCATTACGAACCATTTCGACGATATCGTCGAGAGATGATGCTTTCCCTAGAAGAGACCCCGAGCGGAAATTAATTTGCCGGTGATCGTGATAGCGGAAACCATGAGATCTTAGGAAAATCGAAACGTGTCGTGTGAACTAGAAGTTAAGGGAAAATAATCAAGATTTATTATGTATTCGTAATTAATTATTTCGCTCGAAGGATATTGTGTTTATTCGAACAGGACTGTGTCTAGTCAGAATTAGTAGCCGATGGCTATAGCCTATGTTAGCAGCGAAAGGGTTAATCGGTTGGATGTTGATGGAATGAGAGAGAAGAGAGCAAAGTCGGTAGCTGATCGTGTAATGTGTGCGAAATGCGTGTTTAACACGCGTACTCCGTGAAGAGGCGATTACCGATTCGCTATACTGTCGTCGATCGAATCTTTATCGTTCCCTCTTCTTCTACTCTCCTTTTCGCTGAACCTTTCGCACGTTCGAGGTACACACCACCGGCCAAATACACCGATTTTGATTTAACACGGTCCAGGAAAAAGTTTCATTCTCTTTTTGCACGATTTGTTTTGATCTAAACAGGAATCGGTTTATCTATGGAGTATATTTTTCTCGAGTGTTGTATGAAAAAATCAAGGTCCAATTTCTGTGATTGTTAATAAGAGAAAAAGAAAAAAAATGAAATTGCATCCGATTGGGGAATCACGGAGGATACGGGCGTGTAACGAGATTAACGAGAAGAGAAAGAGCGAAAATTAGGGGACGTCCGGATGCGCGCTGTGATTTTCGAGAGCGCTAATCTCATTTGCTAAGAGGCGAGTATAACGGATCGAAGAAAGCCTGGCGGCGTTTCTAATCGAGAGCATGACTCGTCGTCGGTCGATTAATGACAGGAGAAGTTACAAGACCGGGATAGAGAGGATAGAATCAGGTAAGGACGGGGGAGATGCCGTTTCGACGATGCGAAGAAGGACAGGATCGAGAGAGCAGCGAGTAGAAGAGGTCCGTGGAACTGGTTCCGTTCCACGGATCACTGGAAACAATCATCCTTATTAAACTCACCACCGACCCACCCCACGGATATAAAGGTATTCTTCGGAATGATTTACCGGGAACCGTGTTCTGCCCTTTCAAACAGGTGGATCTTTCGAAGTGGTTACCTCTCGAACGAGCGATAAATTTTATACGTAAAACCTGCGTAGCATTTCTTTCTCTTTTATCGTCTCCCTTGGTTAGAATCTATCCATCGGCATGTAAAAACAAAAGGGGAACGCGAGAGGAGGAATAAAAAAGAGAAAAATGAAGGGGAAAAAAGATGATAAGTAACAGGGAGGAGTATTCTTGGTGGGTAAGAGTTTGGTCGGATGATTAGTCGAGGCCCGGTAGCTCGAGCCACACGATTTTAATCTAAATTAGATCTTAAGAGCTCGTAAAAGTAAGTGGATACGTTCGAAAGCTTACCAACATCCACGCGTATCTCGATGTTCCATCGTACGAATCTCTTCGGTTCGTTCGATCGAGGAAATTAGATGGTCGACCGATCGCTATTTAACCCTTTCTTTTAGATATAAAGATCCGCGCGAGTAACATTGCTCGTTGAATGAAATCCAAGTTGAAACTGTGACTCGAATTCGCAATTTCGAGTGTCGGTAGGAAATAAATTTCGATAGAACCGATCGTGTGTACGCACTCTTCCGTAAAAGCAGCTAATGAATATGCATCGAGATCGGGCAACGCTTACTTTCTCTCTCTCTCTCTTTTTCTCTCTCGGTCAGCTAGTCAATAAACCTAAGCGACCATAAAATCCAATTAGTGTGAAATTAATACAGCAACACGAGAGAACGAAGCGGCAAGAAAGACGGGGGATCAGGAGAAGGGATTAATTTGTATGAAAACAGCAAGTGGACGGGGAAAGGAAATGATCCGTACTAAGGAAACGGTAGATTACTATGAAATTGCTGGCAAAAGTCAGGCTGCTGTTTGGAAATTGCAAAAATTAAAATAAGAACCTAAGGAACGGATGGAAGTTGGTCAGGTCGAGGCAGCTACGGATTTCAGGTGGATGGGATACCATGGACATTAGGCTTTATCTCGAAACGCGAGTCCGGACTTTGAATTTTTCGATAAGACGGGGACCACTCGTCCGTCTGGCACGACCATAATGAGATAGCCCTTAAAGTTTTTGCTCCAAGTATCCCTATGCTGCCTCTGCCGAATATTTTCTGCTCCCGAAGGATTTTCATTTTCGTTGCATAGTTTACCAAAGAATTGTTAATGAATTTTCATTCTATCAATGGTGCACCATACGGTGTACCTGTTTTTGTCCCCCGTCCACCCCCTCCAAGGTTCGTTAATTACGAGAACCCATACACCGTGGCTGTAGGACCGGACCTATTACGAATGATTACACCGCTATTAGTTACCTACCGCGTGTTCCGTGGCACGAAGGAAGGAACGGGAAAAGAAAGAAATAAAAAATGTCTAGCCTTATAGATTACGCTACACCCTGTTGGCGGCATGTTACTCTCAACTGGATCCGACAGCCGGGAACTTAATAACGCGAAATCATCGTTTTGACGCGGCAAAAAGGGAATTTGCGTACCAACCATCAGACTCTCACAAAAGATTCCCTGTGCGAAAGGGAACAGAAGCTCGGTCACGAAATATTTCGGCCAGATAGAAACTAATAGCCGGCTCGGTTGAGTTTCTGCTGTATCTTGATTCCGTTACACGGGAAGCTTGGAACCTGACAAACGCGACTAGACACCTCCTCTATCGTCTAGACTCACGGGAGGTGCACGAGCTTCCTATCACTCGTAACTCTCGACGAAGAAGGATGATCCTGATAACGCGTCCGACGATCGATGATCGTTCCGTGTTTGAAACTTTAATCACGCTAGTGTTTTCGAACGCGTAAGTACACATATAGATACGTAACGAGAGTAACGAGAATTGCTTAGGACTTACCTGGTGAACACGTCGGGATAATGAGTTCTCGAGAAAGCTTTCTCGAGTTCCTCTAGTTGGAAGCTTGTAAAGGTAGTTCTATATCTCCGTTGCTTCCTTTTCGGGGCAAAGTCGTCGACCTCGGCTTCGCTTTCAGGACTGGTCGGCGCAGCTCTAGGGTGGTTGCTCTCCTCCTCGGCTGCCCTCACCTCTTCCGTAGAGATTCCCATTTGAGTGGATTGAGGTGTCGTCGTTGTAGGTGGCGGCACCGATTGTTGCCGAGCTTGCTGGCTCACCTGTTGTACGCTCACCTGATTCACCTGGCTCGAGCTACTCGTGCTGCTCGCAGGACTCGTCTGCGGGACAGCCTGCTCACCACCACCACCTCCTCCTCCTCCGCCTCCTCCTCGTGTTGAATGATCTGCGACCAGAATGACGATTTTATTTGTAGATCATCTGTCGATTAACTGGGTTAGCAGTAACGTAATTGAAATCGATGTAATGGCACTTTTCGACAGGAAATGAGTGCGGCGCGATTGCATCAAGCTCGTCTAATTACTAGGGAAATTAATGTTACGACCTGTTAGCCTCAGCGCAGACGCGAAAAATAGCATGGCCGTGTAGAAATCAGCGATGAAAATTGCAAACGTCCTGACCCGTTCACTTTACATCAACGACAGCCACTCTGCCTTCATAGAACTAGAATCAGACATTCGCACGCACTGACGTAATATACAGGTCGTGTTAAAAAGGATGCGTGAAAGCTCCTTAACTTAATTCTGAAGGAAAAGGATTTTCCGCTTTCGGATAAGTTTCCGAATGGCACCACCAAAATTGAGAACTCAGGTTCGGTATATAACCTTAATTCACTACCAGAAAGCGATTAAAATTGGTTTCAGAGCTGGATGTCTCACCGTTTTTGAGATATCGTGGTAAGAAATTTTTGTACAATGTTGGGACTACGTATGCGCTGTTCGATACTGCGCATGCGCTATTCGATACTGCGCATGCGCTATTCGATACTGCGCATACACAGAACCTAACCTATCCTAACGTAACCTTACCACGCTATCTCGAAAACGAAAAGACATCCAGCTCTGAAACCAACTTTAATCGGTTTCTTGTAGTCAATTTAGATTATATACTGAACCTGAGTTCTCAATTTTGATGGGGCGATTCGGAAACATAGCCGCGCTTTCTTCTAGCGTTGTACATCTTTCTTGAAATAGCCTGTGCAAATTATTTGAAGCGTGTGACGGGAAACATTGCAGACAGGTCGTGGTAGTGTGGAATAATAAACAAACGTTGAAAGTTCCTATAAAGAATCGTGTACCTGACACATCTATAGATTCTTAGACATACTTATTAGCAAAATTTTTGTTTCATTTATTAATATCTTTTATGAATACTGGTTACGTATCGAGATCGTTCAGTCAGTTTCGATCGTATGCACCAGCGTCCAGGTACAGAGACACGGAACAGGGATACAGAAGAGGACAGAGCTATCATTCCTTTCACCGACCTTGCTGCATTAATGATCCCTACAAGCCCACACTTCGGCACGTTCGATGCTGTGAGTGATCGTGTAACAGCACTCGATTTGCTTGTAACGACCAGAATCATTTTCACGCGCGATCGATACCTCGGCATACCGAACGAACCGATTCTACCTTGTGCTTACAAGTTGCTACTGATAATTTCTCTCCGCAATTTGCAAAGGTATTTTACTCGCGCGGCCCGATCCCTTCCTGACATCTCTAATCGCTTCCCTCCAATTCCTACGGTTTACTAACCCTTTCGGTTCCTTTCAAATTTCTATTACACTTCTATCGAATTTCTCTTGTGATAATTGAAAATCCTCGACGGTTTAATTCTTCGATTAAAAAAGTCCTTCATTGTTTCTCTAAAATTCCATTCAAACGAGAGTTTATAATGAATTTAATCTCGTTACGAACGAATAACTAGAGAGTGGAATGAAAAAAAGGTAGAGGAAAGGGTAGAGCGGTTCGCAGCAGGGTTTATTAGCAGCTGTTTTTAACGGAGAGCCGATTTATCGGAAATGAGTTTATAATGTTGGTAGCCTGGGACGTAATGCGAACGATAAGGGAGATCTAAGCCCGACGGAAAGTTTGTTCTTTCTTTTCATTTTTCTTGCCTTTTGCCGTGGAATACGGTATACGTACGCATAGTATCGTGCACGCAGCTCGGTTCTTCGTGTTACGTAGGTAGCCTTTTACATTATAATAGCATTAATGGGTTCGAAGCCGCACTTAATGCTCGTTCGTTTCGTTGGCCGGTTTCGCTTCGTTATTAACTGAAAATTACCGAAACCGAAATCTAATTTCGCGTAAACACTGTAATTTCACGGCGGGAGGAAGCGACTGTTCGTTCCTGGCCAGTCGAGAAAAGGCTAAGCGTATGGCTGTTCTTTTTCCTCGGGACCGAAACGCGTTTCACCTTTTCGACGACTTTTATTCTGTCGCGATGCCGAGGGTGTGTTTTATTCGCGGGAATAATCTTGCGTGAGAAATAACGCGATGATTGACGGTCGCGTTAATTGACTCGTCGGGTATTGAAAATCTACAACGTTAATTTATTTCATCTTCGAGTATACGTTTCGTGGTGTTACACTGTATCGTGAATACTCGATTAGATGCGTCACGCTCGATTAGATGCCTCGAATGGAACGACTTCCGAGAGAGCGGCTTCAATATCTGCTAGTCATTTCTGTCATATTTGCACAGTACCGTGTCTATGTTATAGTCATTGTGTACATTACCTCTCAAAAGTCATTGGACGCTTGTCGCGATCTCGAGAACTACAGTGACTCAGAAAAGTATTCGGACACTTCAAAACAGAATACCTGATTTAAAATTGGACCAAATGACTTGAGGTTTTTTGAGAAGTTATACAAATTAATTTACTAAGATATGTGCTTTTGTCGTTTTAAAAAATTAAAATTTGTTGAAATTGCTCACATAAAAAAGTTGAAAAATTACCCTTCACTATTTTCTTTCACGATTTCAACAAATTGTAATTTTTTAAAACGACAAAAGCACATACCTTAGTAAATTAATTTGTATAGCTTCTCGAGAAACCTCAAGTCACTTGGTCCAATTTTAAATGAGGTATTCTGTTTTAAAGACTGTTCGAATACTTTTCCGAGCCACTGTACCCGAGTTAAAATAAGAATTTTCACAGCTTCCATTGCTCCACTGTTAAATACTTCATCATCTTTCACATACGATTTCTGTGTTTAACAACTGCCCTTAGACTTTTGAACGATAATGTACGTGCACGCATATTGGTCAAGCACATTACGCGTTTCATGTATTATACGATCGCGATTTATGGGCATACAAATTAGCTCGACGTAATAAACTAATTAGCCGACTCATTGAGGCCGCTTGCATTTCTCGCGGACGTGTTATAATGGCCAAGTCGACGTACAGTGCTGCAAACTACTGTGTATTGGAACGATGATCTTGCGTTACCTAGGTCTCGAGAATTTTCCACGATTTTACATGCCGAGATAAGTAAGTCCCGCGATCGTTTCTCACGCGAATCGATTAACAGAGTTGCTTACGTGGTAGGGTGAAAAGCATTGCGCCAGAGTTTCGACATTTCCAAGTACGATCCTTAATATTTCGGAAGCCCTTTGGTACCCGCAAGTCTTTCCTCGCGATGATAAATTAATTCAAGGCTCGATCGGAGTTTAAGTATTTATAATACAGTGGTACCTCGACTTCTTTTAAATAATTATCTCAGAGGAAAAATTAAATTAATAATCAATTATTATTAGGAAGATCATATAAACAAAACAGGAGGCAATAAAATTTATTCCATTTAGTTTATTAATTTAGAATCTATTAATAGGATACATTTATATTTAACAAATTAATTATGTTCAATAAACTAGGGAATATTTTTTATAAACTTCTAGGAAATCGTTTAAATACTGTTCATGACATAAACAGTGTTTAAATTATGTATTTTACAACCTCATTAATGTAGGTATAATATCAATAGGAGTTTTTTTTACATGGATTACTCATTTTTACATTACTTCTTATGGGAAAGGTCCTATTTTCTTATGGGTAAGTCCAAACATCAGAAACGGATTAAGGTTGTATACCGAAGGTACCACTGTACACGTAAGTTCCTGTCCTCTGCACGTATGATATTACAATGAAGCGTATGGGAAGAGGTGGTTGTTCCGGATGGAGAGATGGGTTGATACTGTAAGAATCGTGGAATCGAGACATCAACGTGAGCCAGGAGTTCGTTACATCGAGGAAGGTGTTTCTGCATCGAATCATACTTGCAAATTCTCGTTAATAGACGCGTCAATGCATCCTGCGACAAGGATCCAGCGACGGATGGACGTGTTCGATTTCTCGGCACGATAATAACAAGCAATTACGAATTATCGGCGATCCTTTGTGGCCGCAAGCTGCTCACGCGATACCTCCGGCTCCTCCTTCGCTTCTTCCTCGACCCTCACTCGTGATATTTACCTTCCGGATGCAGGTTACGCCCGCACACGTGTTTAACTTTTCCCAGCTGAATTAATTAGCCCGTATAAACGTCTCGATAATGACTGAAACAATGAGCCGGCTCGCGTGGAGGGATTTTGAAAGATCGCGTAAGCGAGATGAGAAGCGAGCCGAGGCGAGTAAAAGGATAGAGAGAACCGCTTGCCTGACTCTCTAATACTCGCTTTCGTATTAACTCGGTATTAGTTACGTGCCTTACCTACTGTGGGAATTATCTTCAACCCGATCGTAACACGTGTAATTAAGTCGGCAGGAACGAATCTTTTTCTTATTTCGAACGCGCGCGAACGACAGCTTTCGAATTAGCGGGTCAAACGCGCTTCGAATTCGAGCATCGAAATCTTGTACGTGACGATTGCTCTTGCTTAATTACACGAGCTTACTGTCAACGACCGTTCAATTATAACGTTCAATTAAGGTGCTAATGGATGAAATTTCTCACCAGCTGAATCAGCTGTATCAGCGTAACGATTAATCCTCTTACCGAAATGTGATTTCTCAACCTAATTGATAATATTTATAGAAGGCTGTAAGCATAAATCTTTTTAGCAGATAATTATGTAGTAGTTTAACAACTAATACGGCGTAATATGTTTGAAAAAGATCTTTTCTGCAATTAAATCCTAGCTCGTTTTTTGAATTGTGCAATTGATTTAAAGTTGATTAATCAAATTGTTCCTACATACGTTCGATCGTCACTCGAATGCATTATTTATGAAGCGTTTAAAACGTTAGTGAGTTAATTATCTTGAAGTTAGTTTTTAAATAGCGTTTCCTCGAAGTCGACTGATAAAAAGCGATATTTACATGCTAATACACTTTAATACATTCAGTATTACTTTAAAGATAATTAAGTTTCTTAGTTACTATCTAAAGTGTATTACGTCGTAACATTAATGCCGGTATTTTTTTACCTTTAAACACGATAAAATAACAGCTCGAAGCGATTGCAATTTGCAGATTACTTTATTTGTTGCAGAACGTTGATTAACGATTTAATGTGCGCAGAATCAATCAAGCGTAGAAAATTGATCGATCATCGATCATTTAAAAACCCAGAGGTACCTCTTAATCCGCGTAGAAAAATTCACGTTGGGTTTATCCAATTTTAATACTCGCTTGCAATTTTGTAAGTCGTTCCAT